TCTCTGGAGACACCCACTTCCTTAGAGACTCCAACCTCTCTCGAAACACCTACCTCTCTGGAGACACCTACCTCTCTGGAGACACCTACCTCGCTCGAGACTCCTACCTCTCTCGAGACACCTACCTCTCTGGAGACACCAACCTCGCTCGAGACTCCTACCTCTCTCGAGACTCCCACGTCGACAAGTGAGACGCCCCTCCCGACTACCCCCCTCTCAAGCGCAACGACTCCTGTAGAAACCCCGGAGCCCCCAACTCCAGTCATACCTACGACTCCCGCCGAAAACAACCCCTCATTAACCCACACTCCGGACTTACCACCCACCGAGACGCCTGGAAGTTCTGTGATCCCGACGTCACCTACAAGTCTCATCGAAACGCCGTCTACCCCGGCCGATGATGGTGAGCCAGTCGAGTCCACGGTGGACCCTCTGCCCGATAATCCGACTCCTATCCCTGAATTGTCGACCTCTGCCTCATCGACTTCAGCCTCGTCCACGACCTTCGTCCCTGTCGAGCCTGAGCCAACATCGACTCCCAGCGACACACCAGATACCGTGCCTACATCGCCCCCTGTTGAGACACCAGAGCCAGAGCCGACATCTCCGCCTCTCGAGACCCAGGAACCGGTGCCAACCTCACCACCCGTGGAAGAGCCAGAGCCAGTACCAACAACACCATCAGTGGCGCCGCCCCCCCCCTTCTCAACAGCAAGCCCTTCTCCTGCACCGACCACCGTCCCCAAAAAAGAGCAAGATGCCCGCGACACGCTTCAGTTTGCCAAAGACAAGAACGCCCTGTACGACACCCTCCAGCCCGGCGACGCCTGCACAGACGTCAACGCACCAGCCTGCGTCCACGGTGATCACTACAGGTGCACGGACAGCGGGACTTGGGAGCTCAGCGAGCGCTGTCCAGACGGCACTAGCTGTTTTGCCGTGCCATCAGGCGAGCTGGACCGCACCGTTCGCGTCGGCTGCATGGACGCGGATGAAGCAAAGAAGAAGCTCGGAGAGGACGAGGAGCCCACCACAGAGGTGCCCCAACCAGAGCCAACGGACCCCGTGGCAGAGGAGCCCGAGGTTGTCACGACGACAAAGACCTCCACCAAAGTCATTACGCGCACCGCTCTCCCAGCGCCCGTCGAGACTACGCCTACTCCTGAGGACTCGGGCGAAGAGTCCACGCCCGAGGCGCCTTTCCCCCCGGTACAACAAGAGCCCACGTCCGAACCAGTCGTGCCGGAGCCTGAGCCGACCCCTGCGCCAAGTCCCGTCGACGAGCCAGAGCCGTCCACCACGCCCCCCTCCAACACGTTTACGCAGGTTGTCGAGGAGCCAGACGACGGCAAGGTCAGGATCACCCTAGTCGATGGAGCCACGTACCCGCCCTTGCCGGGTGCCACGTCGTCACCAGAGGAAGAACAGGGTGCGTTGAATAACGGCAGCGGTGGCAACGACGAGCAAATACCTGATTTTGAGACGACGGTGATCGTGGGCGGCACGCCGACTGTGTCTCTCTGGTTCACCGTGACGTCCATGGAGACAACGACGTCCACCGAGACGGAGACAGAGACACAGACAGCGACGGTCACAGCTACGCTGATCCTTCCAGGATAATTGCTGGCAAGGGAGGCGGCAATGGTTAAGAGATATTGGTTAGTGTGACAGTGAACGTAATGAGGATGCAGATGTAGATAGGTCACCCAGCAAATACAAAGAAACGGAACGGTCCAGTTCAGTAGTAGGAGATGGCACTCTTGTCTGGAACGGAAGAGTAGTCCCTCGCGGGATGTTGCTTCTATTGGGGAAAAGAACAATAAACGCTCTGCTCTACCAAGCATGATGCACGCACAATCTGGTGATCCTCGATAACGCCGCCTCATGCGCTGTTGGTCCTCCTCTTTATCCTTCATGTCGTAAATATAGACCCGCAATCGCTGTCATCTCTTTCTTACAAACGATTTGTTTTCTTCAAGTTTCCTCTCTCAATTTACAGGAGACGCGGGCGTGTCATTAGGGCCATGGCGCCCGACGTAATCGCCTGGCCTTCTCTTGCTGGATTGAACGCTCAATGTTCAGGCTCGTGGCACGACATGCCGTCCGCGGTCTCTAGCTGCCTGTAGCCGAATCTCGTAGCCTGGCGCCTCCCTCGTCGTCGTCGTCGCCGTCCCAAAAGGGGTCCACTTCTGGCGCGCTCGTTGCCTGCACGGGCTTATCCAGGTTAACGCCTCCATCTGCTTTGTCTTCATCGTCTTCGGCAGGTCCGTACCGATCGGACCACAGCTTCCTCAAAACTTGGTAGAGGAACCGGTACTGCATCTCGCTCTGCACCATCCCCTTTCTCTGCTCGCGGAGTTCCTGCACCGTGTCGTAGATGAGGTCAGGCTTGCTGGGCTGCGATGGCGCATTCTCGTCAACGGGTGGATCATAGAGTGCGCCCACGTCGAGCTCCCTCAAGAGATGCTCCAGCGCAATAAAGGTGCCTGTGCGACCGACACCTGCGCTGCAATGGATCACGCGTGGTGCGTTGGGCGAGCTGTGCTCCCGGGAGAGCCTCATGAGCTCAAAGAAGCTGTCGAGGTCGTCGTCCGCAGGCACACCAAAATCAGGCCAGCTTCGATACCAGAAATGCCATATAGTTCGCGGCTCCTTCTCGCCCTCAACGTGGAGCAAGAGCTTGCGCTTGTCGATCGCGCCGCCATGTAGCTGCTCGACTGAATCATACTTGAGGGTGGCCCCCCACCCGTCTTCCCAGGCATCATCGCCGTTAAGATCCCACTCGGTCCCCTCCTCGCCCTCTGGAAAGTACTGGTTGCATTTGACCATGCCGCCCTCATTGTTGCTCGTCAGTTGCACAATGACACAGGGCGACTTGAATTGCTCCGCAATCATCCGCCAGACGTAGGGTATCGACGGCTCCGTCGGGCCCTGCATTGCGATGTATCGTAGCGGTGATCGCGCATTCCCAGGTGGAGGACGGACGGTGATCAGCGACGCGTTGACGTAGTCGAGTTGTCCGTCCGGTACCCGTAGCTTTACTCTGTTGTGGTTCCAGGGCTTGATGTTGACGTATCGATCCATGAGTCCCCTCTCTTTCACGTCCGTTTGTTTAAACGATCCCCATCTCCATTCGTGGTTGGGGTGGTTTGCCTGACCTCTGCTTACCCTGATCCTCTCGTCCCAGTTGAGGTCCTCGAATTTCAGGTCGATGGCTGTCATTATTAGCTGTGCCCCCATCGATGCAGTGAGCTTGACATACCCTCTTTCTCCAGCTTTAGGAACGACGGCATGACGGGCCCCGGGTCGCTGGGCTCTGCCTTGTCCGTGTCCACGTCCACTTTACCATCCAGACGATCCCTCGACTTTGCCCCGTTGCTCTTCACCTTGACACCGTCCTCTCTGGTTGCGGGAGGCTCTCCCAAGCCCGAATTCGCAGGCGAGCTCTCTCTAGCGCGCTTCGCCGAGGGCCTGAGCCTCAGGTTTCTAAACGGCGACTTCTTGCCTGACGGTTTTGTGTCTTCTTTCTGCAGCCAGCTCTTCTTCCCCAGGCTATCCGCCGGTTTGCCCGTGCTGCTTGGACTAGCATCGTGGGAGGTTGTTGGCCGCGGGGACGCTTCGACCATCTGCACTGGGACGCCAGCGCCAGCGCCAACAGCGCTGCTGCTCAGTGCGCTCTCGGTCGTGTCGGTGCTGGTTCGTTCGACGCTGGTCTCGATAGCTGGAGGTTTCGGTTTGCGTCGAAGCTTGGGGAGCTTGTCCATCGTCGGGTCGGGGGAAATGTGAAAGGCCCTGTCGAGTCACTCGAATGACAGACAAGGATGTGGGGGAGCTACCGTAGCCGTTGGGGATCGCGCAACTCCGCAGAGTCGGAAGGGGAGACGAAGTTAGAATTTCATAAAATACAGGGTATGAACGAAGACGACGCCGGTCTCGAATGAGGACAAGAGGGACAGTGGGCCGAAGAAAGAATGCGCGTAGGGCTTGTGAGAAATGAAAAGTGAAGAATCAGGCGAGCGCTCCAGGTCGAAGTCCCGGTGTGTTGTTGATAGGCGGGCGGTCGGTCGTACCTCCAGCTCCAGTCAATTACTGGATCCGCACTGTAGGGCGACATGGACATGGAGGTGCATCTTGGGTTGGGCAGGCACGCGCCAGGCTGCCTGGTCGGGTGCTAACTTCCGGGTTATTAAGCTAGCAGCGGGCCAGCGGCAACTATTAGTGACTAGGGCGCTACAGTACTCAGTGCGTACAGACTCAGTGCAGCTGTTTGCGCCCTGCAGGCGTCAAGTTGACCACCACCATCAAAAACCCGACACAGGCAAGGAAGCCTCTGCCTGAGACAATGACAGTCGAACAAACCTAGTGCACCTTACACAGTGCGAGGCACCACGAATGAATATAGGTCTCATTTCATGACCTGACACCTTTGGAGAGACGTCAAGATACATGTAAAGCACCTTCCCTGCCCCGTCGTGATGAAGGCAGAAGTGAGACTCGTGCCATGCCCCATAGTATGACCTCAGTGGCAGGGGGCTACTGAGGGCACCCCATTTCCTCCGAATCCCTCGCAGCTGAATACTATCGTATCAGATGCAGAAGTCAGAACGGACAACAGATATTCCAATCGGCCAGTGGAATGCTCGGAGCAAACTGCTAGTCTACTGACCTTGCCTGTATGTCTTGCACTGGCGAGGAGCTGGCCAAGAACTATTGCTGAAACCCTGTACATAACCACGTGCCGATATTGGAGAGTCCACGTGGAAATTAGATGGTTTCTTGGATTATTGGAATTAATTAAACATGCGTAACTATATTGCCAACGCCTGTGATCGCGGATAGTAGTATACAGCAGGCCTCACAGCCCCAAATGTACACTGTCTTGATATTACACGGTAGGGTCCAGTCATCACCGACTGCATCGTTACACAGACGAGTAGACACCTGTCACGTACCGCCCGCACTCGACCTTCTGCTCCAGCGTGACCTTGCGCCCCTTGCCGCCCTCTCCGAGACGAGCCGTCTCACGCGGCGTCAAGGCCAGCCTGTGCCTCTCCCCTTTGCGTCCCTTGTCAGAGTCGCCCTGGCCTCCATCCAGAGGCCCAATGTACACGGGCGCGTTCTGATTGCTTCGCTTGCCGGTGCCCAGCTGGTAGTGTTCGTTCCCGCCCCAGAACACGACGTCCGCACCCCAGTTGACGTCGTTATCACCGCGGGCTCGGCGCGCGATGGACGTCTCGGTCACATTGTCCATGATGGCGGCGCAGTGGGTCGCGCCCACGCTGACGGACTTGAGCTTGATGGGTATCAGCTTGTTCGCGCTCTCGTCAAACTCAAACAGAGACGACAAGGCTTTGACCTTGGTCGGTCCCTGGGACACATGCGTCCATCGGCCCGTGCCCAATGAGCCGTACACGCCTTGGCCAGCTGCCCAGAAGTCGGTCGTGATCCCAGGCATCCTCCTGGCGGGCGCAGCCGACTTTGTGACGGTAGAATCCTGGGAGGCCTCAGAATCCACGGTGAAGTACAGGTTGTTGCCGCCGGCCATGATGCCAGTCACCGTGGGTGCGAGCCCTGTGCCCTTGTACAATTTTTTGATGGGCAAAATCGTTGGCGTGTTAATGAATGACTCGGAAATGTCAACCTCACAGCCCAGCTGCCCGTAGAGATTGTCGCCAAAAGTGAAGATCCTGCCAGCACTGTCTAGAACAGCCGAATGATAGTCGCCAGTGGCAATCTGGGCGGCTTTGAAGCCTTTCAGCGCACTTATCTCGTGCGGCTGGTCATAGTGTCCCTTGGGTCTCGTCTCCCACGTCAGTCCTGGAATGCCCATCTGGCCCTTGGCCGGGAAATCCGAGCTGCTCGAAGCAGCAGCAAAGACTCGGCCGCTCGACGTCAAGAGGAGGCAGTGGTCAAGACCGCTGCTAATATCGGCGACCCTCTCGCTCCAACCGAGACTACTGGGGGTGATGTCTCGTAGGCTAGGCGCAGCTTGGCCAGAGCTCCACAGCGACCACGAGCTCTTGTCCGACTGCTTGACCAACCCGCCCAAGTCGTCCCGGGACGAAGGAATGGCATAGACCGTGCCGTTCTTGGACAGGGCAATAATGCGATCCGCCGACACGTCGATTTTGGCCAGGTCTTTGCCCTTGATCGTGACGACTGGTGATGGGTCGGCATTTGAGAACCCTAACCCCCACTGGATAAGATCACCCTTCTCGTTGATAGCGGCGCCAAAGGCCTGCGTGAGCTTGAGGTCACGCAGGAGCTGGTCGTCAAAGAGCTTGAGCCGGCGCGGCAGCTTGACGTACTTGTCCTTGGATTCAGGGTCTACGACCCGACCAACATTGGAACCCCATAAGTACACCCCAGGATGCTCCCAGCTCTTCTGCACCTGGAGATGCTGCGAGCTGAGGAGCTCGCGATTCTCCTCGGCAGACCGCGCAATCTTCCTCGGCTTCTCAAACTCTGGTTGCGCCTTGGGGATCTCGACGGGCGCATTGTCACCCACAAAGATCTCCTTCAGTGTAGGGTAGTAGTAGGAACCGGCGGCCGCCGCACCAAAGGCGACACCGTAACCGATGAACCTGGCTGCACTTTGACCTCTGGGCGGCTGGGGAGGTGGAGGCGGAGGCGCGCTGCTGGCATGTCTGGACCATTGGCTTGATCGTAGCGATCGGAGGGAGGTCCTCCTTACAGCTGTCTGTGAAGCATTCATCCTGTGATTTGATCCAAGTCCAAGCTTAAATTCGATGCGGCTGTGAGGGACTGGAGGAGTGAGTCTTGAAGCTCGACTCGTGAGGTCATCCAAAAGAAAAGGGAGAATCTGGATTGGCCGCTGGAGCTTTCTTTTAGACAGACCCCTGCCGCCGCCCGGGCCCCGGGGTCCTACTGTACCCACTTCTCCAATGTGCCCCGCCAAAGCTCCCGCTGTCGGCAGTCGGATACTCGTTTCTCCGCTTGCTGTCGACCTCCAAGGAGCTGCTGACTGGAGCTCCATTGAGCGTCGGGCGTGTTCCTGGGTCAATCCCACCTCTAGCTGGTCGCAAATCGCCAGTGGCAGCCACCATGTACGACGACTCTTGGTATAGCTTTGTCGACCACTCCAACCCCAACCGATCGACGCCCAGCGCACAGGGGCCGGGACATCGACGAAGCCAGTCGCTACTGCAGCAGCCAAATGTTGGTCCCTATCCTCCCATCGCGGGGCATTGGATCAGTTACCAGGATACTAAAATACTGGATAGGGGACCATCACCACGCCCGGCGAGGCTGCCCAGAAGCTTGAGAATGTGTACGAAGACATTGAGAATACCAATACGCCACCTGAGCCGACCTTGACCCGAAGAGCGGCATCGTACTCTGATTTCTACCATGTGGTCAAGGCGCAACTGTCGAAAGATGTCTCCCTGAAGAAAAAGAAGGCACCCAAGAAGAACAGGCGGTGGGAGAGTCTCGCGCTGTGCGAAAATTCGGTAGCACGTCTACACCAAAATCAGGGGTTGGATCTTTACCAGCCTGCGCTCGAGGAGAAGCTGCTTCAGGCTAGCCAGGAAGACTACTTGCTGTACCGCGACCAGCTGGTGTTAACGGAGCGCCACCTCACTGGGTTAGTCGACGACGCCAATTCAACGTTGGATATCCTGGCTACTCTGTCAAACTCGTTCAATTCTGTCGAGATGCAGACATCGTCCTTCCGTTCGCAGTGCGAGGACCTCCTGACGGAGCAAAGGCGACTAGAGAAGCTGGCAGATGACGTGGGCACAGACCTGCACTACTATGCCTACCTCGAGACCGCGACGCGGCGACTCAATGCGCCAGGGGCGAGTCGGCTTGTGGAAGACGATGATTTCGGCGACATGGTGTCCAACATCGATGCTTGCGTTGTCTTCATGGGAGAACATGTCAGTGTGCTGCGTGGGGTGCCCGGATCAAAGCTAACACGAGGCAGGAAAAGTACCGTGATCGCGACACATATCTCGCCCGCTATCAAGCTCTTCTGACCAAGGCACTGCATCTCCTGGATCACGGGTTCACCGCGAGGCTAGACAAGGTCATGTCGGAAATTGGGAGGCAAATAGCGGCGACGCAATCGGACGCGGCGAGACACGCTTTGGCGTATGGCCGGTTCGAGGAGATGATTACGGACACCTACTCTTTGGTGCCCAATATCCAAAAGGTGATACGAAGGGCCTTTGATCAGTGGGGCAGACCGGTAGTCTCTTCGCGCGATCTCTCCACGTACTCGGTTGCTGCAGGCAACATGTTCCAGGTCTATCTCACAACCAGAGATCGACATCTCAAGACCATGGTTCAGCATGACGTGGATGAGTACAAAAAAGAGGTCAAGAGCTTGTCGGTGGAGACAGCTTCGCGCAATCACATCAAGCAGTGCTTTGAGCAGCTATACAACGAAGACAACTTGTTCACCCGGGTGTTCAGTGTCGAGCCCACATGGAGCTCCGCACCCGAGTCAGCGTTCCAGATCGTCAAAGCTGTCAACACCACAATGGTGCACCCTGGCCATCTTGCACCGTTAGGCACTCTGCTGGAGCAGAATCTCAAGGTTTCGGACCTCAAGACCGTGTGTAACATTGTGGGCTGGCTAGCCAACGAGTACTCGGTGGCGGAAGTCGAGGAGGAAGAATCACCCTTCTTCCGTAGAAACAAGGAATACGCTGCGCAGCTCCTCGTGTGGCACCTGTGGCCCCTCACTGATGGCGCCTTCGAGGCGGAGATCAACAGGTCGATCACGAGGACTACGATACAGGACAACACTCTAACAATTGGCCCTGTAGAAGGGGGTGCATCGTCATCCAACGCTCATGCCCTGGTCAAGAAGGCTATTGAGCTGCTTTCCATGTTCGACCAGGCAATGCCCAAGGAGAGATCTGTAAGTTTGCCGCTTCCCTCCTATGGAGCCTTGATGCTGACCAACCCACAGTCCAAAGATAGCCCGGTTGTCTTCAAGATTGTCCGCGAGACAATCCAGATCCTGCAAAAAGCCGAGGCAAGAATCCGCTCGATCAGGAACGGCACAGACCCTGACCTCTTCATGATCAAAAACCTTCTCATCATCAAGAACGAGCTGCTTGCGCTGGAGATTGGCGACATCCGCGGCCACGCCGCCTCCATGCAGCACTTTGGCCAGATCTGGGACACGCTTAGCCCTTCCAACTGGGTCAGCTTCTTCGGCAGCGTCATTGGCGGCTCGCTCTGGTCACGCGGCGGCGGCGCACCGACCGTGACGGCCAAGACGCTCACGCTGGAAGACATGAGCGAGCAGCTCGACGAGTTGCTACGCCAGTCTATCCACGCGTTTGCCAACCGCTGGGCGACGCTCACAAACGACGCGAAGGCTCGCAAGACGGGTGTCAAGCCCATAGCCAAGGTCGAGAGCGAGCTGGAGACGATACTGACGACGGCCTTTAGCAACCAGCCAGAGGTCATTGAGAAGCTAGAGGAAGCCATCGAGCTCAGCGCGCAAGCACAAAACGACGCGAAAGATGGCAAGAAAGGGGCGAGGCGTTATTGAAAGATGTAGCAGGATCAAGTACGTATTCGTCAATCAAAGTACGAAGCGAGGGGTGTTTATAACTCGTTCTGACTCAACTTGATTGTCCCGTGGCTCCTTTCCTGCTACTCCTATCGCACACTGTACCTCTACTCGATATCTGCTCTATCACGTATTACTTCCTCCAATTCGCACTCAGGTCCCGGCCACTTCGCTGATCTCCCCTAGACCTAGCACCACCACGCCCACCCCCAGTTGCAGAACCGCGTCGACGACCAGGAGAAGGCGTTTCAGTAGGTGGAACGGAGGCTTTTGTACTAGCCGGCGTCGATGTCGAGGTCGTGTTCTAACCAACCCGAAAAGCATCGATGCCCGCCATATTCCATCGTAAAAAGGTGGACGGGAAGTTGGGATGCGCCCCGAACTTAGCACAGGTGCTTGTGTACCTATTTGCAAAAGACGCCCAAAGCTTATGGGCTTCAAGATTTCTTGAAGGCCGTGGGCAGTAGGCTTCAGTATCCAAGAATGCTTTTACGGCAGCTTGCGCCCCTTTCTCGTCGAGGTTGATGCTGCTGCAAGCATCGAAGTCCAGAACCCAAAGACAAAGTATCCGGCGCGTGTAATCCTTGACAGTTGCAGTCTCAAAAGTGCTTTGCCCAGGCTGCATGCCATCCAATTCCTTACTAGTCAAAGGTTTGGTGCTGGCTTCAATGCTTGAAGGAGCACTACCGATGACAAACTCGATGTCCATTGCATCAATCTTGGCTACACAATGTAGAACCGCCATCGCATCTGCCATAGCGATTGCATATTCACTGGTATGCAAATTGAGCTCCTCGAATTGGTCAAGGTGCAAGCGAAAGTTCCGAAGAGAGAACGCCAGAGTTCCAGACCCGTGCCTCCTGCGGCCAAGAAGAGGACGAATCAGGCAATCTTGGTTCGGTCTATGCGACTTGGCTACTTTTTTATTCCTTGGGCAGTACATATCGATGAGATGATGGCGAAAGGGCTGTGGCAGAGGAAGAACACGTTCCATGCATAGTGTATCGCGAGTCTTCTTGGGGAACGTGTCCGTGAAGGGGAAGTCGTCCAAGTTCTCATTCCAGAAGATAGAAGTCTTTGCGTTGGCAAACCAAAACATCTTGGGAATCTCTACGTCGACTTTGATGAGGCTGTTGGCTTTCTCGAAAGCCTCCTGGACCTTGGTGTGAATCCTGTAATTGTTCCAAAGCTTGTCCGAGTTGTCGAGAGTAGCCAGCTTGTAGCAATGGGTAGTCCCTGGATGCTCAGAAATGACACCAATCGAGCCTTTTCCAATACCACGGAACTCTACAGGCCTGTCCACAGCAGCCTGTTGACGCTCCGCAAATGAAGATGTTGTTGAGATGACTGATCGCAGGGACAGCATCCTTTGCAACGCAACCTCGGTAGTACACTCGGCCGCATCTTGTTCAAGCTTTTGCTCAAGTGTAAGCGCATTCTGGATGGCAATAGCTAAGGAAGCGCTTCGACTGCTGATATCAGTGGAGAATGTGGCTTCAGAGGTATCAATGTTGCGTCTTCGACCTCGGGCTTGTGCTGGCACGCCTTGGAGAAGGGGACGTGGCGGAGAAGGCATGGTGGATGCGGAATATCCGTTTATCAAATGTTCCTAGGGAGAAGTTTTTAGAAGATTCAAAAAGATTGCATGCCACCACAAAATCGAAAGGAGCAGACAAAAAACACATGGGATGAGAAGTAAGATGCATGGTACCACGGTGGACGAAACTCACAATGGGCAGGAAAAGCGTGAACAAGAAGCACGTGAACAATTAGAACCCTGAAAGGCAAAAATAATATTCAAGGATAGTGCGATATAATTGAGTTCTTAAGTACCTTACCTTACTTTGTCGTTCGGGGACGCGGGCGCCAGGCGATTGGTGAAGAGACGGCGCGCTGTATCCAGTCCAGTCAGGTTCGCACATCCTACAGGACGACGCTTCGACTAGTAACACGCCATGGAGGGCGAACTGAAACGACTGCGGCTATTTGATGAATGTCCGAGGCTTCGCTGGGACATGGCACCTCGTGCCCTGTCTACTTGGCCGGAACGAACAGTGGTGACAGCGCGGCCTAGGTTGGTTGGTCTCCTAGGTGTTTCGGGCGCCATGCTGGACGATGGAGCCGGTCGAGAGAGTCTTGGGGAAGATGGCAAGGTGTTGCAAGAGCTTGGACAGCGATTCGGGAGAGTTTCGTGAGGGTTTGACAGAATTCAAGCTTTGTCTCAAGATGCTGGGCTGGATGCTGAGCACGCCTACATGGCTGCCACCACCATGCGCTTGGGCCCAACCGATCCGATCGGTGTGCCCTGCAAACTCGGCCAGAACGAACAGTCGTAGCAACGCGGCCGGGGTTGGTTGGTCTTCTTAGGGTCTCGGGTACCCTGCTGGATGTTGGAACTGATCGAGAGAGTCGAGAGGGAAATATTAAAGTATTGTAAAGGGCCTTGGCAGCGATTGGGGAAAGTTTCCTGATGTTTTTGGCAGCCCTTAAGAAGTTTTTAGGATGTGGTTAAGAAGTAGTAGGTCATGTGCACCCTTAAGGTATTATACGTTGCGCTACTGGGACGAGTGTCATAACCACTCTACGTATTTCGCATAACTAAGTTCTAGCTGTAAAATTGTCTATCCAGGTTGTGAAGATTTTCGCGTGAAGAAAATGATAAGACTTATCATTACCCGCCATCAGGCTCTCAGAAGAGGTGCATACTCGAGCTCGGGGGGGTTGGGGGGTTTGGGGGAGGTTTAACGACGAACAAATCACTCGAGTCTCATATATATATCGAATCTCGGTCACGAAGATGCTCAGTAGGCAATTATAAGACTTATTGTGAGTAATCTATATCGAGTCAAGTTGAAAGCGAGGAAATAACAATGGAGATGTGATAAAATGCGCGAGGACGAGAACAAGTTGCAGTCGCCAGTTCCCAACGAACAGGCGATTCAAGATAGTTTGCGCCGCCTCAACTACATCAGGTTGGTTCAAAGCCTCCTTAAAAGATCAGAGCAGTGGCCACTGACCGCCTGCGTCGTTGTACGAAGCAACCGCCGACCTCTCCCAGTGCTCGCGAGACCTTCCCAAACTCGGCCATACCATCGGACCCTGCACTGGGAACAAGCAGTGACTCGATATATTGCACTCATTTCCTGAACACAGGCGTGATTCCCCGACTTCAGTTGGCTGCATCTGGTTAACCCCCAGCCTAACTCCTCCTTCCCAAGTGGCCCTCGTCTTCAATTCTCTCCATCAACTTCACCGCGAGATTCCGCTCATCCTCACTCGCCTCTTCCATGATTCTCCGACTGGCCATCAAAAAATTCTTCTTGAAAACCTGCCAGAGGTCCTCATCGGCAGCGCCTCCAGTTTCAGGTTTCGGAAAGAAAGGGTCGTTTCTGAAAAACGCCATGCAGGCTTGCTCGATGCCTGCTTCATCCATGGAAAGTTGTCGGCAGCAGTCAAAGTCGAGGATCCACATGCAGTGGACGCCCAAGTATTCTGACTGCAAGACCGATGAAGAGTCGACTGTCCGCGGAGGTGCTAGCACAAACTCGACGTCGTTTGCATCAATGTGTGCACCCCAGTGCATCATTGCGAGAGCGTCTGCCATAGTCTCCGCGTATAGTGTCGTATCCAGACCGAGTGCCTCCATCTGGTCAAGATGAAGGGGGACATTACGCAGACTGAAGCGCTGAAAACGTGAGGCGCTTGGTGACTGTTGTTTATGGCGACGACGTCGTCCAAGATATGGTCGGATCAGGCAAGCGTCGTCGTCGGGGTTCTCCTTCACAAAATCAGCGAGCGTAGTGTTGCCAGCGCAGAAGAGATCCACGATCTTGTCGCTGATCGGCCTTGGTACTTTCGGGATGCGCTCCGAAATCAGGGCTCGGCATGCAATGTAGCCAGCGGGAAATTGATGGAGGCGCGGCTGCCACCAGGCGTCAGTTGGCTGGATCAGCTCATGACATTGGGGTATCGACAGAGGCGTCGAGGGAGGGTGTCGATGTGCGCTCAGAAGAACCCGCATGTGCATATCGCAGTCATTGGTGACTGATCGCCCAGGCCCGCCGTCTTCGCGTTTGATGGCTGTGGTTTGGTCTTGGTGGCCTTCGAGAGACCAGACACTACCACAAAAGCCCTTTCCAATACAGCGGTATTGGGTGGTGTAATCCGGCATACTGGGTAATACGGAATGGTCCAGTCGCAGCTGTAATTTTGTTCGTGCATTGCTTGAGGATTTAGTACCTGATTTAGACAGGCCACCTAACATATATGTGTTGAATAAGCTGGCTGATGAGGCCAGAGCAGCAAAGAATAAGGTAATTAAGTTTAAACTAACTGCTAGTGCTCCGAACTTAGCGTTCACCAAGCGATGTTTTGTTCCCTGGTTTCAGGCAGCCTCGAGAATCACTGGAACAAAAAAAACCTGGCCACTTGATTAAGCCAACGTGGCACAAAGCAAGAGAAGAGAACTGACATGATTTATTGAGTCTGAATGACTTGCCCGAGGATTGATGGATGATGCCAAGACGTTGAATTATGCCAAGATGTTAGCAAGTCTTGGGGTAACGCTACGGCAGTGACGATCCGGATCGGAGGGTCCCGCTCTCCCCTTTTCGAAATGCCCGTCGCCAACCCCGTTGGTCGCTTCTGGATCTTATTAAAGATCCCAAGGTGCACGTCGCTCGCTCCAGTCCCTTGCATTCCCCTCCGCTCTCTTTGACCTGCTCTCGCTCTGTTAGGGGAAGCCCTATTCTTCGAAGTCTATCTTAGTCCACAGCTGCTCCAGCCTGCTGTCGCGACACCACGCCGCGAACGATCGACTGACCCGACAGATTCGAAGAGCGCCGTGCTCACACGATACGTCGAGAAGCATGCCATCTACTACATGCAGTCAACAAATTTGATCTTTCCCTAAACCGCGCGACGTGCACCGGGCAATCACCATTCGCCATGTTACCCATCCGGCGTCAGCGTCTACTGACGTTCTGCGCGGTTGTCATTGTCTTCCTACTGTACCGTGTCGTCCAAAACTCATGGGACGATGCCAACTATAGCGGTCTCCGAGCTGTATACGAGACAGGGCGGGAGAAACTGGAGGACATTGATCCGGCCGACCAGGACGACTCAACGCCGCTCGTGGAGCATGTTAAGCCCAACCCAGCCGTGCAAGAGGAGGCGAAATTGCCAGCGCACATGGACGAAAACGACAAGGTCGACTATATCGATTCGCACAACGAATACGCCAATCAGCACGGCGAGGTGGTAGAGGACGTTAGCGTGGAGATACCCGATCTGGAAGACAATGGGATATCCTCTGGGGACCAGGCGAAGCAGAACAAGCTGAGTGAGCAAGAGATAGAGGTCAGCGAGGAGGTTGGGCAAGGCAATGGACAAGATTTGACGGGCGCGAACAAGGTCCTGCAAGGATCGCACGATGAAGAAGGTGCAGATTGGAAAGCAACCCCCAGCAAGACTGCGCCCGATGACACAAGGGGAAGCGAACCCGAGGTGGAACTGGCGCATGGTCCCGCCGTGGATCAGGGCAAAGCGGACGACATTCCCGAGTTCAAGAGGGTACACTGGAAGAAGCAGCCAGAGCATTTCCCGGTGCCGTCAGAGTCTATCACGCCCTTGCCCAGCGGCGCGCCCAATAAGATCCCCCAGATTCAGTTTGATTTCCAGCGTGAGCCCGAGGAGCAAAAGAGTACTCGCGTCAAGAGGCAGCAGCGTGTCAAGGAGGAGATTGCCCGCAGCTGGGGTGCATACGCCAAGCATGCCTGGATGCATGACGAGCTCTCGCCTGTCACTGGCAAATATCGCGATCCCTTCTGCGGATGGGCCGCCACGCTGGTGGATTCTCTCGATACGCTCTGGATCGCCGGTCTGAAGGAGGAGTTTGATGAAGCGGTCAAGGCTGTTGCCGGCATCGACTTCACCTGGACGCCGAAAGACGACATTCCCGTCTTCGAGACAACCATTCGATACCTCGGCGGTTTGCTTGCCGCATACGACGTCAGTGGCGGGGCCGAGGGCAACCACAAGATCCTGCTCGATAAGGCTGTCGAGCTGGGCGAGATCCTCTTTGGCGTGTTTGATACCCCTAATCGCATGCCTTTGCTGTACTATCATTGGAAGCCCGAAGACGTCGCCCAACCCCGCATCGCCAGCACCAGGAGTGGTATTGCTGAGCTGGGCACTTTGTCGATGGAGTTCACACGCCTCGCACAGCTCACCAAGGAAGACAAGTACTACGATGCGATTGACCGCATCACTAATGGTCTCCTCCAGCTGTCGAAGGACGGCGTGTTGATCCCTGGTCTCTTCCCAGAGAATATCGATCTGTCAGGTTGCAATAGAACTGCTACCACTCTGCGCGACGAGATTAGCAAGGCAGCGCAAGCTCAACTTGCAACAGACGACGCCCGCAAGGACCCCGTGGGATATGTCTCCGGTGAGAAGGAGGGGGTAAACCAAGCGCTGGCCAAGGACAGCGCCAGTGTCGCTAAGCGCGATGAACAAACCCGTACAGCAACCGACGACGAAATCAAGCGTGCCAGCCCTCCCTTCAAAGCAGACGGCACCACCGCTGAGTGGGATTGCGTGCCTCAGGGTCTTGTGCCCAGCGGCTATGGCACGCAAGTGTTCCACATGGGTGGTTCTCAGGACTCTGCTTACGAGTACTTTCCCAAGGAGTACCTTTTGCTCGGAGGCCTTGAGGACAAGTACCAAAAGCTGTACGAGGACGCCGTCAATGCCACCAATGAGTGGCTCATGTTCAGGCCCATGGCTCCTGATGACTGGAACGTCCTCTTCCCCGCCAAGGTGACATTGTCCCCGGACACCGCCATCCGGGCGCAGTTCGAGGTCGCGCACTTGACCTGCTTCATCGGCGGCATGTACGGTCTGGGCGGCAAGATCTTCGAGCGCGAGGCAGACGTGGAGATGGCCAAGCAACTGACAGACGGATGCGTCTGGGCTTACCAGCTTTTCCCCTCTGGTCTGATGCCAGAATCTGCAAACGTCATACCTTGCGAGTCGCTCGACAAATGCGAGTTCAACGAGACCATGTGGTGGGACATCCTTGACCCGTCCCGGGCGTGGCGCGAAGAGGAGTTGCTCCGGTGGGAGGGTGTATCCGAAGAGAAGGCAGAGGAGGCTGCTCATCTCCAGGCTCTGGCTGAACAAGGCGCGCCGCCAGAGTCGGCTTCTTACAAGTTAGACTCTAAGGAGGAAGCGGAAGTCGCTCGTCTGAAGGAAGCCGCCGAGCTCGAAGATGTCAAGCCGGCTGAGAAAGCTGAGAAAAAATCCTTCAATGCCTTCAAGGACGAGCAGGCCGAGTTGCTCGAGCAGGCCGCTCAGGAGCACCCCGAAGATGAAGACTCATACCGAGGCGCGCCGCTCAAGAAGCGAGCTCCGACGCCTCCACCAGCGGACGAGGGCGATGTGCCGGCTTCAAAGACGGTGCCCAAGGACAGCGCACCGCACCACGAGACGGAACGCAAAAAGCCCCCTTCCCACACAGAGTATGTGCAGAAGCGCATCAAGTCCGAGGGATACCCCCCTGGGTTTGTTTCCATCAATTCGCGCAAGTACATCCTTCGGTAAGTTTCAGTGTCACCCTGCCTACGTTGACAGTCTTCTGACCGATGCAGTCCCGAAGCCATTGAGTCCGTGTGGTACATGTACCGCATCACCGGTGACTCGACCTGGATGGACAAGGGGTGGAGCATGTTCGAGGCCACCTTGACCGCCACCCGCACCACAATGGCCAACAGTGCCGTTGGCGACGTGACGGCCCCCAGCCCTGAGCTGCTGGATGCGATGGAGAGTTTCTGGATAGCCGAGACGCTCAAGTACTACTACTTGCTCTTCTCCGAGCCAGATGTCATTAGCCTGGATGAGTGGGTGCTCAACACCGAGGCGCATCCCTTTAAGCGCCCAACATAAGCGCGTTACGTCAGTGGATTGGAGGTGTGAAGTGCAACAGCACAGATGGGTGATAGCGAAAATCGATTCCTAGTGCCTTACGGGCAGCATTCAGAAGGCGTTTTGGGTTTTGGGTATGCATTGACTATCAGCTGGGTCTTGTACGGTTTTGTTTGTTTACGGAAACTTGACAGCACGCGAGCACTCAAACACAAGACAGCTTTTTTCCTCTTTGTATGCGGTGAACCTGATCATATTGCGTGCCTGAAATCAAAATCCTCAATCTTTAACACTAGTACAGGGCGGGTCTATACCTGCCTGTCCTCCGCATTTTCCATCCTTCATTAGATCAAATCGCATGTCCATCGTTGGCCCCGATTATCTCGCGATAGATGCGAGAGCCTCGCTCGTTATGGCTGACGGACTGACCTGACCGTCAACCCAAATATCATGGAAAACGCCTCCTGAAACGCCAATGCTGATGCGACCAAACCTTTTGTCACTGTGCATCTATCCCATATACACATGTCTATCATTTGTTCATCCTGCGGACTGTCCTCGTATCGTGTCGAATCTCCATCCTCATGCCGCCATGTCGGCTAACACGCGTATACTCAATATCATGACCAAGAGACCAATGGTCACGACGATGAGCAGGGCGAATGAGAACCAACCCAGCACCATGGCGTCTGTGCCCACGCCGGACCTGACGGAGCCGTTTCCAAAGTCTTGCGCAATGACGGAGGCGGCCACAGATGCGGTATGTTGCCAGAGGACAGAGACGAGCACGAAGATAGAGGAGATGAAGATGATAGCCAGGGCGATTTGAGACACAGGTCGGGACGGAAAAGGCTTGACGTCGCGTTCGGAGCCCTGCGAGTCTTCCTCCTCGTGCCATCCGGGAAACGTGGCGAGCAGGATGAAGCAGATGAAGGCGAAGACGATGGCGATGATGATCAGATAGGGGAAAACAATCATGTCCTTAAACTGCGCGGCGAGCCAGATCAGATTGAGGGGATCCTGGTCAACGGCCACCTCGTTGGCGAGGGCTGTCGCATTGTTACTGCACAGCCATGCGCCGCCGTCGGGGTTGATGCAGATACCAAAGTAGCCCACGCGGGCCTGTAGGTGAGCGTCGCCCGCAATGTTGGCAATGGCCGTGTGGACATTGTAGTCGACTTGCGCGGTATCGGGAACGGCCTCGTACTCCTTGTAGTAAAGGGAGAGCAGGAAGATGCCGGGGATCAGGGGCGATGAGGATGAGCAACCGGCGAGAAGGAGTGACAATAGGATGATGGCAACCGCAATCAAGATCATCAACATGTGGTGGTAGCCGACAAATGGTACCCAACCTGTTGGCAAGACATGTTAGCAACCCGCATTCCGATTGAATGTGTTTGAAACTTGGGGCTATAACTTACGGAACCAGCCCACTCGGAATTTGGGCATCCCGAATCTCGGCTTCCCACTGCTGCTGCTGCTACTGCTACTGCTGCCCATAGCAGCGGTTGTCTCTGAGCAGTGCGCTCAGATCAGACAGGCGCGAGCGGCCGTTGAGAATCGTTGGAGTTGTGATGAATAGCCCACACCCACGCTCTCGTCAACAGCGAGAGGGGTTGAGGGTGTCGGTGAAACTCTGCGCGAGCGTCTTCGATACTGTAGGCGTAGCTTGCTTCAGGAATGTCGAAGTCTCGGGACGTTGTGTTTCGTTGAAAGAGCTTGTCTTGTTCGTCGATGTCTTGTTCTTCGCAGCGGGGGAGTGCACGGCTGGAATGAAAGAGTACAGGCGAGACGATAATGGGAACGAGCGACGACGACCTGGAATGCGCAACGTGAGACTGCCTTGCGGAGAGGGTGGGTTGCTTGTAGTGGGAGGGAGGGATACACTTAGTCTCTCGGTTGCGAGGTATGCAGGTTAGAGTTGGAACTCGCTTGCGCTCGGTCGAAGAATGAGTGTCGTCGATACGTGGAGGATCCAGGAAGCAAAAGGAGGAGACAGGAGCAGAGAGAATGGGAATCATGTGGCTGGTCTACAGGTAATGAGCCAACCGCAGCCTTGATCCGTCGGGGATGATGCGGATGGTGGTGAGCGGGTTGCCCAGCCACTCCCTTTTCTATTGTCATTGGCAGTGGTTGGCAGAGCAACGCCGCAGGAGTGGGTGACGTTGCGGCCTAGGTTGCGTGGCGCCGTCATGTGAGTGGCTGCTGCGAGACCTGCCCCACTCTCCTTCAGTGGTTTTATGTGGCGTAATTTTGGTGGCTGGTGCGCTTGCAGCTTGCCTTCGGGAAACCTTATTTCAGGGTCCTGGATATTGAGATTTCACTTCGAGAGCTCCCTAATCAATTGGGTGATTCGAATTGGCCTCTTCAAGCACCAGCTGCAAACAATGAGGCCGACAGCTGAGCAAAGACTTTTTGCCTAGGGCTGTGCTTGTTCTGAGATCAATGTTGTTGGCAGAGAGGGTCGTTGTCATGACAATCGCTAGCTGACGAGAGCTGGGCAGCAGCGCATAATTTAGTCGTCCGTGCTAAGATGACGACTCGTTTTCCCGGTTTCATCAGCTCCGTCACCAGAGCTGCAATAGGTAGGCAGCAGTGCGACCGTTAGCTTCCGCGATCTTGGCAGCAATCTTGGCGTTCACAAAAGACTGAAGAACTTCGAGATGCCAGTCTACTAGTTAGTCCGCGTGTTCAGTTAGGCTACCCTAAGCGCGATACTGCTTTTTGTTTGCGGCTCGCGATGAAGGCTCTCAGGACTTTGAAGCTATTGCGCATGAGCATATTTTCGTTATTAATGAATTTCGTTTGTTGAGTATCAGATTCATCACACAGGTTCACAAATATGGTGTTGGTAGATTAGCATCACTTAAAAGCGCGTGAGTGACATTTATCCTTCCTTGATTTCGTCGAACTACCAGCTAGGAACAGTTTACCGTTGCAGTATGTCTGCATCTCAAAGTATACCTCAACGTCGGAAAGACCCGACGGCTTAAATTCCACTCGAGACTCGAATCAGCAGAGCCATTGATTCTGGGGAGAGTGCATGGTCCGATGATACCATCGTCCCCCTACCTGCATGCCCCGCCTAGCCGATACTGCAACTTCACCCCACGATGCACCGTCATATAATTGCTAGCTGTCAACATCCACGAGCAACAATGGCCTCCAGCTTCGTACAGGGAACGTCCCTCGACACGCGGGTGGAGGATTATCTAAATGACAAGCTCCAGTCAACGACGGACCTGGAATCCCTCGACGAGCTCCTCGCCAATGTAGAGCTGCAACGAAACCAACTGCAGACCCAGCTTGACGATGCCGTCCGCCAGCTCGACGAGGCACGACGCACAGCGGGCGACCGCCAGGGCGCGATACAATCCCAGATCGAAGAGTTTCAGCAGCTGCAGGAGAGCATAGACAGACGTGGCGCTATTACTGCCGCGTCCGATGCCCCGGACCAGGCCATTGCCCGGCTGCAGCGGCCCATGGAGAAGTTGCGCGCGGTGGACCTGGCGCAGAAATACCTGAGCCTCGTACAAGAGGTCGAGAATTTACGGAGCGAGGCGCGATCGCATCTTCCGGAGAGCCCGAAGGCGGCTCTCGAGCCTTACACCAAGCTGAAGCAGCTAGCGACAAGACTGAAGGAGCTCCAAGGCGACGAGGCGCTGCATCTGGTCGATTATGTGGAGGGCGTGACGGATCGCCTTTGGAAGGAAATGAAGGCCATCATGTCGGAAGAGTTTGAGACCGTTCTCCGCGCGAGGAAATGGCCCAAGGTCGACCCCAAGTCCCAAATGGACGATGAATGGATTGCCTCTTTCGAGAAGCTCATTGATCTACAAATGCCCGAGGTGCTCTATAGCACCCAGTCAGTTTCGCTTCTGCCTCTGGATGTCATGGCAAAGATCTTCATTGCCGAGTTCCGCTTCCACTTTCTCGGCGACAAGCCTACAAGCGATGCCCAGGCCGTCGGGACGCACTGCTTTCCGTGGGTGACGATGACATTGGAGAAGTGGGAAGAATTTTTGCGCGATAACCTTGGTCATCTCCTGGTAGCCAAGTTCAGAGAGACGGACGCGGAGAACAACCTACTCTACGTCGATCCCGTCTGCGCATTCATCACATCCTTGCTGCCCGTCATTCGCGAGAAGGTCTACGACATTGCCAACAAGGCCATCAGCAATGCCTCGTTCTTCAGCAATTTTATCTCGCAGGTGTCGAGCTTTGATGAGAATCTGCGCACCAGGTTCAACTACGATGGCGGCGATGACGTGCGCGGCTGGCAGGGCTTGACGACCGAGATTCTGGACGAGCACTTTGACTCGTGGTTCAAGGCGGAGCGAAACTTTGCCATGAAGCGCTTCAACGATATCCTGGAGTCAGCAAACGACCGAAAAATTGACTACGACTATGCTGCCGACGGGCGTATGAAGCCTACGTTTGCGGCCGTGCGTGTCACGGACCTTTTGCGCTCTGTCACGAGCCAGTACAGCCGGCTACGCAAGGTGCGCCACAAGATCCAGTTCCTCATCAATATCCAGATTGATATACTCGAAGAGTACGATGCCGTCTTGCGCGATTCACTTGAGGCATACCTATCAATCACTTCCACCTTTGGGCGGACACTGCATGGCGCTTCGAAGGAGCAGCTTGCCGCGTTGGAGGGCACGGGCGGCTTGGAGCGTCTGTGCAAGGTATTGGGCAGCGCTGACCATATTGCCAACACTCTGAAGGACTGGAGCAGCGAAGAGGTAAGCGTGTTGTGATACACAAAGATGCGTTCAGTGAATAACAGAGAATAGTTCTTCTTGGAGCTGTGGGAGCGGCTGCAGGGCGGACCTCAGCCGGGTGGCCAGAACAAGGCTGGCAGCATGACCTTTGACGAGGTAAAAGACAGGACATCGAGTGCCATGGGCATGTCCGAAGACGGTGCGCTCTTTGACGAAATGATTGTAGCATACAGCCTGCGCAGGAAGACGGCCCACGAATTCATTGTCTCCACGCTCAACACCGCCCATACAAAGGCCTTCCGCACCTATGGCCAGCGCGCCTCGTTTACCACAATCGGCGAATCGTCGGTAGTGGAGGACCCGGCGTCGCTGAATGTCTCTCCCGAACTTGACGAGCCTTTGCATATCTTGACGCGCAATCTAGCCTTTTTGGCCAAGCCGCTGTCTACAGCATCCTTCCGTCGCGTCTGGCGCGAGGCCCTCGGCAAGCTGCAAGACCAGCTCCTGAATGACATATTGCTCCGTCAGGAGTTCACCACATATGGCGCCGCTCAGTATCTTCGCGACGTGGCCGAGGTGCTCGATGTCGTGAATCGGTTTATCCCGGGCGGCTCTTCCGCTCTGGCAACCCTCCAGGACGGTCTCCGCTTGCTGAACCTGCCCGTGGAGGGTGGCAAAGAGAAGGCGATCAATCTCAAGACAGCGAGCGATCGCGTCTTCACCGACAACGACGAGGCGCGCAAGGTGCTTGAGGAGCTTGAGCTTGGTGAGTTGACGCCTCAACTTGCGCGCAATATCCTGCAACGTAGGATCGAAAATGGGGAAAACGTAGGATAAGGCAGTGAAAAATATATGTCCACTTCAAATCTATCAGTAGATGTTGCATCCTTCTTCTATCGTTGCTGTCGGGATTCCTGGTGCCCGCATCCATCCCCTTTTTGAATAGTCGATCTCCAAAAGCGCCTTGAATTTACCGTAATGGTGTCTCGTCTAGTCGAGCAACCTCATCACAAACTCGACTGTCGCAAAGGTACCCGCGCTCACAGGCAAGGCCCTCAACAAAGTGGGAGCAATGCCCTTCCAGAAGCCCCTCGCGCCATCGGCCCGCCACGTGTCCCTGAAGCAGGCCCGCATGCTGGGGTACTTTTGCTTGTCGCCGAAGCCGTCGGTCTGCATCTTGCTCTTGACCACGTCAAAGGGGTAGCTGGCGAGCCAGAGGACCTCACCGGCCAGACCGCCATACAGAGCGACCTTCCACCCGGGAACATCCTTGCGGTCCATCTTGTTGCGCGCCGCGTCCGTGTTCATCATGTACTCAAAGGCGGTGAACCAGGCGCCGTAGGCGAAAGCCTCGCGCCACATGGTGACGGCCTGGCCGCGGTACACGCCGTTCAGGACGCCGCGGTGCGCGCCGAGTTTCCGGACGCAGTCCAGCGGCCCGTTGTAGAGCTTGCCCGCCCCGTGGGGCTGGCTCTGGAGTCTGATGCGGATGTGCTCAATGGGGCCTGAGAGCACGGAGTTGGCGACACCGGCAAAGGCGCCGGCCTGGGCGTACTGAGAGTAGCTCAGGTCCTTGGGCTTGCCGTGGCTCGCGTTGCGACCCTCGAGGAAGCGACGGGCCTGGTGGAAGCCGCCAAATTGCACGGACACGCAGGCTCCGATGCCGACGAGAGGTGTGAGGGTGCCCTTGTAGAAGGCAAGAGGCCCCTCGGTCTTGTAGATGGATGTGGCCGCATTGAGGGCAGATGAGTACTGTGTGGTGGTCTGGAGGCGGACCTTGACAATGTCAAAGGGTTGGCCTGGTCTCAGTCAGATGGGCTGTCACAAGTACACCGCAATAGGAGAGGAGACAAAGAGTATCACATACCGACTAGGACTTGCACGATGCCGCCAACAGCGCCCGAGAAGAGATCCTTTGCGGTCTGCTTCGCCCCGCCCTGGGGGTGCTCCAGCTCAGCCTGGACAACATCTTCAGGTGCCATTGTACGGATACAACAGCGACCGGCGGCTACTGACCGAGGGGACGAGCGGGCTCAGAGGCGGCCTGGCTGATTCTGTGGATGAATTAATGCCTCGAAGTGTGTGAAGATGTTATACAATGGTCAAGTTGAATGAGATTCAGCGTCTTGGGAACTAGGACAAGAGAATGAATGGTGAATCGGGTGGTACCCGGTGCCACAATCTTTGGTATCGCGATCACTCTGGCGGTCGGTCGGCGCCTGGCCGAGACTGGATGACGTGATTGGCGGGCTCAGGTGTCTATCAAGGTATGCATCAATGGGGGCATGCATGTAGTGAGCTTCGCTACAAGAGGTAAGCACTTGGGCGAAGGCCATAATAAGCCAGACTGCTGACTTCGCGGTGCGACCTCACCAGGCAACCTTGGCGGTACGAGTGCGTACAAATATCCCAGCCCAAAGGTCCAATGACACGTGCTTGGACATTTCCTGCTCTCCGAAGCCATCTGACTCCAGAGCGTGAAGCTTTGGCCGCCGCTGCGGGACGGACGATCGCTAGTGGGCTTGCCTTACTGCGCATAGTGCATGCAGGGTCTTGACTCTTGACTTCACCCCGTCAGTCATCCACCAGCACCCCATCTCCCCAGATCTCAATCTCCAGTCAAGCTGCACGGGGCGCACAAGTGTCAACGGATGAAATTGAAATTGAGCCTCCACGGGGAAGTATGATAGTGTATTGCGTCTGCTGCTGGATGCCCATAAACAACCGCCACTTGATGGCTGACAGTTCATGTCCCCAAGAGCTTCGGCCGTCTTGTCAGCCAGGAGGCTCAAAAAGCAGGGTCCTCCCCGATTTGGCGATATTTTTAGAGTCCTTATCTGCAAACGCATCCTTGTGCGTCAGGGTGATCAAAGGCGTAATGCGTGGCGTTGATGTTCCTGGCGAGGCTCGTCCCACATATAATGCCATGCCTCCATACTGAGGCGGAAAGTCTCGTTTCCACGTCTCTTCGCTTTTCTTTGCTGTTTCGTGGTGCAGTCACTCCTTATCTGAAAGACCCCATGGCCTGGAGCCTTTGGGCAAGCTAATCATGTCGTCGTTTCCACTGAGAAAGTTCTCTACCGCTGGCGGTCCCAACGACTTGCTCGCCGCTCAGATTCACAACAGGCGGGCCAACGACCGAGCCATTATCGAGAATCCGTTGGGTGAGCCCTGGTTCCTTTGGAAGAAAAGATTCAATACTGATATTGCAGCCTACTTTAACGATGATGAGCTGGAGCAAGACGTGCAAAACTTTGCAGAGCTATACCTCCCACATGTCGAATTCGCGAAGGTACTACGAGCGGCCCGCGTGGCCAAGGACATTCGTCTTTACGATGAGGTCTCCCGGTCCTCTGACCCTCATATGGGAGAGGACCTTCCCGTCATCTTGACGCCTCAGGAGAAACGGTTCTTGAAGCGCGAGCGCGATGTCGTTTTCAGTGAAAGGGGTATGCGTAAGGTAATCATCACAGTGTCGCTGGCGGCGCTGCTCCAAGGATTTGTGCAGTCCTCGTTTAACGGCGCTTCATTTTACTCGGAGGAATGGGGTCTCACAGAGGATTCAACATGGAAGCTTGGAGGCACAAACGCTGCGGCCTGGTTCGCAGCAGCACTCGTGGGATGCCCCCTGTCGCTCCCCATCAACTACTACTATGGACGACGTGGTGGGCTCATTGTGGCCTCGGTGTTCCTCTTTACCAGCTCGGTGGCTGCTATTTTCGCAGAGAATTGGACTGCACTCCTCCTCATTCGCATTGTCAATGGCCTCGGTATGGGCGTTAAGGCTGTCAGCACACCCATCCTAGCCTCCGAAACAGCCGTCGGTTTCTGGCGAGGGTCCGCCATCCTCGCGTGGCAGCTGTGGGTGGCCTTTGGCATCATGCTGGGCTTCGCGTTCAACCTTCTCTTCACTACAGCCGCCAGCGATCGCATCACGCTGGGCCTCATACAGGGCGCGCCTCTGGTCCCAGCGCTGGCCCTCTTTTTCATGGCCGTCTTTGTGTGCCCCGAGTCACCGCGCTATCACCTCCAAAAGGGGCCCAACTACAGCCCCGAGAAAGCCTATATGATCCTCCGCCAGCTGCGCAACACGGAGCTCCAAGCGCTGCGCGACATGTACGCCGTCTATAAGTCCATCGAGCAGGAATCCATGGGGGCGGCTATGACGGCGGACTCGCGCGCTCATCTTAATCCAGGCTTCTGGTGGACGATCCACGACTTCCTCCTCGCTTTCCGCCAATTGTTCCAGCAGCGTCGCCTCTACAACGCGCTCATCTCAGCGGCGACTGTCAACGTGGCTCAGCAGCTGTCTGGTGTCAACGTCTTTGCCTTCTACTCGACCGAGCTGGTACGCGACGTGCGTGACTCGGATGTTTCCGTCGCACACATGGACAGCCACATCAAGCCCATGGCATACAGTCTTGGGTTCGGAGCCATCAACTTCCTGTTCTGTCTTCCCGCAGTGAGGAGTATCGACACACTGGGCCGAAGGCGCTGGCTGCTTATGACGCTGCCATTCATGGCCATCTTCATGCTGGGTGCTGCGTTGTCCTACAACATCCAAGACACGAGCAACAGGACTGGCATTGTGGCTCTGTTCCTGTACCTGTTCGCAGTGGCGTACTCACCCGGTCTGGGTCCCATTCCCTTCACCCTTGCGTCCGAGAGCTTCCCCCTCTCGCATCGTGAGGCTGGCACCGCGTGGCCCATCTCCACCAACCTCTTCTTTGCTGGGCTACTCTCTATGCTCTACCCTGCCATCCGCGACGACGAGAACGGTCTAGGCGACGGCGGCTCCCTCGGCCTCTTCGCCGGCCTCAACGTCCTCGCCTTTATCCTCGTTTTCTTCCTCGTGGAGGAGACAAAGGGCCGTTCCCTCGAGGATCTCGACCTCGTCTTCGCCGTCTCGAAGCGCCGCTTCATGTCATTTCAGATCCAGGAGTACCTCCCCTGGTTCGTCCGCCGCTACATCCTCAGCAAGGACGAGCCGCCGCCGGAGCTGTACCATGACTACATCTGGGGTCCCTGGAAGCGTGTCAGTGACAACACGTTCTCGCCGCCGACGCGAAACCTGGAGACGGGGTCGTGCGTGAGGATCGCGCCCGAGGCACCGCCCGACTCGCCCGATTTGATGATGCCGCCGCCTGTCATGACGTCCGGACCAGTGGAGATGCCTGCCACGCTGCCGCGGAGGCTAGCCCCTCCGGCGTACTATTAATTTTCTTGTAATTTGTACTGTGGAGTATTTTCTCATGTTCTCAGGGAATGGAACAATCATGATGTACTGATTATATGCGCGGAGGGCAGCTTATGATAGCGTCCCGTAGTATTAACGATTTTCACCTTAAGCTAGTAGGTCCCTCCCTCAAACGGCCTCTCATACCTTGGAAAGCTCATTTCCTCGTCCGTACCAGCTTTGAGGTAGTCCACGTAGCATACCCATTTCTTCTCAACCCATTCTCGCAGGTCAAACCCCGGTTGGTTCGGCTCCAGCGTGTGGGCGTTTACACTCAGATAACACCCATGATCTCTTTTGCCCTCTGTCCAGCCTTTCAAGTTCGGCCGCCAGGCCTTGACGGTTTCCTCGCCCACGCCAAGAGCGTCTAGATCTGCGTCGACCACCTCTCCCTGTCCCATGAATGTGAAGCACCGCACGCCGCAGGTCTTGCAGAAGAAAAAGTGAAGTTGCTTCGCATCACACTGGTAATCACCTAGCTCCTTCATGGGGTCCAGTGGTGAGAGGAGGAGGAAGTCGTCTGGGGCCGAGTCGGGGCGGGCATGGAGGAAGCCGGCTTTGTGGCAGATGTTACAGTTGCAGCGATAGATCCTTTGGCGAGGTCGTGGGTCTAGATGTGCTTTATGGGGGAGCTTGAGGTGCAGGATGTACTTGATGGTGCCGCAGTGACAGGACCCTTTGAGAGGGTAACGGCGGAGCGTCTCAGACGTGGTGTTCTCTGTCGCCATTGTGAGTTTGATGGTTGAGGGGAAAGAAAGACAGACAGGTGGTGCAAGAACTCTCAATCGAATGGGGAGAAGGTCCCATGTCAATGAAGGGCGCAGCATGAGGATGACTGCATCTCGACGGACGAGTTAATTTGCTGACGTCATTGTGCACTACACTTCTTGCTGCCTTAACAATACGATTATTGTACTCGGGTATGGTCGTTACAAGTAAGCTGTGCTACGACTTAGCATGTTCGCAGAACGTGCCCATGCAGTGCATGGACGTGTGTCTACTAAGCGGCACGGTCGACTGTGGTGAGGGGGTGACGATGCAGACCTGTGGAGATGACTTTGCACTTGCAGGAATATATAGCGAGATTCAAAACGCCCGAGAATTGACCAATGAGTTATTTTCAGCTGTGGCTCGAAACTTCAAAGAAGACTGGAAGTGATTGTTCCCGAGCCGCATTCGAGCTGACAAAGTGACACTCGCAACTTGAGAATGAGAGCAAAAGCCCCGCGTACGAGCTTTCGATGCCTGGCCTTGTTTGGAGTGGCTAACTACGGCCCCTTGACCGATTAATCTTAAAGTTTGTATATAATAATACAGAACAACAATGTCTGGCAGGTCGGGTTACATTGATACTCATGAATGCTGCACAAAGCCCCAGCCCCACACATCCTGCCCTTTTTCAAAACATGAACCTTTTGTACCATGTACTACGTAGAGCCCCAAGAGGGCAGTTTCAAGAAGCGGAACATTCTGCTGCCATTCATGTTGTTATAGTTGTCCCATCATGAAAGTCAGCATTAGTACAGTCACATTCTTCTAGGCGGACCGTGCCATTCTCGACAGCCCTCCGCTGTGCGGACGATGAGACCGCAGCAAGCCCAACACCAGTCCCCCTTCGATGTTCAACACATTGAGCCAATCCATTCCTTCTTCTTAAGTCAAAGTACTCCGATGTTCCTGTCTTCACCACAACTTCCACTCCCCACTTAGATGATTGACGTCTACGACGGCTAGTTAGATGATCCGCGTGAATTCACCTACCCTGCGAGAAGACAGAAGTTCAGAATGGTCTGTTTGTTTTGCCATCTGGATCTCACTAAGGCAGGAGGCATTATTATTCAACGCAATATTGTTTGCCCTATTCGCAAGGCATGTCCAATATGTGCCTGAGGAAAGACAAATCTATTTTGACATTGAACGTGTAGCATCTAAGTCTCGGAGTTTCGGATAATGCCAAGCCGAAGCCATCGTGGGTCCGTCCGAGTGGGCGGGCCGGGGCAAGTAGACGTCATCTGAACTTCCCAACCGGGTAATGCCTCCAACTTCACCTCATCACCACTCCGAGCGCTGCCTCCCCTTGTCCTCGTCACCACCACGCCCTCGACGACGACGGCGCCAATCCATCAGGTCGAGTGACCTCGGCACATTCATCGACATGAACGCCTTCCGTCTCTTTATCGAGGACGGCCAGTTTCGAGATCCGCACGGCCGTCAAGTCGTCCTTCGCGGAATCAATGTCGCTGGCGACGCCAAGCTGCCCAGCGACCCGGACCAGCCCTCACAGAACCCCGATGCCTTCTTCGACGGCGACAACGTCAATTTCCATGCCCGCCCTTTTACACAGCAAGATGCGCATGTCCACTTTGCACGCGTAAAGCGCTATGGCTTCAATACGATCCGTTACGTCTTCACCTGGGAGGCGATCGAGGCTGCGGGGCCGGGGAAGTACGACGAGGAATACATACAGCACACCATTGAGATTCTGCGCATTGCGAAGCGATATGGTTTCTTTGTTTTCATGGACCCGCACCAGGACGTGTGGTCGCGGTTCACGGGAGGATCAGGCGCGCCCATGTGGACAGTCTACGCGTGTGGACTGAACCCTCAAAGCTTCGCCGCCACAGAGGCTGCAATCGTCCATAACACATACCCGGACCCGGCAAAATTTCCCAAGATGATCTGGTCTACCAATTATTACCGGTTGGCAGCGGCCACGATATTTACCTTCTTCTTTGCCGGGCGTGACTTTGCGCCCAAGTGCATCATAGACGGTGTCAACATCCAGGACTACTTGCAGGATCATTTCGTCAAGGCATGCGGACACCTGGCCCAGAGGATAAACGAGGCTGGTGATCTAGAGAACGAAGTCGTCATGGGCTGGGAGAGTATGAACGAACCCAATCGTGGGCTGACGGGGTACGTCGACCTGAGCCAGATCCCAAAAGAGCAGAACCTGAAGAAGGGGACCTGCCCGACCATCTGGCAGACTATCTTGAACGGCAGCGGGCGGGCTTGCGAGATTGACGAGTACGAAATGGGCGGCCTGGGGCCATACAAAACCGGGTCGCGACTTGTGGACCCTCATGGCGAGATTGCATGGTTGCCTGTAGAATACGACGACACAAAGTACGGATGGAAGCGTGATCCGGGGTGGAAGTTCGGCGAGTGTATCTGGGCGCAGCATGGCGTGTGGGACCCAACCACCGACACCTTGCTGAAGAAGGACTATTTCAAGAAGAACCCACGCACTGGGAAAGAGATTGACTATCCCGAGTTCACCAACACCTATTTCATGGACTTTTGGAGAAGGTTCAAGGATTCGTGCCGGAGTGCGCACAAGGACTGTATCATGCTGATGCAATACCCAACCCTCGAGATCCCGCCTAACATCAAAGGCACTCCTGATGACGACCCTCGCCTGGTCTTTACACCGCATTATTACGATGGCATCACACTCATGACGAAGCATTGGAATAGCACCTGGAATGTCGACGTGGTGGGAGTGTTGCGTGGGAAATATTGGCACCCTGCATTTGCCATCAAAGTGGGCGAGACAGCAATCCGGAACTGCTTGAGGGATCAGCTCAAATTTTTGAGCGACGAAGGCAAGGAACAGACGGGCAATCACCCCTGCATCTTGTCAGAATTCGGTATTCCCTATGACATGGACGACAAAAAGGCATATCAAACCGGCGACTACTCGAGTCAATCGGCAGCTCTCGATGCCAACTACTTTGCCGTCGAGGGTGCCAAGCTAGAGGGACACTGTCTGTGGCTGTACACGGTCAACAACGACCACCAGTGGGGCGACCAGTGGAATGGCGAGGACTTGTCAATCAACTCTGTCGACGACCGGCTGCCGCCATCCTCAGCGGTCCCCAGGAACCAGTCGATCGACGCGTCCAAACCCACGGACAGCGCGAACGACGTGGCCGAAGATGACAACGTGACGCCGGCGAACCTGCAAAGGACATTGACAAGTCCGTCTATCAGCTCAGTGCCCTCCGGCAAGGACCCACAACTGACGAATGCCCCAGGTCTACGTGCAGCTGAGGCATTCATCCGCCCGACGCCCACTTTCGTCGCGGGCACTGCCGTCGAGTATGGCTTCGACCTCCGCAACTGCACTTTCACCCTGCAGGTGTCATCGCAAAGCGCAGCCGGCGACGCCAACCCCACAATCATCTACCTTCCTGAGTTCCACTTTCCCCGGGACATTAGCGATGTCGACGCGTCCGGGGGCAAGTGGGAGATGAGCTCGGACGAGGATGAAGGGACGTCGCTGCAGAGGCTCAAGTGGTGGAATCCGCAAGGAAAGCATGAGCTCAGAATCACAGGCCTGGCGAGGAAGCACAATGTGCCCCCTGGAACGGAGGAGGAGGAGGGATACCTGGAACAGTGCCGCGAGGGCTACAGCTCGAGTTGCAGCGTCATGTGATTGATTACCCGGTGAGCGAGCGTTTACGACAACACATGCGGCGTTTGGGCGTTTGAGACGCTGGCGACTGGCCCGCGTAGCGCAGTGATGCTCGGGCCACGGCTCGTTTAAAGAAGAATTTTTGATCGCGTCCTCTGTCTCGCTAGAGGATAGAAGTACATGTATACATGTTGGATATTGAGGTAGTGGTGCACTAGAGACAGGGCGCCATGCACTCAGCCAGGTTACATGCTCATTGTCGAAAGTCAGGGCCCTTCGAATGGTTGATTGGTTTGCTTTTCGCATCATGGCTGAGGCGACATGGCTGTAAATACACAATTTAAATTATAGGACTACCACACTCTAGACATTAATCAGGTCACACGCAGGGTGACCTCAATGACCTCAAGACATACCATACCGGCTATCCATCTCAACTAAGCATGGCTATGAGCTGGCGAGACTGCCACCTTACAGGTTGCTTTCGAATAGCAGGATCATCTCCTCAGCCTCCTTGGCCAAGTCTACGGGTACAGATGCTGTCCCAGCCAGCCTGAGGCCCGTCACCATCGGGATTGAATACCATTCCACACCTTCCCAAGTCAAACGCGCTGAGAAATTAATTCAACGCTTTCGATTGGAGTTGAATCTCCAGGGGGTTCGAGCTCGTCGTCTCGGGAGTGGAAGACTGTTGGTACTTGCCGACGCTACGAGTCTGTCGACCACAGCCTGGCAACTGAGGGCCGATAGGAACACTGTTTATAATTATCACCCAAGGAAGGAATGCAGATCCAATGGTGAAACCTGCATCTTAAGACGCCGCTCTGGGTACAACTAGGATCAACAAGTTCGTCTCTGGCGACTCTGGTCTACATGGCACACACTGCAGCACATTTTCATCATGATATCGCCGCCAAAGAGGAGACAAAATTTTGTGCAGCTCAGCGATAAACATCAAAAGCGAGGACGGCAGTAAGGGGAACCTCGTTCAGACTTAAAAAGGTCATAATACCCGCTGAAAATCATGAACAGGAGAGATTTGCGGAATGTACTTACCTTAGATAGGTTGACAGACACTACGGACTAGGGTAGCTCGAACCCCACGCTGCTCCCGAGACATCTTCTGCGAGACTCAGACAGTGACAGCCATTGGCCGCTAGAGGCTGCAAGGCCCCACTATAACTTCCAAAATGGCCAGTCACGGCACAGTTCGACGCAGCGACAAGTCCCTGTAAGCGCCAGTGCGATCAATCGATAAGCTTCCGTGCGCTATCCTTGGAGGTCGGACCCCCGAGTGCCCCTGCCGCCGTTCTCGGTTTCTCCACCTTTAAGCCCAATATGCTCCGTACGAGCGACCGAGTGCATGTACGCTGCGTCCAGTCCCATTCATTGTCATGATTATCAGCATTGTTGGTAGCAGAAGATCCGCAAGCTCGGCCGTCCGTTTCCTGTCCTGAATCTAGGCCAGGGTCGACTGCAGTTCCTCGTGTGCTGAATTGCTCACGACGCTCCTTGCGACTCTCTGGCTGCCTCGACGGAAAAGCGCAGACTGGCGCATGCTCCAAAGGCTGCAATTGGGCTTGACGACGCCGTTGCGCTGCGTGCTCTGTTCACCAGATGGTCCGGTCTCGTTGCCGTCTTCTGCTATTGAGGTTTTTCGCTGACCGCTCAGCTTCAGTCCAGTCCCTTCAACGAATGAAAAGCCATCTCATGTCGAATGCCCGTCGACCCAAACCATCCACGTCACACGATCCCCTCGAATCGGCCCCGGCGCCCAACTTCCCATCCTGACCGAGCGCTTCCCCGATAGACATACAATATGTATCCCGGAGGCCAGCGACATGTCTCTTCCAACGATTCCAACAACAGAGGCTTCCCTCCTCCGCCGCCGCCGCCGCCCATGTCTCCCCCCATGCAAGGCCCCCAGGTGGGCAGCATGGTCATCCCGCCGCCGCCTCCACGGTATAACCAAGGACCAGGCATGAATCTCCCGCCGCCTCCTGGACCGCCTCCCATGTCCCAACAGCAATCACAGCCGTGGCAGTTTGGCAGCATGTACAATAGCCGACAAGGTTACCCAGTGCCTCCACCGCCCGCACTATCCGGGCAGGTCCAGCCCTACAACCCCAAGGTGCATGCGCAGATGGTGGCCATGGGGAAACCGTTGATGAGCGCGACATATGTGCCTTCGGGGGACCCGACGTTTGGAGATACACCTGGCATGCCGGGCTATGGGCCTGACGACTCGACATCTGTATCTTCTTCAACAATCAACACGCAGACCTCGTGGTTGCTTACGCCGCACAGTACGACAGACACGAGCATGACGCTGCCGCCGCCCGAGGAGCCCAGGGATAGGAAGAATGAGGCGGCCAGTGCCGCGTCCGAGTCCTCGATACCGCCCGAGGTTGCTGCGCAGTGGCCCCTGGACACTGTGCTCATATGGCTGGCCAAACATCAGTTCTCAATGGAGTGGCAGGAGACGTTCAAGGCACTCAACATCTCCGGGACTCAGTTTCTAGAAATTGGTACGCCTCATGGTGGGCGTGGCAGCGTGGGCATGATGCACCAACACGTGTATCCACGGCTGAAGAAGGAATTTTTGAATGGCGGCATGCAATGGGATTCGGGCAGAGAACGAGAGGAGGGGAAAAGACTACGCCATTTGATCCGGAGCATCGTGGCCGGGAAGCCCGTAGACCCGGCCAAGTCGGTTCCTTCACACACGCGGAAAGAGAGCTCGTCGGGAACGCAAGGGCCTACCAGTCTCCCTAGTGCTGGGACGGACCCGAGTGATTCACCAAACACCCCTCTGCATTCTACAGGGCCCTTCTCGTCCCGGCGGTATTCTCAGAATCGTACTCACAACGCACCTGACGCAGGTCATCGCAGTATGCTGCAGCAGCTCAGCAATGAGGGCACAAGGCGACCCAGTCCGCACACCAACGACTCGAATGAAGGTGGCACATTCCGAGGCGCTGCTGCGCAGGTTGAGAGTCCACATGGTAGCCCTGTGCCCCAGCAGGCTACGTTCGCGCCATCAACCACTACCCCGATCTTGTCAGCTTCTCCCAGTCAGACGCGTTTTGCTCATCGTTCGCGGATGAGTACTGACTCGGCGGCCTCGAACGCTGCCCACTATGGCTCCGGCGTACCACCAGAGGCGCAGCATCGTGCCCTCAACTTTGACGAGATTATGCGGCCTCGACAGTCTCCTCAAGAAGCTGGCGACGGGTCGGCCGGATCTGAGCCTCAGTCGGCTCGTGACTCAAAGAGCTTCCTTGGCTTCTTGAGAAAAAAGAAGACCAAGGATGAGACATCACACCACTCACCCGAAGATATCGAGTCTCCGACCAGCCTGGACTCGGGCTTACCTAAATCCCATTCGTTTGCCAGCCGCGCGGCTGCCAGTGACACGCATCTGCCAGGGCCTACGGGCGAGGTGAAACACCTTCGCTCCACGCGAATCTACGTCCTTGCGACTATGGATTGCTGGAACTGGCGCATGTGCGACGTGACCGGGGCCAACACAGCAGCAGAGGTCCGACGCGAATTGTGCACGCAACTGGGACTGATCGACTTTGCAGACTCGGTCATCTATCGTACAGAGCTGGGCACGTTTGATCATCAGGACTTCTTGGACGATCAGAAATTACTGTCGACGAAGCGTACGCATGCCGATACGGTTGGGTCCCTCAAGTTCTTCGTCATGCCTGGGCCCGCTGTTCCCGCCAACAAGCAAAGCTTGCAGACCACCTCAGATGTGCCTCGATCCCTGTCACCGGGCTATGTCCCTCCAGGGGCTGTACTTGATGAAGAGGCATATGCCAAACTCAGTGGGCGTCAACGATCAAGCTCATCGCCGCCCAGCTCACGGTCGAACACGATTTCAGGAGATCGCAATGAGCTCATAGAAGACCCCAAGTTGGCACAGGAGGCGAGCGAGTACCGGGCAGAAATGGAGCGTCGTCAGCAGGAGTACTTTGCGCGCAAGAAGCAGGCCACCAAGCGTGAGAGCCCGACCGCTCCAGAACTTACCACAGGCTTTGGGATTGTCGGCAGCAGGCATGTCGACTTTGATCAACCTCGCAACTCGCCGTTTGAGGACAAGAGGCCAGAGCACCTATTTCCACAACGCAAACCACCAGCGCCACCTAGCGATCCATCTGCGACCTTGATCAAGGCAAACTCGTTGCGAAGCAAGCCCTCTGGACACCGAACAAATGACAGCGGGGACGGGTTTCCCACGCCTCGCCACCCGCTTGCTACTGCATCCGAACTGAACCCGAAGAAGGGCAGAGTCTCACCACAAGGGGGTATTGGTGCTGCTCTTGCTGGCATGGGGCGCCATCTAGGGGCAGTAGGCCAGTCTACAGCCAATGCTCCTGCGCCACACAGAGTGATGACCCAACCGCCAGAAGGAAGGATGCCTGCTGAACTTGGTGGGAACAGCGTACAGACTCGCTCCACCTTCCCAGCTGAAAGCTCTTCCGCTGGCAGAAAGTCCAGGGGCTCCGAGTCTAGTTTCCAGGAGTCAAGTATAAACTTCAGGTCCTCTCCGCCGGCACCGCACACGGCAAAGCAGCCCTCGCCGCAACCACGCAGAGCTCCTCCCGACAATGATGACAGCGATGACGACTCGGACGATGGCCTGTTTGCCATTCCTCTTGCTGGACGGAACAAGGGGAAGGCGGCAGCTGCCAGTCCAAGGCCAGGCAGTGGTCAGGGGCACTCCAAGGGACCGAGCTTGACATTGAACATTCCCAAGTCGAAGAAACCGCAAGTGTCTTTCACATCGCCCAAATCGTTGAATAGCGCCCACACAGGCGACAGCAATGATGATGCGCGTGCCCTCAACAGTGCTCATCGAACACCCGCGACGCCACGGTCGGAGGACTTTGACGATAGGGACAGCAAAATCAACCGCAGAAAGTCATTCATCGAGAAGGATGTCTGGGCTAATCGCCCCCCAACTGCCGCCCTTTTGAACAACCTGGACGACTTCTTCCCGAACTTGGATCTCGACCAGCCTGTCTTGGATGAAATTGCAGAGGCAGACTCTCAGCCATCGCCGATTCCCGAGGGCGAGGAGAACATTGATCGGATGCCGCAGACTCCAGCAGCTGGACCGTCCGGCTTGCCACAGCATTTGTCTAGCCATTCGCGATCAAACTCCACGTATAACGATGGAGAGTATAACGATGGAGACACGCTTGGATCGGACGAATCGACCCTCAAAGCAAATGAGCGGAACTCAATTGCGAGCAGGAGCAGCGCGCGCAAGTCTGGCGGTCTCGGCCGGATGAAGTCCATCCGTGAGGTCGCTAACAAGCGATATACCGGGGGTGCGCAAAAGTTTGGCAAGCCAACGAGCAATCCTAGCAACAACAATATCCTCCGCCGGAAGAGCACCAAGATGTTCAACGCCAATATTGTGCAGATTCGCCCGGAACGTGGCAGTATCGGTCTACCGCCGATCCCACAGGATGTCTTGCCGAAGCGTCAGACCACATTCCGTTGGTTCAAGGGCCAGTTGATCGGCAAGGGTACGTATGGTCGCGTGTACCTCGGTATGAATGCCACCACTGGTGAATTCTTGGCTGTCAAGGAAGTGGAGGTGAATCCTCGGGCGGCCGCTGGCGACAAGGAGAAGATGCGCGAGATGGTGGCGGCCCTGGACCAAGAGATTGACACGATGCAGCACTTGGATCACGTCAATATCGTGCAGTATCTGGGCTGCGAGCGGAAGGAGACGAGCATCAGCATCTTCCTGGAGTACATTTCTGGTGGTAGCATTGGATCATGCTTGAGAAAACATGGTCGCTTTGAGGAATCCATTGTTTCGTCGTTGACGCGGCAGGCTCTTTCGGGGTTGGCGTACCTCCACCGAGAAGGCATCCTGCACCGCGACCTGAAAGCGGACAACATTCTTCTGGATGTCGACGGCACTTGCAAGATCAGTGACTTTGGTATCTCGAAAAAGACGGACAACATTTATGGCAACGACAAGACCAACTCGATGCAAGGGTCCGTCTTCTGGATGGCGCCCGAGGTCATCCGCTCGCAGGGCGAAGGCTACAGCGCTAAAGTGGACATTTGGAGCCTGGGCTGTGTGGTGCTTGAGATGTTTGCGGGCAAACGTCCTTGGGCCAAGGAAGAAGCGATTGGAGCGATCTACAAGATTGCCAATGGCGAGACGCCACCCATCCCTGAAGATATCCAAGGCACCCTTGGCCCGTACGCTGTGGCGTTTATGATGGATTGCTTCCAAGTGTGAGTTCCCTTTTTTGGTAACTTTTCTTTGTGGCGTATGAACTGACTGGTGCTTAGAAACGCCTTTGACCGTCCGACTGCGGATATCCTGCTGTCACAGCACCCATTCTGCCAGTACGACCCGGATTACAACTTTTTCGACACAGAGCTGCATGCCAAGGTCAAGGGCACGTTCAAGAGCGAGTAAACCCGTACATGATTTTCTGTCATCTTGTTCGTAAATGTGAAGCGTGGCGTATGTGTTTGCAAGGGATGAGTGCATTGATTTGGGTACATTGGCAAAAGAAACACTCGGTAGACTTGTTGGGCAGTGCTCAGGATATGAGTGCCATATGTTGAGTCACTTTTGGTTCTGAGTAAAGAGTCTGATGTAGTGACGGGGAGAGTTTATTGTCACTACAATTTACCTGAATGGTGATCGAACTCCTATTGTAGCTGGACAAAAGCATTGCTCAATTACTCTCATCTCCTATCACACACACTGCTCAAGCCTTTCTGTCTGCAAAGCTGGCCCCACAGTGTCAAATCTCACAGCACGATGACATCGACACTGAGTGAAGCTCTCCACTCCTTCAACTTTCACTTCATCATTGTGCCTTCGCGTCTCTTTGCATAATAGCAACCCATTTATCACTTTGTCCGATGTGTGGTTGAGGCAACCCGATAAATTCAAGCGCCGGCCTTTGAGCCTTGCAATCCTCCCTCCTTGTGACCCAACACTCAACCCCGCCAGCGTGGCAATATGGCCACATCCAAGGCTCAGCTGAAGGCGATTAACGAAGCCATCAAGGACTCCAAATTCGACGAGGCGATTGAGAAGTCCAGAGAATTCCTGGCTAAAGACTCCAAGAACTACCAAGGGTGAACTCGCTCACGGCTTTAAGATCGATCCTTTGCTAACGAATTATGGCAGATACATCTTCCTTGGTTTTGCTTTAGACAAGAAGCAGGACTACGAAAACTCGGAGAAGACATACCGGGCAGCGGTAGAGGCAAAACCCCAGGAAGCTCAGGCATGGCAGGGACTGGTCAGGATCTACGAAAAGCAAGGTACGAAGAAGCTTGGGCCTTACCAAGAAGCAGTGATCAACTTGGCGCGCATCTTTCACGACGCAGATGACCTGTACAAATCGCAGGATGTGGTCAACAAATTCACAGACTACGTCAGGACCAACGGCGACAGGTTAGAGTACGCCGACGCGCTCTGGATCACCCTTCCTGAAAGCCCCATCTATCCCCTCCTAGAGGGTCGCCTGCCGCACCCCAGCCAGACGTACGAAAGAGTGGCGGGCATCCTCGAAGACTTTGAGAAGAAGAAAATCAACACTCTGATCGGAGAACGGCGGACGAGGCTTGGCGCGAAGCTCAGCGAGGTCACTCTAGAGGTCAAGCGCGAGGTATACGCGCAAAGCCGGCTGGAGCACATCTACCGACAGCTCATCAACTGGACATCAGATGACGACATTCGACGCCAATATGAGGAAAAGCTATTGTTTTACTGCTACGAACGTCTTTTATGTACCCCGCCAGGCGAGCTCAAAGACCAAGAGCGACAAAAGGTGTTTGGCCTGGCCCGCGACATGGTGGCGATCGACCACCCATACAAGCTAGCCTGGGATATAACTGTCGACTGGCAAGACCACAAGGAAGTCAGCCAATATGACCCTGCGGTTTTGCGAAGCTATCGCCAACATTTCCCCGAGAGTGATCTGTACAAGGTCATCACCGCCTACTTGACCAGTACCATTTCGCCTTTTGGGCCACTCGACGGAGAGAAGGACGAAAAGGACGAGCGAAAGAGCTCCATCTCCAAAGCGTCTGACGACAGCGAAGACGACGACGAGGGTGGCGTTGCCACGTACATCGTGCCATTGACCGACGAGGACCGCATGACAATGTTGACTGAAGGGGTTACATTGCTCACCTCCCCCTTTGGTTACAGGCTAGCCGGCCAGATGTTCTTACACCATGGCGAGTACGAGACCACCGTGGAGTTTATGCGCAAGGCCAAGACTTTTCTCAGTCAGGAGAAGCCCAAGACAGGACTATCCTCCACCAACACGGAAGACTCTTACAATCTGAGTCTGGGCACAGCACTCGTGTACTACCAATCGCCACGACACCACACTGAGGCAAAATCGTTATTTGACAAGGTCCTTGAACATGATTCCAGCTCCACGCAGGCCATGATCGGTGTCGGTCTGATCTATGAAGAGGAGGAAGAGTATGATCAAGCCATCGACTTCTTGAGTCGCGCCCTCAAGAGAGATGATGCCAACGTACGGATCCGATCGGAGGCTGCCTGGGTCAAAGCCCTCAAGGGAGATTGGCAAGCTGCCAAGGACGAATTGCAACGATGCATTGAGCTCATCGGAACCAAAACCCCACCCAAGCAGCTACTCGCGGACACACAATACCGCCTCGGCTCGTGCATCTGGAACCTGGACTCTAGTCGGCAGGCGCGCAAGCAACGTGGAGCCAACAGCGCTTACGCCTTGTGGCTGGCGGCGCTCAAGAACAGCTTGAACCACGCGCCTACCTACACCAGCCTGGGCATTTACTATGCCGACTATTCCAAAGACAAGAAGCGCGCGAGGCGCTGCTTCCAAAAGGCTTTGGAGCTCTCGTCGGCCGAGGTGATGGCAGCGGAGCGGCTCGCCCGGTCATTTGCTGACGACGGTGACTGGGACAGAGTCGAGCTCGTCGCGCAGCGAGTTGTCGACTCGGGCAAGGTCAAGCCTCCTCCCGGGTCCAAAAGGAAGGGTATCAACTGGCCGTTTGCAGCGCTCGGTGTCGCTGAGCTGAACAAGCAAGATTTTCACAAGGCTATCGTGTCGTTCCAGTCCGCGCTACGGCTCGCGCCGAATGACTATCATTCCTGGGTAGGACTTGGCGAAAGCTACCATAGCTCTGGACGGTACGTGGCCGCAACCAAAGCCATTATGAATGCGCAGAAGCTCGAAGAAGACTCGGAAAGCGATGTGTCGGGCGACACGTGGTTCACCAAGTACATGCTTGCCAATATCAAGCGTGAGCTCGGCGAATACGACGAGTCGATTGATTTGTACGAGGCAGTCATGAAGACACACCCCGAAGAAGAGGGTGTTACGATTGCCTTCTTGCAGACCATGGTGGAGAATGCCCTGAGCTCAGTTGAGAAGGGTCTGTTCGGCAAGGCTATCCAACTAGCAAAGGATGCTATTGAGTTTGCTGGGAAGACGGAAGGGTCAGTCCAGGAGACTTTTAACTTTTGGAAGTCGCTCGGTGACGCGTGCTCCGTCTTCGTGTCTGTCCAAAGCCGACTGGACGAGATTCCCTCCGATTGCGTACAGCGGCTGGTAGGCCTCGTTGCGAAGGAGGCAAGCGATCTTTACGCGACATATGACAAGGTTACCATTGGGATAAAAAACGACGGTGCCCAGTTTGAGGAGGGGCTAACCCATTGTTTACATGCCATGATCTACTTCTTCAAGCAGGCCATACACGTCTCGTCGGTTGACCGATATGCTCAGGCGGTGGGCTACTACAATCTGGGCTGGGCTGAACACCAAGCTCACACCTGCCTGCCTGGCAATCTGAGCAAGAAAGCGAGTGGCTACTCCAAGACTTCGATCCGCGCGTTCAAACGAGCAATCGAGCTGGAGGCTGGCAACTCGGAATTTTGGAATGCACTGGGTGTGGTGACGTGCTACACCAACCCCGAGATATCCCAACACGCTTTCATCCGCAGTCTGTACCTTAATGAACGGAGTCCCGCGGCCTGGACGAACATGGGTGCTTTGGCACTTCTTTCCGGAGACACTAAGCTCGCAAACGAGGCATTCACGAGGGCGCAGTCTACCGACCCCGACTATGCTCATGCGTGGCTTGGGCAGGGCTTCGTGGCGCTTATGTGCGGTGATGGAAAGGAAGCTCGCGGGTTGTTCACCCACGCTATGGAAATCGCAGAGGCATCGTCCGTACCAACGCGCCAGCACTATTCGATATCCATGTTCGACCACATCCTGGCTGCACCTGCCGGCCTGAGCATAGCGTCACTTGTGCAGCCCCTGTTTGCACTGAACCAGCTCTGCAGTCTTCGTCCGCATGACCTTGCATTTGCCCATCTCGCAACCATGTTCCAGGAACGCACGCGCGAGAGCGGGCGTGCTGTCGAGATTTCCGAAAAGATCTGCTCACGGCTCGAAGCGGACTACGAGAAGACCGAGTCGGCAGAGAGTCTGGCGCAATTTATGCTTGCTAGGACGGATCTGGCCAGAGCATACCTTGCAGACGGTGATTACGAAAAGGCCAACGAGTGTGGCAGTATGGCTCTCGAACTAAGCTCCGACGAGGGCGACAACGAGCTTCCGCGTGAGCAGCGAAGCAAAGCCAGACTTTCAGCTCACCTCACCGTTGGCCTCGCAAAGTATTACCTCAAATCCTTTGACGAGGCGCTGGCGAGCTTTGAAGCTGCCTTGAAGGAGTCGGACCAGAATCCAGATGCCACATGTCTGCTTGCGCAGGTTCTGTGGGCACAGGGCACAGACGACGCAAGAGAACGAGCACGCTCTATACTCTTTGAGGTTATTGAGACACACCCCGGCCACGTCCAGTCCGTTCTCCTGCTCGGTGTCGTCGCTCTCCTCGACGATGACGAGGACAGTATTGAGGCCGTCGTTGAAGAGCTCCAGGGACTGCGCACAAACGACAAACTCACGGCCAGTGAGCAGTCTCACATTGGCGAGGTGTTACGTACTATTGCAGCCGTCAGTGGGAAGAAGGAAGACATGACAAATCAGGTACAGAACGACATAATGTTGTACCCCCATCTACCGCACGGCTGGTCGAGTCTTGCCGAGACAGCAGGCGATGAGCAGGCGGCACAAATGGCACTCAAGGTCGCGACGAGGGGCATTCCCCCACGCGGTGTTCTCGGAGGAGAAGACGTGTCGAGGGCGTATTCGGGCACCGGTCGGGCCGGCGATGCCCAACGTGCTGTGCTGCTTGCGCCCTGGGAGAAGAATGGCTGGGGTGCGTTGAGTATAGCAACAGAGGGTATCTAGACTTGAATAATAGGAAAATGGGTATCACTGTTTTACTGTGCCGGCCTGTCCTGACCGACTTCGGCCTTTAATCTTGCCAGCCGTCCCTCAACCCACGTTCTTTGCCAGGCGTCAATCTTTCCGCCCAGAAACACACACTTGTCAGCCGTGAGCAGGACGGTCCCTCGCGCCACCACCGTACCCCTTTTGAGAAGGATCTTTTCCCCCATCATGGTTTTGCCAATGCCAATCTTGTCTATGCGCCTCAACTCAATGGCGTACACTTTGTTCCCCGCGCGATCTTGCAGTGTGAGTCTGTGTGTTGCATTCTTCCCTGCCTGGGTCGGCTGCGCTTGCGTCGCAGGCTGCGACTGTGTGCTCACATTGTCGTTCTCCTCGCCCGTGACTTGGATGACCTCCCTTCCTCGGGTCCGCTCGCCACGATCAATGGCCTCTAGCTCCTCGACTTGCTCCCAGCGGCTGATGCTGAGATTCTCAATGTCCACGACCTGGACGTGGATGTCTCCGCCGAGGACGACTTCCTTTGCCGCCGGACTATCGATGCCAGCTGGAAGGGTCGGCAGAGAAGGGTTGATGAGGGGAGACGATGTGAGGTCAGAGGAGAGTATTCGAGACTTGGCGGTTGCGAGAAGTGAGGGTAGAGGAATGGACGGGGAGAGGGAGGAGAGAAGATTTTGTGAAGGAGGCGGGAATGATGATGCTTGTAGAGCGGATATGATCTGAGAAGAGACGTCCATTCCGCGATGGAGGCTTGATTCGAAGTCCTCGCTAGGTAGTCTATGCTATTTGGAAAAGCAAACTGCCTCATGTGTGAGGAAAGACGTGCTGATGAGTTAAGGGATGGGCGTGGTGTCGGGTAGGTCAACTGGCTGCAAGCCGGACCTGACAACAAGGGTCCATCAATGTCACCCAAGCTGCTGGTATCTCGACTAGAGCTGACGTCGACAACAGCACGACGAGGCCTTCCACAACCAGCACATTTGCCGTTATCATCACCTTCACCGGCCATCATGTCCACCATAGCCTCCCCGCGACCACTCTCGCTCCGTCGAACACCTACCAACTCTACTCGCCCGTCGATCGACACCGTCCGATCGGCTGTGACATCTCCGACTCTCGCACCGACCACTAACCCGGCACCACAACCTACAAAACGTTCCAATCGAGCTGCGCTCCGAGAGTATTACAACCTGCGCGCCGCGGCGGCACCTCCACGGATCAAGCTACCTGATTCCGAAGTGCCGGCCAGTGACATTGACGCTGAGGACTTCAAGCCCGAGGAGTATGTCGACAAGGTGGTAGGGGAGAGCACGCTCGAGGAGCTGCTGCGACTGTACACGCGCGTGCTAGGAGAGGTCAGGGCGCTGGATGCGGAAAAGAAAGCACTGGTGTACGACAACTACAGCAAGCTCATCACAGCGACTGAGACGATACGAAAGGTGAGCAGCGGCAGCTGGGTTCTTTGGGAGTTGGGTGGGCTGACTTGAATTAAGATGCGCGCGAACATGGACCCATTGAATCCCATGGCGTCGACGCTGGACCCGGCGATTGCGCAAATCTACACACAAGCCTCGTCGATACGAGAAGCACTACGCCGTGATATCCCGCCACCCCAGTCGGAGGAAGGAAAGAAGCGAGACGCCGAGCAACGGCGGAGACGGACGAAGGAGCTTGCTGTCGAAGCGCTCGCCACACCAGACAGAATGCGCGCATTGGTGGAAGGTGGGAAGGTGGACGAAGCGAGGAGACTATGGGAGCGGCCCAGGCGGTTGCTCGTGTCGTGGAAGGAGAAAGGTGTCGGAGGAGACGATGTCCAGCAGTGCATTGACGACGGCGACGACGCACTGCAGGCATCAGAGGGTACACAGTCCTCACGGCCTTCGAAAGACTCTATCCGCATTACCAGGGAGGAGGTGCCATGAGACCATTGTCAATTATACAGCGAGATACCCCTTTAGATTTCTACAGATCTTCCACATTGACAATGGTGAATGGGTCCTTGTCGTACTTACTCACCACGACTTTGGCGTCCTTGAATTGTTGTTGTCTTAACTCTTCCTGCAGCCTTGGCTTGAGGACCTCCTGGAGATAAGCCCTCTCTGAGTTACTGTGGAAGACAGTGACAAGAGTCCTGCCCTGCTGGATGGCGCGCAGCGCGGAATGGTGGCTGGTCTCGCCCGTCACGATCAAGTCGACGTCGGCCTTTTTCAGGACGTCGTAGCCACTGCCGGCGCAAACGCCAAAGGACTTGACCTTGGCGGTTTTGGGGTCCGAGCCCACGGGCGAGGCGATCATGATGTGCTGCAGCCCACCCAGCTTCTCGGCCAGCCTCTTCAGGATCTCACTGAGGGGCACCTCATCGGCAAAGTTACCAATGGCGCCGTACCCAGCGGGCGAGTGAGACTCGGGTGCTGCGTTGCAAGGAACGGCCACAGATCTCTCTGACTTGTGCTCGCCGGAAATGACATTGGCCAACCAGGTGTTCAGTCCCTCTGGCGCAGCGTCCACAGCTGTGTGTGGGCAGTAGACGGCGACTCCGGCCTTGGCCAGGTGAATCAGCGTTGCTTGTTGAGGGTCATTGTGGGTGATGCTCTTCAAGCCACTGAAAATAAAGGGGTCTGTTTTCTTAGCTTTCAAGACCTCCGCAAGACGCAAGGGGTTGTATGAGACTCACGGTAAGAAACAATCACGCTGACTCCTTGCTCAATTGCGTCGACAGCCACTTGATAGGTCAAGTCATTCGTCACCATGACCACTGGCTTCCGCTTGTCGGTGCCGTCGTCAGTGTTGGACAGGAGCAAGCCAACATTGTCCCAGCTTCGGTCTGCCAGCTCCTCAGGATATCTACTTGCCTTAGCTTCTGGATACCACTTGACGATCTGAAAAGACAAGAAACACACAGCTTCTTCATAGAGTCCACTACCGACTTTGTGAAAGAGGATGGTTCGACCTGCCACGCGCCCCAGGCAGCGCCAGTGGAGGCTGGTGAAGTCATACTGGTGCGCTGGGCGTTGTAACGATATGAACAAGTTCTCGTTTGCCGAAGGCTTTGAGTTGCGAATTTACAAGGTAAGATATGCCGTGTAGGGATCTTCGAGCGAGGAACAAAGCTTCTTGTCAATCTGAAAGATCTCATGGCGCATACGGGTATGCAGCTCCCAAAATGCCAGAATGAATTGCGAATGCAAGCTAGCCCGATGAGCTCATACCGTGCAGAATGCGGGCAAGCGCACTGTCTCCGCAATATCTAATCAATCAATTAATCAATCTACTTCAACGACCAGCGCAAGACCCCTCCAAATCAAGGACAACCATCACCGAAACGCACCAGACATGGCTGAAGCGTTGACCACGGAGTCTCTCAAGGCGATCATTCTGTCTCGACTCGACGCCACTCATGTCGAGGTGACCGACATGTCCGGTGTGTTCTCTCGCGCGCGCGACCACCTCAACCCGCCTGCGCGAAGCTAACGAGCACGTTTCCTAGGTGGCTGCGGCCAAGCCTTCACCACCGTCATCGTGTCTCCCCAGTTCCAGGGGCTCAACTCGCTCAAGCGCCATCGCCTCGTGAACGGTGCCTTGAAACAGGAAATCGCGGCGATACACGCCTGGACGGCCAAGTGCAAGACACCGGACGAGTGGCAGCGCGACCAGGGCGAGGCGAATCGACCAGACTTGGAGGGGACCGTCGGCGGCAAAGTAGAGGGCACAACGCAATAACATATAGGGATACCAGGGAAAAGGGCTTCCAAAGACATGTTGGCTACACGGAACATGTATGCGCGGGTCAACTTAGAGAACGTTGTGCAAACAGAATGATTCGGTACGCCTTTGGGCCTTTTTTTATACGACACCAGATGCATGCTACCGTATCTACTACAGCCTTGACACTAAAACAAGCCGAGCAAGTCATCGCTATCCTTCTTTTGCCCCTGCGGTTGCGCCGGCTGTCCATCCTGCGCATTCTGTAGTTGTATCGCGGCGGGTAGGGGCTCCCCGGACGGCTGGCCCCCAAAGTTCAGGCCCTCAAACCCGTTCATCAGGTCATTCATGCCGCCGCCGCCAGTCTGCTGTGCAGGCATGGGTGCAGGTGAAGATGTAGATGCCGGCGCAGGCGCAGGCGCGTCAAACATGCTCATCATGTCGGCCATGCCACCAGACGCCTGCCCGCCAACCGCTGGGCTGGCCGTCCGTGACGGCGCTCCGCTGTTCTGCTGCTCATGGCTTGCTGGCGCAGCACCGTCGAAGTCGATGTCGAGGAGGTTTTCGACATTATTCTGCTGGGTCGCGCCGGGGGCACCGCTGGGCGCAGACGCCGCAATAGGATTCTCGGCTGCGTTCTGGCGCTGCTCCTGGATAGCAGCGCGCTGCACCTCGTCAGCGCCGAATCGGCCCTTGCCGACAAAGGACTCGGGGGGCTTGTGGTAGACAGAAGCAAGTGTCGATAGTTCTGAGAGCAGCTGCTCGAGGAGTTGTGTGGGAAGGCTGGTGACAGTTGTGGAAATGGTCGGCTTTTCAGAGAGAACGATATTCTGCGTGCAATGGTCAGCATCGAGGGATTGGCATGACGAATGTGGCATGTACCTTGGCGACGTCGAGATCGCCAGACAGAAGACGCCAGTAGACGTAAGCTCTGTCACGAATATCCGGATTGTCGTTCTCGGCGGTCGCAGCTTGCAGCACCTTCTGCACGAGCCCTTGGGCGCTGCTGGGCTTTTTCAGGAAAAGCTTGACCGCAGCAGTGAGGATCTGCAATTGCGTCTGCGCAAATTCCTCGTTAAACTCATCGACAAAGCTCGTCAGGATCTCGTCGGCGTTGCTGATCCTCTCAGCGTACTCTCCCACGATCCAAATCAGCGAGGCCCTCGCCGTCGGCTCGTCCAGTTCATCAATGTGCTTGCAGAGCGTCGGAATGACGCCCTCGAAGCCAGGGTATTTCCTCAGAATGTCCTTGATCACCACCACCACCTCCTGAACCACGTAATTGACCTTGGTAGCCAGGAGATCCTCCAGCGTCTGCACACATTTGGCGCTCGCGCTCTCAATCTTAATGGCGACCTGGCCGATTGCCTTGACGGCCCTCTTCACAAAGTCCATGTCGACCTCCAGAGCATACTCAGACAACTCCGCCAGCAGCTGCTCATAGTTCTGTTCGTTTGCTATCCTTACCATGATTTCCAGCTTCTGCAGCTTGACATATGGAGGGTCGTTGTACTTGCAGAAGAAGACGCGCATCTCCTTGCTCAGAATATCGGGCTTGGCCTGTAGAAGGAGGTCGATGTTCCGCAGCGCAACGTACTGCACCTCGGGTGCCGACGCAACCAGTGTGACCAAGGGGGGCGCCATCTTTCTGAGGTATGTGGCCACAACCTTTGGTTGGATCGACCTCATGTGCGTAAAGACCACCTTGACAGCGGCTAGCACCACACTTGGGTTGACGTGCTGAAACTGGGGTGCAACACGCTCGCAAATATGCTCGGCCTCTTGGACATCTGCCGCCCGGTAATCGGCGAGCGTTGTGAGGATGGTAACGCGACCCCACTCGGTGCATTCGTTCAACGCCATGAGGAGTTTTTTCAACTTCGCCGCGTTGACCACGAGAGCGTTGGTCTCCGGGGCTGTCTCTGAGATTTCCGAAAGTGCCTGTACTGAGTTTGACACCACCATTGGGTTCGGGTCGCCGATGAGCTCTTGCAACGACTCCAAGAAGCCATTCTCGATACACATGGCTGGGTTCAAGTCGAATAATTTGGCAACGCAGATCGCAGCTGTCTTGCGCACGTACGGCGACTCGTCTCGCAAGGTCTTTCGCAACGGCTCTTCCATGTAGTCCACCATCTTATCGACACGAATACATCCCATCGTCCGGATCGCAAGAGCTCGTATCAGCGGGTTCGGGTCTTCTGAGTCTTGGACAAAGGTGTTGACGGCGAGAATACAGAGGTCGGGATGCGATTTGGCGTAGTTCCTAGGCCTGTCAGTCCCGCCGCACAGTCACAGCTCATGATCTGGCTACCTACATTAGATATAGGTATACAAGCTTTTTCTGGTCCAAGTCCCCTGTCGCGATGTTCTTGAGCACGTCGGGGAACAGTGCTGAGACATCTTTGCCAAGCGTCATGGCCATGATGGTCTTTTGGATCGATTCTTTGCGCTCGTAGGCATATTGAGATACCAGGCCAGATCGCAGCTCAAAGGTCTCGCCCTTGCGAGGCACCTGGAAGGCGCCTCGGATACGGTTGACCGCCATGTTTGCTCAGTGATCGAGGTCGTGGTTGGAGGGGCAAGGAGTCGCAGGGACAGTTGGCGTTGAGGCTCCTGTAGAGCCGAAGCACAGGGAGAATTGACAGCTGCGCTTGATGACTTCTGAACTCCCGCAGCAACGTTACAAATTCAGCTGCATCTGGGGTCTCGTAGCTTGTCGTGTGGTTGAATGCGCAGGCAAGGAGACGAGAACAGTGTTGCTGCCACCTCTTGTTCTGGGGGCGTGGCTGGTTACAGTGGCTGACTGTGGCGCCAGCCGAAATCGGGTACCCACCTTTCTGAGTTCAAGTTGCTACCTACTCCTGGACCTCAGGCAACCGAGGAGAGGACTGCAGCACAAGAGTCAAATCACAATGAGCAGGGAAATTGATGATCTTGCCATCGTCCCAGTAGTCTGCCACTGAATTTTGGTCCCGTCAACATGGCCAACTTTCCAAATCTGCGCCGTCTCTTCATCGAATCACGCACCGACAATGAAGAGCGGCAGGTCTCTCGCAAAGCTGTAAGTTGACTACCCACACGCGCACGTGGAATTGGGTGTTGACCGCGTTCAGTTTTACAATGCGGTCCTCTTTATGGGATCGGTCGCAGTCTTTAGCGTCATTGCACAAAAGCTCAATGCTGGGAAATGAGCAGGGGACGTGAAACGAGATGGGCTAGGTAGCCTTCGATGACATCAAGCCAACAAGATACCCAACACGGAGCTTTGCCACCTATGGTTCATCCTCTACATCGTCTTTGGGTCCCTCAGTGGCCCCGTTTGCGACTGCCTTGGCCTCCTGTTTCCGCCAAAGTGAGGCCAGAAACTCATTCGTGCTGGCCTCATCAACACCCTTATCCTCCCTCTTCTTCAAGAATCGCGGGAAGCGCATACTCAATCCTCGCTCGTCGCTCACAAGTCCAATAGCAGCCGTGTATGTGGGGCTGAGCGTGATATCCGCGAACGCCATCTCCCAAACCTCTTGGGGCTCGAACCATATATCTGGACTCGGTCCGGAATACTCCACAAAGCTTGGCTTCTGAACGTGCGTGTTCCTCATCTCAACACTCTCCTCACCATTGTCGTAGAACTCCTTGTTCGCCTTGTAGAACGCATCGGTGAAGCCGGACATGCATTTCGTCACAACCTCCAGCGAACCGGTATCTTCGTTGCGCACCGCCATAAGGATGGGCGACCACCATTTGGCCTTGCGACCCTGGCCATGCCAACCTGCTACCGGTATCATATCGAGGGTATCGAAATTCGAGTTGTAATCCTTCTTAACTTTGAGCCATGAGTCGAGACGCTTATCAGGTTCGTACGTTGCTAGCAGTGGTTTTCGACGTGACTTCCTCTCTTCGCCGTCATCGGCACTGCCCTTGACTTTCGACTTTGCTCTGGCTTTGCTCTTCGGGGTCGAAGGTGTGTCTTTGGTGGAATCGTCTCCATTGCCCATATGTGGAACCGCCTCGAGATTGTCCAAGATCTTGACCATGATGCCCTCACACTTGACATCTGTCGCTTGCTTGAAAAAGTCGAGGACGGTTTCTGATTCGCTTGACGTAGCATCCAAGCTTTGCACCCAAGTGAAGTGATGGGGTATCTCGACAAACAGAGATCGAAGGAGCTCTCTTCGCTCGCGGAATGGCCTGTCAAGCAGCGGCTGTCCATTCAGATACATGAGGTCAAATGAGAACAGGCAGACGTCAATCGCAATACTGCCTATCGCGACATCTTTCCTTGCTCGATTTGCGAGCGTCTGAAATGGCTTGAGCTCTCCTGTCACTCGGTCAACCGCCACAACTTCTCCCTCCAGAATGAAGCTTCTGACACCATCGCCCCTTATCTTGGGCACCATCTCTACGAGATCTGGGTACTTGTCTGTCATGAGCTCCAAATGTCGGGAAAAGATAGAGACTTTCCCCTCGTCATCGCAGTGTATTTGCGCCCTCTGTCCATCGTACTTGAATTCACAGGCAAAATCTCGCCCCTGGAGTTTGGTAAGCATCTCGGACAGGTCGCGCGTAATGCTTCCCAGCATTGGACGCAAAGGGATATGAAGTGTGAGTCCGCATCGTACCAATAGCTCCTCGCAAACACCAATTTCGAGGAGCACGGGTATGAGATCGTTGTAGTTTGGTCGCTTGGCAAAGCAGGCCTTGACTATCTCTTCCGGGCGACTCCATACTTCCGCCAATTCTTCTTTTCGGAGTTTTGCCAAGTCCTTGGGAGACCTGACTGGAAAGTCTGCTCCCGGTGGTCGTGACAACAGGAACGCTCTCGAAAGTGCAATAAGCATCGTCGTTTTGACTGCGCCTATGCGGAGATGCTGACACAACGTCCGTACCACGAAACGACTTTCTTCACCACCTCGTGCATCTTGTAGCAATCGATCAACGAGTCGTTGCTTAGCCTCGCCGCTGCCATGGCCCTGGCTGTTGGCTATTTTTACCAGACTCTGATACACGCCTTTGATGGTGAGAGGCTTGGGCTTCCTCAAAGTAAAGCTTTGCTTCTTCTTGGCTTCGAAAGCGACATCTCCTGCGTCGCCGTACTTGTCGTAGATGGCCTTTAGCGATCGACTGTCGAGCCCGCAGACCTGTTTTAAAGCCTTCGAGATAGCCGATCCGCCGAGTCCGAGCTCAAGTGAAATGTAAGGTGGCGAGATGGAGTTGGTCGCCAGCCAGACTGCTGGCAGGAGACTGGACGGATCTGTCTCGATGAGGAGTCTCAAGCAATTGACCAAAGTGTCTACAATCTTGATCCGGCTCGCTGTGGCGCTGACAAGAACAAAGCACCTGGTAAGAAGTGCGTATGTCGCGTCGCCTCCTTCCCCAGACCAAGCAGTCTGCAGTTCACCAGCGTACTTGGACGGGTCAAACTGTAGAGGCGATTCATCGAACGGTATCGTCGAGGTTATCGAGTCCTCAGCCAAGCCTGCGCACTGCAAAGTCAAGGTCTTCTTCTGACCACTCGCAGTAGCAGGCGATTCATTCCCTACCCCAAGTCCTGCATTTGACTGCTCTGTGGGAGCCACTGGGTTAGAGGCCGCAGTAGCTGCCTGCTTTTCGGCTTCCAAGACCCCGCCGGACTGGTCCGCGTCTGCATTTGAGGTCTCTTCTTGATTCCACTCGTCTTGCAGTTTCCGTGCTAACTGCTCATCTGTGAGCTCCTGATCCCGTGCCGCAGCCACGGGCTGTTGTTGAAGAGTGTCGGTTGGTACGCTCTGTTTCTGCTTGTTGAAAAAGAACTCGAGGCCCTTGGAGGCCCCGTTGGCGCTTTTAGAACCATTGTTCAGCTTCCTCTTCTTAGCGGGACTTGACATGATCGCCTCAGGTAAGCCATATGAGCTTTGGTCATGCCAATTTACGATAAGAAAATGACATGCTTCGCCGATTTCTGTAGTCTCGAACAGCTCGAGCCAGTCTGTACAAAACAGTCGCGATTCTTGCTGCACTTCACGACCACCCTCTCAACACGCTGGACCGCGAACCTCTATGACGATGCTTGACGCGGCGGCACGTGACCTTCAGACTCACCCGTCCGGCGCGGAACATTACGACCCCGACAGCCCCTCCAAACGCACAACCACACAAGCACTCCGTCGAAATCTTCCATGCGCCCCACCATCACGAACCTCCCCTCCAACTCCTCCCTATCCCCGGCCAACGAACCCCCAAAACGACCGGCAAGATGAACGGCGAAGACCCGCCCGAGAGGCCCGAGTACATCACCAGCATTATCAACGGCCTCGAGCGATACAACCCCGAAGCTGTTGGGTCTCTCGAGACCTATGTGCAGGAACAATGCGAGCAGAAGTACACCGATTGCAATGCCAACCGCACTCTGCTGAAGCTGTATGTTGGCCCCCGAATCGATCTCCTCACACACGGCGCATATACTCTGATGATCCTTCGTCAACGTTTCCTATTACCTGACACGGGGCCTTGAACAGCCTTGCAACCCATGAAGTCAGCTATAAATACTCTGAACCGCGCACCAAGCCACCCTTGTTTCATACCACGAACCAAGCACGCGCTAACATCTCGCTATGACAGGTACCAGCTTAACCCCGACCGTCTCAAGGATGAAGTCGTCACCAACGTCCTCGTCAAGGCCATGACCCAGTTCCCGTCTCCCCAGTTCCACCTCGCCCTCCACCTCATCAACCCCTCCGCTGCCAACCAGGGCGAACTCCACGAAGCCCTCAGCAAGTTGCGGACACTCAACTCTCAGCTTGAAGGTGCGAAGTACGCGCAGTTCTGGGCTGCTGTGGACGGCGACGACTTGTGTGCCGATCTCATCGCGGACATTGCTGGCTTCGAAGATATGATCCGTCTCAAGATCGCACAGCTTGTGTCGCAGGCTTATCGTGAGGTCGACCTCGAACTCCTGGAGAGCTGGTTGGGTCTCAGCGGGGACGCGACGAAGCAGTTTGTTGAAGAGGTTGCCGGGTGGACCGTCGAGGGCGACAGCGTCAAGATCCCCTCCAACCCTGATAACGAGGCCAAGAAGACCGAGATCAGGGAGGATGTGAACGTTGAGCAATTCGCGCGGGTGATTCGACGGTCCTGGGAGGACACCATTGCGGTATAAGGTTGGGGTCCTGCACAGGGATAATCATGATGTGATGAAGTTGTATCGGATCACAAAGAGGGTCAAAAGGCGTTCATGGGCATGTCATTGAAGCGATATCAAATACTCTAGAGGGATGGTATCCAGATTTCACAATTGGTCGTTCACGTTGTCGTCGTTATTGTTAGTTGTCTACTACTCTTTCGCAAGCTCCTCCCACTGCACCCCTGCCCATTCCTCCAGATAACCTGCTTGTCCAAGCTCCGTATCTCGTGGTCTGCAGTCTCTTTCGCAGACACCGACAATGATCGTCCCCCACTCCATACCATCAAGACTCATGTCGTCCCCTTCCAGCTCGACGATGGCTTGCGGTGTGAGCTGTACCTCGAATGTCCTCCGGCCACCACAGTTGGCGCATCCCGGGATCCCTCCTCCCGAAGCCAGCTTCTTGCCAATCGCATCTGTTTTGCTGTATAGCAGCGGTGTTCCAGCATATTCGTATCGGATCACTTGCTCGGGGTTCTGGGCCAGTCTGTCGGCAAACTTCTGGAACGCAGCGTCCATGCTTGATTCGAAGGCCTCGCGATCAATGGCGGACGGCTCCTCCGCGTCGGCCGTTTCTACGCGTGCATTTTCGGGGACGTTGGTAGGTTGCGGATCAAGTGTCTCGTAATCGGCGTCGGCTAGGAAGAGCGTCGGGTAGGGCTGTGGCATCTTGTCCTCCGCCGGCCAGGGCTCTGGTGGTGGCGGTGATTGCGCAGGCGGGACGTTGAGTGCCAGGGTCTCGGCAAAGGACTTTGCGAGCCCGGCCGTCGAGACTTCTTGCGGTATAGGTTTCTCCTCTTCCTTCTTCTCAGGTTCGCTGGGCTTGGCAAACGGGTTTGCGCTGCCGTTGCCTCCACCAGCCCCCCCAAATGGGTTCGTAGAACCACCTCTTCCGAAGCTGGAAGCTCCGAAGAGTGCGTCACCGAGTGCTACCGACTTCGCTCGCTCTTTCTTTGGCTGCTCTTCGCTCTCTTCTTTTGCAGGCTTTGGCACCTCTTCCTTGAAGACTCTAACACCCCTCAATACTCGCACTGTTCCATCCCGTCGTCTACAGGTCGACCTGCGACAGCCGAAAACATGTAGGCGTCGTTCGTGACCGGGGAACTTGTCGGGGAGCTCGCCATTTAGTTGCAGAAGCTGCACCATTATATCACTGCAAACTTTGCATCGTGCCAGAGCAGCTGAAGGCGGCTTCTCAGGGTCTAGCCAGTCCTGTCAAACCAGTTAGGCGAAGGAGGGGTCCTGGTGTGGTTTTGTAGACGTACAGGTCGGCCACCTAGACGGCTGATGATATCTTCATCGTCAGCCTCTTTCGAGGCGTACCCCAACAGCACATTGGTCTCTTCAAACTCGCCTTCCGAGGAATCTGAATCGTAGTCGGCCATGGTTGCTATGCGCCTAGGTGAGAATGACGCCGATGGCAATGGTGGGGTCGAAACTTTTTTTTTCGGGAGGTTGAACTGAAATCAACAATGCGGGGCATATCAGTGCCCGATAAAGACAAGCAGGCTCAAGCTTCACCAAGAGGGGCAGGCGGACACAATCATGACATGAGCTGACTCCCATTTTGTCTAACCCAAACATCTACTTTGATTCGGATGCTTTACATGTGATCACTAGGACCATCCATACCAGGGCCGGGCCCGCCTTGTCGACCCATTTGTCGCGCTTTCAGGAGCTCGTCGCACAGCAACAGGTTTGAAGCAATGCTCGAGCTAGAAGCAACAGAGTTACGCAGCACGCGGAACGAGTCGAAGATGCCTTCAAGCTCGGGGTCCATCGGGTCACCGGTCTCGAGGTTGAGACCAACAACGTCGCCATCAGCGTGCTCGTCTTGGAGCGCAGCCACTGTGTCCTGGTTAGCGTCATGTTCACGTTCAAGCCCAATGTGTCACTCACAAGCATCCTGCACGTCGTGGCCAGCATTGGCAGCCAGGGTCTTGGGAATGATAAGAAGGGCGTCCGCAAACGCCTCGACTCCCCACTTCGCCTTGCCCTTGACCTTCTTGCCAAAGGCGTCGCTCTTCAAGTGCGCCGCGCAGGCAACCTGAAAAGCACCGCCGCCCGGCACGACACTCTTGTCGACAATCATGTTGTAGACACTCCTCAGGCCGTCCCTCACCGCGTCGGTCACCTGCGCGATGGTGTGCTGGTTGGGGCCCTTGATCATAAGCGTGACTGACTTGGGGTCCTTGACCTCCTCTACAAATGTGTACTTCTCCTCGCCCAGCGTCTGCTCGTAGACCAGACCAGCCCATCCAAGAACATCTGGCGTGAGATCCTCCACAGAGTTCTGTGCAACACCACCGCAGATCAGCTGCAGACGCTCCATGTTCCTCCTCTTGGCACGGCGAAGAGCCAGGATGCCGTTCTTGGCGAGCACGTCCAGCGACAGGGGGTCGATGCCCTTCTGGTTAATGATGACAAAGTTCTTCTTGCCGTCGTTGCCGCAGAGCTCCTTCTTGAGCTCGACAATCTTCTTCAACTTGGCGTCAATGAAGCGACGCTCACTTTCTACGAGCTTCTCACGCTGCTCGGCGCTCGAGTAGAAGAAGCCAGAGTTGATCTCGGTCTTCTCGTACTCGAGGCTGACGTTCATGGTGAGAATGTAGCAGTTCTCGAGACGCTTGGGCATGTCGGGATGGCGGGCACCGTGGTCGAGAGCGAGTCCACGAATAAGCTGTGTGTCGGCGGCTGTACGGTGCTGCATCTTCATAATCTCAACCATGTGCAGGTCGGGTTTCGCAGGGGCCTGGTAGATGGCCAGAACGGAATCGACAATGTCGGGCGTGAGCTGGGCAGCGAGAGTAGAGTTGAGCTTGGTGGCGAGAGAAGTGCGTGCGACGTTCAGCAGAAGCTCGCGGTCAACCTCCTTGTCCAGCTTGAAATCGTCGAGGAACTATGGAGGTCAGTCGCCATTGTCGACACGATGTTCCGTGTAACCTACCTTGAGAGCCTCCACTTTGGCGATCTCGAAGCCGTCAGTGATGATGCGTGGGTGCAGACCCTCAGAGATGTATCGATCGGCCTGCTTCAGGAGCTCTCCCACCAGCAGCACGACGGAGGTGGTACCGTCACCGCAGATATCATCCTGGGCAGTAGCGGCTCGCGCAATCATGACGGCGGTGGGGTTCTGGATCTGCATCTCGCGGAGGAGGACATTGCCGTCCTTGGTGAGCTTGATCTGTTGAAGTATGTGAGTATGGCGGTCGGATCGTGGGGCATTTCGAGGGGCCAATTCGTACCTGACCGGCACCGTCGACAAGCCTGAACACTGTCAGTATCTGCATAGAAAAAGAGAAGGCAGGTGCTCATACATCTTGATGGTACCCGTAGGGCCTAAGTTGGACTTGAGGACATCCTGAAGACCTTCACCGGCACTGATGTTGACCTTCAAAGCTTCGCCCCTCCTCTGCGACGACGGTTAGCTCGAGCTCCCCACCAAGCTAATCCGAAGACAAATTTCAAGGACGACATACGCGGGACTCAGCCTTGGGGTTGAGAAGCTGCGCGGCGGACATGGTGGCAGTTTCGTGGTCGTTCTTTTCGGGGGGGGTGAACGTTGGCGCCGCTGCTTTGGAAGTGTAGGCGTGGATTGACCGTTGGTGGTTCCGCAGGCTTCGCCCACCGTCGCTGCAGGAGGTGAACAGACGATGTGGGCTGCCCAACTTTTTCTGCCATTAGGGAAGGCGGTGAAGTGGGGGCTGCCAGGGGCACTGGCTGGGTTACCCTGAACCCAGGTTCTGGTCAACGATCTCCCGTCTGATTGTCATTGACAACCTTTACTGACATTGACTTCCTATTACATACTGTTTGCAGTGGCTAAGAATAGGGTGCGCTGGGCTATATGGAGCGGAATCACTACATGTAGTTGGTCATACCCATGAACAGAACCAGCGAGTATAGACAAGTCCTGACTAATGACATACTGTATTTCTATATGTACATTCATACATCATCAGAACCCCTTGTCATTTTTTCTTCCCACAAGTCCGCTTGTGCACCTTCCAGTCCTTCCTCTGACACTCAGCTGAGCAATACTTCGCATCGTGGCACCCTTGGCATGTCTTCAGGGTGCCCCCATCCGCGCCTCTCCTCTTAGAACATACTCGACATTTGTCAACACTGCCGGGTGACAAACTTGGTTCCCCATCATGCCCACTGCTGACCGTTTTTGTCAGTGCGACGTCAAACGCACTTTCGACATATGGCACCGCATACGTCGGGCTGAAAGCTGCGCGGACCGCGTGCCGCCTTCCGAGCTCCCAGCTCGGAATAGTGATGTGATCCTTGGGAAACTCCCCATTGCCACACGAGCAGAGGAAGGTCTTTCCATCCTCCAGGCTCAGGGGAACCGTTGCGCCCTTTTTCTTGTACTCGCAGCTCCGCTTGTGGGACCAAGTACGGCAACGCTCGACCGAAGCCGCAATGACCTTCTTCCACAGTATCAGCTCAGCATCGTTGACTTTCATGGACGCCATCTTGAGTTCCTGGATCGATTCCAGCAGAGGCCGGCACTTGTGGACCAGATCCAGTGTAAGGGGCAATGCGGCAGCGTCGATCACCACACCAGCGGCGTCGCCGTCCAACCGAACTGCGGACACGAGGAGAAGAATGTGAATGCCTCCCTTTTCGGGGTGGTTGATGGCAAACAGTCCAGTCTGGTCACCCTGAAGACCAGTGGCGAGCATGAACATGGTAAACAGAGACTCCTTGAGATTGACGCGTGGGTCCTCGGAGATGCCGTCCGTCTGGTTGGCCGATTCGCGCAAGGCTTTCTCACGCTGCGAGAACTGGAGTGATGTGTTAGTGACCAGCCATTGCATGTCTTTTGATTTGCCAACGTCAAGGATTGGCAGACTGTCCAAGTTGATGTGGGGAATGTTGACCGCGGCAGGAAGGCCATCGCCTGTGAGCATCACAGGGTACACAAAGTCGTCCAGACAAGGAGAGATCGTCGGCTGAGCAATCGGCGCAATGACCTCAACATACCCCGACGTTCGGGCAATGCGTGTTTTGCTTCCCTCTTTGCTCACTGGAATAGGGAATCGGATAGGATAGGAGAGGCTGTTCTTCCCGAAGACAACATCGATGAGAAAGGGGCTGTTTTGGTGCAGCTCAATAGGCGCCTTGTCCTTCAGGAGTTTGAGCCCCTTTTCGGATGTGATGTTGATGTGCCCGGTCAGCTTTGTGATGTAGTTTTCCGAGGCGGATAGATCAGCGACCATCTTTGTTTCAAGACCGCTAGCACTGTCATGTACTGTGTTTGGGAATGGTCGCGCAGCACCGCAGACAACTGGATATGCCTCCTGACTTGGGCCAAGCCGAGACACCCATACATTGGATGCTGTGCTCGCAGGTGTCTCGTACACCTTCAGCTCTGGTCCCAGGACGGGCCCATATACCATCGTGGACTGCATGGTAATGCCGACGAACAGTCCCACCAGAAGCTTTTCTGGCTCGAGTTGGACACACGATGCTGGTACATAGAAGGATATAACCAACGGTGTCGATCCGTCGAATCCCAACGCATCTTGTTCGACGGCGAGTGTAGTTTGTCCAGACGTCCTGTTTGCTTCACTTTGCCAAAAGAGACATGAATGTTCCCATACATGTTATGCCATTGGGTATCTGCCCCAGGACTCGATCGCAAAGACCCGAGGAGCAGAGGCGAAGCCATCTTGCGGTGATCCGAGCCCTCAAACAAGCGGAGAAAAGCGTTCCTTGGCACCTCGTACGTCACAGCGATCATGTGCGGAATATCAGTCCAATCCTTGAGGAGTCCCTGTCGAGCATGTTGACTAGGTTTGTTGACTATCCATGTTTCTTTTGTGCCGCTAAGCATGTATCTTTGCCCACTAAGCTCCTGGATGAAGTTGCTAGACATGGCAAGATTGCGATCAGTGGCGATGTTTACCACTAGGTCATGCAGAGCGTCGTGCCAAATGTCAGCGGAAACACGCTGCTGCACCAGTTGAATCAACGCTGCAAAGCTTCCTCGGTGGAAATGGCCATAAACAGCATCTCTCTTGTGCATTTGCGACTTCAAAGTCTCCGAATGCAGCCTTTCGTTGTTGAAAATTTGCAAATATATCTCCAGCAGAACCCTCGACAGTGCCTTTGCGTCGATATAAAGACAGCCCCGCCCATGGGGCTGATTTGAGAACTGGTCGTCCTGCTTCCATGCGATACGGTTGTGTACTTGGGTATCGTTGCCGACCCCAGACTGGTTCATCATGCCGAGGAAGACCTCGTCGGCGTGCGACTCTGCCTTTGCATTAGTCCAGAACTGAACGGGGGAAACACCCAGTAACAGTGACATAGTGGCCGGGTGCCCGCATAACAACTTCTCAAAGGACTTTTGTTGGGTGTCTTCTGTCTTGAGAAGAAGCTCAGTGTAGATGGTGGCCCAAGGACGGTTGGCGAGCAACGGCGCGGTAGCCACGAGGATGTTCAGGGCCCCTACATGATCCGAAAGATTCGATGTGTCAATGACGTCGAAACTCGTTAGCTTCGTGCTGGCACTGTAGGTTTCAGCGTCGAGGCGAAGTGGCCGGGAGAGACGTCTGTACAGGTTTGCGGAGGTGTGACCAGTCGTTGCACTCTGTTGAAGGCTGTGGCAGCACGCAAAGACATCCGACACTATGAATCGCACGGTGAATCTCTTTACTAGAGCGTTTTTCAAGGCAGCTGTCCATTCCTTGAATTGGGTTTTCGCGGCGTGGGCAGCTCTGGGACCATGCCCGGACGTAGGCTTCAAGGGAGACCTGTCTCCTAGTGGCGCAAAGGCGGTAGCAAGATGAAAGCCGAGAATCGGATCGATACCGTAATGAAGGACAGAGTTATCGCTCACCAGCGCTGAGAACATGGGATTGGCCACGTTCGTCGTGTCTCGATCCCTGCTTGTGACGGTGCCATCCTTCCAGTACTGGTCAAAAGCTTCTGGCAATTCCTGCCGCGATTGCAAAGCAAGAGGCGCTGCTGAGCGCATGCCGGTCGCAACAGTACCATGGGGTCCCAGAGCTCGTCTTCTCATTTCAAGCGAGCGTTCAAGCTCCGTCGTCAGGGCAGAGCGTCGTTTGTCGAGGTCGACGTCGTTGGCTTCTCGTACCATACGCTGGCATATGCCGCGAACATCGTCAAGAGTGTCCTGGTCGCAGAAGCGAAGCTTGCTTCCATATTGGTTCTTCTTCCAAGATCCCAGTGAAGTAAGGAGGGGTAGGAGCTTGCCCAGCTGCTTCTGGACGATTGCGGCATCACCAGCGTCAAGGTAGAGGTGGTAATAGATATTCCACAACGCATCATCGGAAGTTTCCCCATCGATGAGGAGGGTCAGTAGCAGAATATTGCGAGCTTTTGAGATCAGTCGTTGCGTGTACGTGATTTCGAGGGGGTAACTGACCGATTACTTTCTCGTCATAGTCGCAGCAAGTGATGTCCAGGTTGCGAGGAGCCGAGGGTGCGTTAACTAAGAACCATAATAATTTGAAAGGCTAAAAACTCACGAAGACCCTGGTCGACATAGGCAGTATAAAAAATGTTTCTCAGGTCGCCACAACCCAGCGACAACACGGACGCATCTTGGCCGTGAGGCACGCTTCGCGTCAAGTTCGTTGCGGGCGTGTTACCCACGGGGTAGAAGAAGGTGAAACGAGCACCGACCGCGGGCACAAGCATGGTAGGCTATGCTTTAGGTGCCAGATCAGAATATTATTCCTAAATCTTAGCTGTAGGCTTGTCTCCAGGAAGTTGCGCGAGCGTAATCTGTGCAAAATCAAAGAGTTGAAAAATCGAGGTGGGCTGTGCTACTTTACCCATAGGTGAGGAGATGGCCGTAAGTCAGTAACAAACGCCGCGCTTCAATGGAAGCTCACAATTCGATATCACCGGAAGCAAACACAATTTGATTGACAAAATCCTAAGTATCGCTATGTCGGAATGGTCGATTAGTTTACCAAACCTCCCCATTCAATCCTACTCAAGTATCAATGGCATAGACAGTCAATAAGCATATGCACGGGCCAGAATACACAAAATTCGCAAAAGGTGCCGCATCCAGGGCCCCCGTCCATTTGTCTGTATCCGAGTCGAAAACCAAAACCAAAACAAAATCCATATCCTTTTCAACTCCGACAGCTGGGGGCTCTTGCGTCCCCGTCAACTGTCCCGTCCTCCATAACGCCACGCTAAGCCGATCAAGTGTAACCCAAAGTACAGGGGAAGAAGATTCGTTTCGTCGTTCGTAGGGTCGAAAATGGGGTTCTCACTTGTCGCTCCACATCGCGTTAGACATTCCTCCGTCTTGGAAACCACCGAGGGCTTGATCGAGCCGCCATTGCTCAATGTACAGGTTGGCGTGGGTGTCCCCATTGCTACCAAAGAAGGTCTCCGCAGCCATCTGCGCCTGGAAATCATCGAAGCTATAGAGCTGGTCGTTGAAATCGTCCAGCGAGCCGAAGCTGCTACTTGCTGTGAGTTCCGGCAAGTCGCCAAAGCCTTCAGGCTGACTCAAGTCCATGTCTAATGACAGGAAGGGCGTTTCAGGCCCTTGTGAGTGCTGGCCTGAGGATACATCAGATGGCGACGTCAACACTCCCTGGTGCGAGTCGATGCTCGTAGGGGTGACGCCCATGAGCACAGCGGGTGAGACGCATGGCTGCGAGAGCGGGTCGCTCATGAGAGTTTGCTGACTCGGGGTAGTTGATGCTGGCTGAAGATATGGCTGAGGACTCGAGAAAGACGGAAAATCCGCCGGCTCCCTCTTGACCATTGATCTTGACCTCACGGGTGTTGAAACCTGCTGGGTAAAGGGGCGCCCGGTTGGCATGGGTGCCGATGAAGTTGCGCTGTTGTCGAATTCCGGAATCGTCATCTGTTGAACGTCGTGCGAGAGGTGTTGAAGGTTCACCATGGAGTGATAGTCGAGCATCTGCTCAGGCGAGGCGGCTGCGGAACTGTCGGTATATGTTGAAACGCTCGACATCGTTGACACGGAGCTGATCGACATGTTGTTCTGCCGCCTCGTCCGGGCCTTCCTCTCGCGTCGGTCACCAACAATCTCGGGGTTCTTCCTTGGCCTGCCGCGCTTGGCAGACTTCCTCACCACGCCGTCCAGAGCACCCTCGCACATGCCTCTCTGCCTGTGCCTCGTCAAAGCATCTTGCCTCGCAAATGCCTTTTGGCAGGGACAGATATAGGGCTTGTCTGTGAGATGGATGCGAGCATGGCGCTTGAGGTCGTGGGCGCGCACGAAGCACTTCTTGCACTCTTCGCACTGAAACTGGCGGTCGTTGAGGTGCGTCTGGACGTGGGACTTGACGTTCTCTTTGCGAGAGAACTCTTTTCCACAGTTCTGGAACGTGCACGTCCACAGTCCCGTTGACGTGGAGGGACCGTCAATGTAGGAGTGCACCTCTTCGGATGAGATGCCAGTCTCCACCTTTAGTTCTTGATAGCTGTCGAATGCGTTGGTGAGCGTCTCCAGTGAACGGTCGACGCTGTTCTCCTTTCTGCGTATCGGTCGGATCGTCTCGGCTTCGTTCTCGTCGACGGCGGAGCGGTCGGTCGGAGAGCTGTACTCGCGAGGTGTGCCGGCCATGAAGGAGCCATGGCTCGTCGCTGAGAGCGGCTCGGGGTACGAGGCAGTCTGCTGTGAGGTATTTACATCAAAAGGCGCGAAATGGGGCATCTGCATGATATTCGTGCGCTGATGTAAGTTGAGGTGCGGCGGCCGACGGGCACGAATCGTCTGCGTATCGTGCTGCATTGTCAACTGAGTATCGGGCGAGGCCCTGCTAAACACTGCGTGGCTTGGTAAGTAGTCAGTTCTCTCGAAAGCTCAGGGGTCTTCTTTATTGTCAGTTCTTCTGGTTAGGAAGGGCTCGATGCTCGCTCAATACGTTGCAATACTCTGGGGGAACACGGAGAGTAGGGCAGCGTCTGAGAGCGGCTGTTTGTCAAAGAGGTCCGGCTGGAGTAGTACTGTGAAACTATTGAAAATGGTGTATTCGATTTCGAATGTCAAGTTCAGCGTTGGATCGTTAGATGGTGGGTTCGGATGCAAGATGTTGAGATAGCGGCGGCAAGGAACGGTGTAAGTCGGCCGTGGGGGCATTGTTTACTTCCTTGGCGCTGTTGCCATGGCGATAGCCCTTTTTAGACGACCGCTGAAGACCGCTGTGCAGCAACGTCACCATCACCCGCCGGCCTGCGATCAAGTGGGGCGCTGGATCAGAATCACGAGCTGATCATTCGAAATGTCTTGGTTATTATCAGGCAAAACCTGACTCACGGATCAATGACCGAACGACTCTGTTCGTGCGAAGAGATGACGAAAAGCTGTGCAAGCGCCGCGACGTGGCGGCTGTCTGCTGGATCTCGAAGACTGCGATTGACTCCATCGCTGCACTCATCGTAGTTATAAGGGCGATTCGATCATTGTTAAACATGTTGCGAAGACTAATTGACTATGGACCAAGCTATTGTTACTCAGAGTGCATTTGGTGATCAAAGTGAGGCTTGTTCATGAAGGTTGAGTCAAGTCAAGCTGTGTCCCCGACAATCAACAAGCTGGTTGGCCCAGCAGACCACAGAGGGAGTCAAAATAAAGCACATTATGCAAGAATGTGATAGCAGCATCTCTTCATGCCCCGAAACCTCACATCCTACTAAGAGGCTTTCACGGCCTCGGAATCGAGCTTGCGGTCCATTACTACCATCATCTCCTTGCTGTGCAAGAATAATTGCACCTCTTGAACAACACAAATGCATAATGCCTGAATACCTGTACAGCTACAATTGTGAATGAACCCCTTTTATCGTCGACAGCAACTGCATGGCACGTGCACCAAGTATGGTCCGCTGCTTGACCAATAGAAGAAGCCACCGTCTTTAATAGTGGACCCCGTGATTAGTCTCCAAATTCCCAGGTGGATAGCCAGTACTCAGAGCCCTGGACGCGACATCTACCAATTGCCCAGCTCAACTTGACTTTGTTGGACCTCATCATCCCTCGAACCGCCGATTGTCTTCACCTCTGCGTCGGGTCTCAGGACGTTGGTCAGGTTTTTCTCTCGCTACTGGCTGTGCTGAGTTATCGTTCCCGCTTCCCACGGAGCCCAACTGCAGCATCTCCAACCATTTGGAGCCCATTGCTCGACACCCGATTGCCATTGTTGACAGTCGATCCTCGCCATGTCGTCCGGCGGAACCATCTCGGGCAACACCCTTCGAGGGACTCCCAACAGGGACCGTCGAGGGGGCATTCCATTCCAGCAGCAGCAGCACCCGCATGCAAGCCCTGCTGGATCCGCGATTCCCCGACCTGTTCTGGAGGAGAAGCCCAGCGATGCGGGTTCTGCTCTGAGTGCGAGTCGACAGAAGCAGACTAAGCGAGATGAGGTAGGCTAGAATTATTGTAGTGGCAAGCATGACAGACTAATGAGCAAAGGCAATCCGACGCAAGCTCGAGACCGATCTCTCCAAGAAGAGCAAGCTGGCCGGCCGCACACGCCAGAGCCGCAAGGCACCCCCCGGCACCGTCTTGTCCCTGAAGCCCAGCCCTGCTCTCCAGATCAAGCCTTCGACTACAGTCTCCGAAGCTGCTCAGCTTATGGCCGCGAAGAGAGAGGACTGCGTTCTCGTCACTGACGATGATGACCGTATCGCTGGTATCTTCACCGCCAAGGATCTGGCTTTCCGAGTTGTCGGGGCTGGGTCTAAGGCCTCCAATGTCACTATTGCCGAGATTATGACCAAGAACCCTCTTTGCGCCCGCACCGATACAAGTGCCACCGACGCCCTCGATCTGATGGTCCGCAAGGGATTCCGTCACCTGCCAGTCATGGACGAGAACCAGGACATTTCGGGTATCCTCGACATTACCAAGTGCTTTTACGAAGCTATGGAGAAGCTCGAGCGTGCCTACTCCTCTTCCAGGAAACTCTACGACGCTTTGGAGGGTGTGCAGTCCGAGCTCGGCGCCAGCCAGCCCCAGCAGATCATCCAATATGTCGAGACTTTGCGCAGCAAGATGTCGGGACCGACTCTGGAGAGTGTACTCAATGGCATCCCTCCTACCACCGTGAGCGTCAGGACCTCGGTCAAGGAAGCCGCGGCTTTGATGAAGGAGAACCACACGACGGCTGTTTTGGTGCAAGATCAGGGAGCCATTACTGGCATCTTCACCAGCAAAGATGTTGTTCTCCGCGTCATTGCCCCTGGCTTGGATCCCGCCACCTGCAGTGTGGTGCGTGTCATGACACCCCACCCCGACTTTGCGCCCATGGACATGAGCATCCAGGCCGCTCTTCGCAAAATGCACGGTATGTCACAGTGATGGATGCATTAGGTCAATTTGCTGACCAGTGTAGATGGCCACTACCTCAACCTCCCCGTCATGAATGAGGGCGGCGAGATCGTGGGCATGGTGGACGTGCTCAAGCTCACTTATGCCACGCTCGAGCAGATTAACACCATCTCGACAGGTGATGGAGAGGGCCCAGCTTGGAATAAGTTCTGGCTGTCCATGGACAACGAAACGGAGTCCATGATGTCTGGCGACGGCGGCAGCCACAGCCACCACCACACGAACCTTGGCTCTCGCATGATGTCTCCTGACGTGACCCGCGAGCGCATTGGCGACAGCGTTGCGCCTGGCGACTCTGCGTCTCACGTCGGTGCCGAGTCACCCCCTCGCTCCATGCTTCAAGAGACGCCTGGCGTCGTCCCAGCTGAACTGCCGTTCCCTTTCAAGTTCAAGGCCCCTTCAGGCCGTGTTCACCGCTTGCAAGTCGTTGCGTCGCAGGGCATTGAGACTTTTGTTGCGGCCGTCGCCGCCAAGCTCGGTAACGAGGTGGAGGGCATTGGAGGTACGCCCGTCGTTGAGGACGGCAAGATGAGCGGCACTGGCTTTGCGCTGAGCTACGCTGATGACGAGGGTGACACTGTGTCCATCACGACGGACAATGATCTGCTCGAGGCGATTCTTCTAGCTCGCCAGAGCCTCCGTGAGAAGGTTGACCTCTATGTGCACCATCCGGACACGACCCCTGTCGTGGCGCCTCCACCCCCACCTCCTGTCGTTGAGACACCGGTCATCCCCACGCCTACTGCCTCGTCTGCTGATGGTCTCCGCATGCGCCGTCGCGACTACGACGATGAGGACGAGGAGGATGACGAGGAGGAGGAGTCTACTGTACGTCGGTCCCGGCGAAACCGCAATGCACCCGTTCAGGACCAGGTCATTGCCGGTGTCCCCAACGAGCTGCTGCTGCCCGGTGCCATTGTCACCCTCGCTGTTGTGATAGTGGGTGTTTTCACCATTACCAGGGCTACCAGCAGATAAACTTAAACTGCCTTGCGTGTTCGATAGGTTGGAGTAGGTTCACATCCTTCTGAGCCACTAAGGCAGCTGTAAATGTTTTGGCATTTCGTACTCTTTGCATATACAGACCTGTCGTAATCAAGCGAATATCAAATTTTTAATCTGTCATCTTACTCTTAGCACAGTCATGAATCTCTTGGTGAGTTGACGGATCGTTGACGCGCTGCGCGTCGGCCGGCAGCGGAAAAACCAAGAACCCACTTTTGCTCTCGCAGTGCTGCGAACCAAATTTTGGCCGACTCGCGTCTGCGACCATCACCAGGACGACAAGTGACAGCAAGTCGGGCAGCCGTCATGATATTGAGAAACGCCGCTGTGCGGCATGGTATGTGACCTCCAATCGATTCCATTATGCAGAGGCTGATATCACAGGCCGCCGGACGCTGGCCAGCCCCATCTCACGATCCGCCATACGCCAATTGTCGACCGAGAAGACCGCGACACCGACGGCCAGCACTGAGGCCCCGGTCGATTCCTGGCCTGAAGAGCAGAAGGCACATGCTCGTGAGCTCGCGAGCACGGTCCCCAAAAAGGAGCGATCCTCCAGCCGAAAACAGACCAAGTACATTCAGACCAACGTCTTTGGTCTCGGAATGAACGCAGCCGCAACGCGCCACCAAGGCCGCTCGTGGACGCGCGAACACCAGGTCGGGACGGAGACGCTCACCCCCGAGGAGCAGTGGCAAAAGTTTCAGCGCCAACAGACCGAGACGAGGAAGATTGGTACCCATGTCGAGAAACGGTACTCACCTACCGAGCTTCTGCAGAATCCGCCCCATGCCGAGGACGTCACGCTCGAGCTGCTCATGGCATCGCAGACGCACATGGGACATCACAAGTCTGTCTGGAACCCGGCCAACGCCCGCTACATTTTCGGTGTGCGCGAGCAGACGCACATCATCTCCCTCGAAACGACGGCGGCGCACCTGCGAAGAGCCGCGCGTGTGGTGGAGGAGACAGCCTACAACGGCGGCCTGATCTTGTTTGTGGGCACGCGCCGCGGGCAGATGGAGATTGTGGCCAAGGCGGCTGAGCTGTCAAAGGGGTGCCACGTCTTCACAAAGTGGGCACCCGGCACGATCACCAACGCCGAAGTCATGCTCCGAGGCCACAAGCTGCAGATGCTGGATCAGAACGATAAGCAACTCGGCGGCTTCCAGCTTTTCAACGACAAGCCCCTGATGCCGGATCTAGTTGTGTGTCTGAACCCGCTCGAAAACTGGCCCCTCCTCTACGAGTGCGGTCTCAAGACGATCCCTACCATTGGGATAATTGACACGGATGCCGACCCGACCTGGGTGACCTACACAATCCCCGCCAACGATGACAGGTATGTGCTTTGAGCTTGTTATAGGGGGCTTTCAACTGACTGTTTCTAGTTTGCGATCGGCTGCTGTCATTGGAGGCGTGCTTGGTCGTGCCGGAGAGCGCGGTCAGCAACGGCGCATGGAGCAAGCCAAATTGGGTCATACTACTTGGAACACGTCCCCGCGCGTGTACGAATTCATGGCGGCGCGGAAGGAAGAGGCTCTCACGAAGCGCAAGCAGGTCATGGGAATGACACAGCAGTATCACGGCCTTAACGACGATGAGATGAAGCTCCTGGAGAAGACGGAGCCCGTGCAAAAGGACGTCACAGAGGACGCCATGCTAGCGATGATGGGGCAGATGGTGGACGGACAAGCGCAGGCGAAAACCGATGTTGCCGAGGCTATCCAGCAGCCTGTCGCCGATCTGAGCCCGGAAGATTTCGAGAAGAGCATCCAGGCACTGGCGGCGGGCACCAAGGAGATTGAGGCAGCTTTACGCTTCTCTGGCGCAGCCTCGAAACGGTCTGGCGTGACGGTGGAGAGCATCGAGAGGGATCTGGTGGCTGTTGGTGTAAGCGCCAAGGAGATTGAGAGTCTGCTGACGGCCTCCACCGCTCCCAAGCCGTGAGCGTGTACCATCATATAGCGTGTATACTACGAGGGACGGTGTTATATCCGAGAGATTAGAAATGTATATTCCGTGTACTGAGCGCGTTGGATGTTCATGTTATCTTGGTCGTCGGGCCGGAACAACAATAGCCCTCCGTGCATAGGCAACTGCAGCCGTACCTCAAACTTCGCACCTGCGCACTTCCCCTCACCACGCAGGAACCCTCACGACCGAACATTTCAGTACGCGCGGGACTCGACGACGCAATCTTACAGCCATAGCGCATCTCGCGTGCAGCCAGCCAGCGAGTTAGCCAGCGGGCCCAGCGTCGCCGGCGTTGACCAAGTTGGGCTTTCGGATCCTCCCGACTGGCCGACTGCAGTTGGTAGTCCGTACCGACGTCCTGGGCCCGAACGCGGACCCTTGTGGGGCCTTGTCTCGGAACAGGATCTACTGCAAGGAACACATGCCCTAGTTAGTGGCTGCCCGACATCCGTCTTTAGTTGCTTGCTTTTCTCATCGTACGCCCGCCTGCCATATCTGTAGTTTCTGTGGCATGCGGTGCTAACTGTTACCACAGAGCGTTATCTACTCCCGCAAGAGTGGCGTCCGCGCAAGGATGCCTGCCATGCTGGAGGACCCGGCCAGTCCGACCATCCACCGTCGGTCTGGCGAGGCCCCTTTCCCAGACCCCAACAATCCTCAGCTGCCCGTGGACATTTCGCCTCGTCAGGTGACGTTGCGCGATCGCCAGACTGTGGCCACCATTGTGCCCTATGCCTCTGCTCAGAATGTGCCTCCCACGTTGCTCGCGTACCTGTGTGATCAGTTCAACAAGGAAATTGAAGGGGGCGACACCTACCCCATGGTGGACACGTTCACCGTGGAATCGTTTGCACAGTACTGGTTCCAGAACATGGCCGCTATCATGCTCCTAGGCAGCTTGCACAGCGCAGACGAGGTCGTGGAGGGCAAAGACTGGAGTAGAGAGTGTCTGGGGAGCTTCTACATCAAGCCCAACTACCCGGGCCGCAGCAGTCATATCTGCAACGCAGGGTTTCTGGTTACTGACGCTTCGCGAAATCGCGGTGTGGGCCGTCTCATGGGCGAGACGTACATCATCTACGCACCACGACTAGGCTACACCTACAGCATTTTCAACCTGGTGTACGAGACCAATGTCGTCTCCTGCCGCATCTGGGATGCCCTGGGCTTCAAGCGGATCGGCAGGGTGAAGGAATGCGGGAATCTCAAGTCGTACCCGGATCGACTGATTGACGCCATCATCTACGGCCGCGATCTCAACCCAGACGAGTCCGAGGATCTCGTCTCGGAGGAGCGCTTTGACAAGATCAAGTACTATCTCAAGTTCAACAAGTACCCGGCCGGGGCTGACCGCGCGGAGAAGTCTCGGCTGCGCAGCGCGGCAACGCACTACAAGCTGCTCGAGGGCGACAAGCTGATGCTCAAGGACAAGGAGGTCATCTCGGATCCGTTGCGGCAGTACGCCATCGCGCGGGAGGTGCACGTACACAATCACGGGGGCATCAACAAGACCACGGCGACGATTGCGGAGAAGTATCATTGGAGCAGAATCAAGGAGACAGTGAGCGATGTGATACGCGGTTGCCGGGAGTGCAAAGAGCTGGGGAAAACGACAAATTCACTTAAGAGAGGAGCTGCCGCGCCTATCTCTGCGCCGAGCAGCACAGAGAGTCCGCCTCAAGGGCGGGCTGGCGAGTCTGCACGACCTACCCGGGACGAAGCGGGCGTCCTGGCATTCCAAGACGGATCGCGGGCCATGATGCTGCCTACGTTGTCACAAGACAGCTCCGGTTCCACTCCAGCGACGACAGGTTATGAAGCTGATTTGGGGTCGATACAGCCTTCTCACACTTTGCACGGTGGTGGTACTGGGCACCACTTACACGGACAGCATCACTTGCTGCCTCCCCTCGAACAACACCAATACCAGCCCATCGACCCGCAAATGATCGACCAAGCTGGTTCTGACGTCAACTTTGATCAATATCACGACGATACCCACGTCGCAGACTTCCAAGCTCTGCTCGACGCGACCGAGGACACTGACACGGACAACAACACCGCAGCCGACGCAGAAGCCGCCGCGGCCGCCGTGGACCGAGACCTGGACATGCTGATAGAACACGACGAGGACGGCGATGGCACAGCAGACACCAAGAGGAACAACAAGGACGAGTCTGGGCTGTACGATTGGGATGCGAGATGATAACACACGATACCCCCCCCCTCCCGCCGTAGGACAGTGTTTGGACAGGCTTGATTGCTCAGAGATATATATACCCGGTGATACATACGCATACATCATTACATACATATTAAAAACGCAAATGAACCGCTCATCTCGCCAACACGGAGAAGAAGAAAAACGCCACCGCAATGTGAACCCATCATCTTGTTTTTTCGACTCCCCCACAAACACACACACACACACAAAAAAAAACCCTTTCACGACTGCTCCCCCAAGAACGCCGTCTCTCGATACAGCTCCGACTCGAACCCAGCGGGACAGAGCTGCTCCCAGCCGGTGTACTCCCAGTCAATGTACGCGCCGCCAGCGATCTCGTAGCGACCTTCCTCCTCGGTCTTCTTCATGAGACCGTCGAGAATGCGGCGAGCGTGCGGCTGCATCCACATCTCGGGCCAGTCGCGGTGGCGGTCCTCCTGCGGTCCGTTGTGGTTGACGACGACGGGGATGGTATCGAGGCAGAGGTTCGAGTAGAGCGGCATCTCGTCCCAGCCGCGCGCGGGGCTCCAGAGCGCGGCGTCCGAGACGATGGCGCGCGGAAGACGGGTCGTGGTGTTGAGTAGGTCCAGGGGTAGGGCGCCGTCGACCTGGGACACGCAGAGACCTGCTCGTCGTCCGATGAGCTGCGAGGGAATGTCGTGCCCGTACGTCAGCCAGCGACCGTCGTCCTCGTGGAGATCTGTCTGCACGGCCAGGTCGGCCCAGTAGTCGACCGCGATGCCCAGGTCGGGGAGGCTGCTGATCGTGTCCGGGACCTCGTGCGGGAAGGTCGGGTTCAGGGGGTTGTGGACGAGGACGCCCTCGACGACGGAGAGGTCCGCGGGTCCGCCGTGGTGGCGACGACGGAGCGCTTCGCGTCGGTACTCCTGCTCGCCAAACATGTGCTGGAAGACGGCCTGGTCGCTGCCGCTGATGGCGTACGCGCCGTTGGTGCTGTTGCGCGCCAGGTCGATCTTCTGGCTGGCGCGGGTGAAGACGCGGGTCACGTCCTCGACGGAGCCGACGATGAAGTTGGCGCTCAGGTAGCGGTGGAGGTGTGTCGTGTGGTTGAGGCGCATGTCCTCCGTCCACACGCCGTACATCTCCTTGGGCAGGGGACTCTCGGGGATGGGGTAGCAGGCGACGCTCGCGGGGTCGGCCGGGGTGCACATCTTGTCGGCGCCAAAGACGACGCGCTGTCGAATGTCATGCTCCTTTTCAAAGGCGACGCCCATCCGCTCCGCGAGGCGGCGGTTGGACGATTCGAGGATGCCGCGGTAGCGCTTGAGGAGCACGTCGAGGGGGAGCTGAAACCAGGCCTCGCCTGTGGCGTGCGCGGTCGGGTTCGACGGGTGGTGGTTGAACGCGCCGTAGGCATCGACGACGACGACCGTGTCGGAGGCGTGCTCGGGGGGTTGCGAGGAGAGCCACTCGAGAGTCTTTTCGATCTTGGACAGATGACGGCCGCCGCCGATGAGGGTCTCTGTCTTCTAGTCAGCCTCTTGTCTATGTGAAGCCGGGGCCCTCGGTAGGTGGGCGTGCGCACCGTCATGTTCGCCCTCGCCATGGCCGAGGATATGGGGTATCGGATACCCCATAACCGTTGCTGAGAGCAAGGTCTTGCATGTGCTCACGTCGCGACTTGGCGCGGGAAGCAGGACGTGCACTTTCTGAAGGTCCTCCTTTGCTACCGGTAGCAGAGGTAGCCGCTCGTGTGGTTTCGGGACGAACCTCGAGTCGACGAGCAGTCGCGGCACGTGCAGGTCATTGTGCTATTTTCTGTCAGCGCTGGAACCAAGGTGGTGCTGAGTATTGGAGGCGTTGCTACTCACATTGTAGAACAAAGAGCAGAGCAGAATGGCAAACACGGCGAGGACGATGAGGCTCTGCCGCCTGGTGCCACAAGTAGGCAGCATGATATGTATGTGGTATGTACGTGGGAAACGCGCGAGTGGAAAATCTGCAGAGGCCAAGCAAGAGGGTACACGAGGGTAACGAGCGTGAGTGAGCGCGATAGCGACGGAAAGCCACGGACGATGGCGGTCAAAGATTCGACATCCTTCGGCGGAAAGCTGCCTACACCGAGTGATCGTTTGTTCGTTTGCTCAAGCGTTCACGTCGGTGGTAGGTTCAGGGTGCTGAAGGTTGGAGATGTCACGATGGTGGCTCGGGATCGCGCTGCGCTGTCTGGGTCCCTGTCGCTGACAGGGGGCAGGGGTTCGTCCCACAGAGGCTAGGGGCCTAGACGGGGCCTGGAGGCGGTACCTGACAAACGTTAAATGGTAAGTTGTTTGAGCCTCGGTCGGTGGTTGTGAATGATCTGCGCTCCCAATCTACACGTACTCGTCTTCAATCTTAGCTCTGTCCTCTTTCTTCTGTAACCTTTAATATAACTGACTGCTGCTCCTGGCGCGAGGCGGCAGAGCGCAATAGTGACAGCGGCCACGGCAGTGCCAGGGGTCCAAGCCAAGCCTGGCCAAGCCAAGCCAGGAGAGGCATGTGGACGCTCCAATGATGGGGCCGCCTAGCACTCCAATTCCATTTTTCTTCCGTCTCTGTACCGTTGTACGTAGCCTAGGCACATGTTAAAGAATATTTCTTCTGCGGCAGGAAAGGGGATCGAAGTAATGCTTTTATGCTTAGCGCCATTGGCCGAGCGCGACACATTCTGACTCGTGCCAGGGGCAGCTTGAAGTGATTGATCTGCATTCTACTCGCATGGAGTGCATACGTGTACTCGGTCAGTGTCGTTCTCTGCACGAAATTCCATGTTGCCAATAGTGTCCCTCACTGTTACTATTCAAAGAAATTGTCCCCCTTCACAGGAGTCCAGCTTTGCCTGCGAGAGATTACGAGGGGCCACGCGCGGGTCTGGGCTCGAGTCTACCGTCTCTGGATCGCAGACCCCCCTGCTGCCGGCCGCTCTGGCGCTGGTCCGTCATGCCTAGCGGCACGGCTGCAAAGTGCTAACATTGTCGTCAAGCATGCTGTGGGATGATGGATCGACCTCACTGGCTTGGCCCTGGGGAGCTTGCTTGTTGATCAACGAGCCCCCTCGACGTTAGTTGAATATGCTTCATTGCGACTACGGCGCCGTCATCATCCTCATGTCTGCATACATTGGCCACGTACAGGTCCAGAGTATCGTGCCGGATATTCCCAACGCCCCGAGAGATTCACCCCCTCGTGTGCGTAAGTGTGTCAAGTCATTGCAACCTTCCTCGTGTGTTTCACCATTTTCTTTTTCTTTACCTCCTCGGCATGCCACGGCCGCGTCCGCGCACCGCTCGTTGGGCCGCACCCGGCGGCATTTGCCCTGGCGCTTGGGGCTTCTGGCTCTCCTCGTTGCGGACCGTCTCATCGACGCCCAGAATGAGGCAGCTCGCCTCGGTGGCGGCCTGGATGGCGTTGACCTTGACGAGGGCCGGCTCCCAGACGAACCGCTCCATCATGTCAGCGACACCCTCCTCCTGAAAGTCCACGCCGGCCCACGTCTTGCCCTTGCGGTGCTCGACGCGGAGCTTGTTGAGAATGTCGGTCGAGTCAAAGCCCGCATTGTCGCAGAGCTGGCGGGGCACCACCTCGAGCGCGCGCGCAAAGGACTTGATGATGGCCTGCTGCTTGTGGGGGATGTTCTTGTCCGCGAAGCTGTGCAGGTACGCCGACACCTCCATCTCGGCCGCGCCGCCGCCGCCGACAATTGTGTTGTTCTTGATGGCGCGCTTGACAATCATAATGGCGTCGTGCAGCGAGCGGTCCACCTCTGCGATGAACTGCTCGGCGCCGCCGCGTAGAATGAGCGTGCACGTCTTGGCCTCGGGGCACGCCTCGAAGAAGTTGAACCGCTCACCGCCCATCTGCCTCTCCTCAAAGTGGCCGCAGGTGCCCAGGTGGTCGGGCAGAATGTCGGAGCACGTCGACTGGGTGACGGCCCCCGTGGCCTGCACGACGCGCTCCATGTCGTCCGAGGCGACGCGGCCGGCGCAGAAGATGTCGCGGTCGGCAAAGTACTGCGTGGCCAGGTCGCCAATGGGCAGCTTGCTGAGGACCACCTTGGCGCCCGTCTTGTAGATCGCCTCGAGCTTCTTGTAGATAATCTGCCACTCGGCATCGACAATGGCCTGATACTCTGACACCTGCTCGACGCGGACCTCAGCATTGTCCTTCTCGGCCTTGAGCTCGAGCTCGACGTTGAGGCAGACAATCTTGGGGTCCTGGAAGCTCTTGGGCTGCTGCTCGAAGCCGGCGTAGGCAAAGGTCTTTTTGAAGGCCACGCCGTTGACAAACTGGGAATCGGTCAGGGAACCGCCGGGGATCTTCTTGACGCCAATGAGCTTCTCGTTCAGGTCGTCCTGGTCGAGGGAGAGGACGGCGTCGACGACCATCTTTGTGAAGAAGTCCGTGTTGCGCTTGATCAGCTTGCTCGTCATGGCGGTGGCGGCCAACTTGGTGAGCGTCTCGCGGCGGTTGCCCTCGTCGGTGCTGACGGCAATCTCCTTGACCTTGTTGACGGCCATCTGCGACGCCCGCCGCAGGCCCTTGATGATGACCTGTGCGCTGACGCCCGACTCGACGTGCTCCTTGACCTCCTTGAGGATCTCGCCGGCGAGGACGACGACCGAGGTGGTGCCGTCGCCCACCTCGGCATCTTGCGAGCGGGCAATATCGACGAGAATGCGGGCGGCCGGGTGGATAATGTCGAGGAGCTTCATGACCGTCGCACCGTCGTTGGTGATGGTCTGCCGGCCATTCTCATCCACCATGAGCAGGTCACCACCGTACGGACCGAGTGTCGACTTGATGGTGGCCTGCACGGCCATGCATGCGTTGATGTTGGAGATGATCTGCCCCTTGCCTTGCGACGTATCGGTGCCTGTAGAGTGTGGACGTTAGCACGGGGGTCTTCGTCGTAGGTAGGCTAGCCAGCCCTCCAGCGGTCGGTCGGTCTGGCTGGCGGGCGGTGGGGTAACGCACCCTCTCTGAGGACGACGATCGTCGGTGTCTGTCCGCCGAACGACATTGTGAGGTGCTGCCTGGGTCGTTTACGGTGGGATCCGGGTATGAGGAGAGTGCAGACCGACGGAGAGTAGAGAAAAGAGTCGTCGTCTGGGTGTGAAGGTGGTGAGACTGTCGTCGTTCGTTGGCCGTTGGAAGCTCCAAAAATTTGGGCGACCTCCCACCTTCCCCTGATGTGGGGCAGGCAGGCAGCCGCCTTATCGCCCTTATCGCAGCTTATCAGAGCTGGCTGCTGGAAGCTTCGACTTGGGCTGCATTGCTCGTCTTTGATTCTCGAGTCTCTTAACTTCGCATGAACCAAGGATGACCTCGTTCACGAAACCTACTGGATGTGCTCTACCATAATGATGACAGCTTCTGGAACCCAGCTGCTAACATACAAGCCTGAGCTACTCTCCCACTTAGGTGCACCTGACCCTGCCCGTAGCACCTACACGGCCTACCCCCCGATCTCAATGCCTGGCACCGCCTTTCCTCGCCCAGGTGCCTCCTCAAACTTGGACCTCCATGTCTCCTCCTGCTTGAATATTTCAACGCACCGCAGAGCATTGGGCTGCCCATACTCTGGGTCCGCACCAGCGTCGAGCAGCGCCTACGTCATCAAGTCAGCAAGTGTTCACAGAATCCGCCAGAGCTGACACACCTCTATCACGGCATCCTCCTTCTTGAAGACTGCTCCGGCAAGGGGGCTCTGCCCTCTGTCGTTAAGTCGGTTGGGATCGGCCCCGTGCTGGACCAGCAACCTGACCAGGTCGGCGTGACCGTGATATGCCGCCAACATGAGCTGTCGAGCCTGTTAGCAAATGCGATGCGGAATGGAAGTGAGAGGCTGCTGACAAGCGTATCGCCCTTCTCGTTGGTCATGTTGGGCGGCAGACCTGCCAGTAGAGCTTGCCCAAGGATCGCCATGTCGCCTTGGCGTGCTGCATTGTACATCCGGCCCGCCAGGGCTATGGCTTCCGGCGGGATGCTGCTTGGCTCGTTCGCTGTGGGGGCGTCCATCGCAGACATGGTGATAGTCTGTGGGATGAAATGTAGGGCGATGGTGACTGGGTTCACTGGAGGCTACCCTTTACGTACACTGTGCTCAATTACGCGTACATCTCTAGCCAGCGCCATTTCCGGTCTAGTGAGCTGGGTCATCATCGATCTTGTCTCGAATGGACCTGGACGAGGCGTTGATACGACACCATGATTACCCCATTCACACCATCTGACACTTACAGGCACGGAAACGACCGCAACCATTGTGGAGGCCTGCGTTGTCTCCAATGTAAGCCAAGATTTTGATAGAAGGCAGAACCAGAGGATGTCACCATGGTCATCGCGGAGACAGCAACAAGGGTTTTGGGTGCATGTGGTACGCCTATGTTCATCATGTCAACCTCGCTCAGCTATCCCATCATACTTATGGCCGAGAAGGCGAAGAACGGCAAACTGACATAAACATGAATCAACTCACACGTTCCATCACCAAGCCCATGGCCGCGCCGCACTACTACAAGGCCACAAGTGGGAGCATTCTAGTGGCACATCGTGCCTAGTCTCTGACCCGTTATTCTCGAGTCTAATATCTAACAGTCTCCCTCCCCTAGGCGCACCCTTACAAGTAAATGGAACACAAAGAATCCCCTCCAAGCGTGTCAAACATGTCCTTGATGGGATGACTTTCGCTAACAGCACCCATGTCAAGAATATCTTCCACCGTCGCGTTCCGGCTCGGGGGCCTGTCCTGCAGCGTCACTGTGCCAGCCACCTCGCGAGCCTCGGCGGGGTGCAGAATCTGGTGCATCCAGTACAGGCGATCGAACAAGGCGTGGTGGAGGAAGAAGGCAGGGTCGTTGGGGGACGAGTACAGGTCCGCGTTGTCGCTGTTAATAGAGTAGTGGTGGCCGGTGGTGTGCAGCCCGAGGAACTGGTCCGGGTAGCGGCCCTGGACCTCGGACTAGAAGGTGCGGTGCGTCCGCGAAGCGGCGCCAATGGTCACGTTGAGCAGTTTGGCGGTCGTGTACCATCTGCCCATGGCGTAGCTGTTCAGGTCGCGCTGGATGCAGCGGGGGTTGTAGACGGATAGGTCCAGGACCACGGGGCCGAGGCCGTCCATGGCAGGGTTGAAGGGGCCGATGGAGGCGGAGGCACTGGTCGGAGGGTTAGTATCACTGACTCTGGCGACAGGTCCTATCATCACTCACTCCTTGAAGGGGCCGCTCTTGATGCAACCACCGCCGGCGCCGGACGGGAGGTAGATGTGGCGAGCACCGCCGAGGCTGCCATTGTGCTGCACGAGTTCACCGTCGCCACCCAGGCTGGTGTCGCTGCCGTCAAAGACAGGGCTCTTGGTCAGGTCCTCGGTGTCGGCGAACCAGTTCCAGTACTACGCATGGCGTGAACCGCGTTCCATCATCTTCCGGTCCAGAAGGAAACTCACAGGCTGTGTGCCCTTGTAGCCGCACTCGTCACGAAGGGCAGTCTCGTAGGACCAGACAAATGCACGGTGCCAGGCGAGGAACAGACCGCTTCCGTGGACGGACAAGGTCAGGTTGACATGGAGCGCCACAAAGTCATCGTACCGAGTCTGGGCCGCGCCCCATTCCTCGGGTCCCTTGGAGGGAAGACTACACAGTCCTTTCTCTCCCGCTTGGTCAGAGCCGCCCTGGATGTGCATGTCAGAATACGGGCAGCACCTCCCCATGATTACGCCAGACATACCAGTCTTTTCGCACACGCGCGGTAGCGAGCGTGCACTTCTTGGGACCCTTGTTGCGGTTCTCGGGGGGGCATGGCCTCCTCGACTGCGGACTGGAGCTCCTGGAGGGCATCGACAGGGTTCATCGAAGGATCAATCTTGGGAAGAGCCGCCTCGCTATCTTGGCGGGACTCGACGGGGGTGCCCTCGAGAGGGAGGGCGAGAACACGGCCAAAGGTAGCCAAGGCGGTGACCGCAACAAAGGCCCATGAAAAATACATGGTGCCAGAAAAGGGGGATACGAGAGGTGATCCCGGGATGCCACGAGGTGAAGACGGCGCTGCATGCTTACGGGCGGCAGCGGCAGCACGATTTATGTACTTGAGGTCCTCGAGCCCGTTACCAAATCAAGCACAAGTCCAGGGAGGTCCGTTGCATAGGAGGGCCGAGGGGGGCACCGCCGCACCAACCGGCAATCTGGAGCACATCGACCATGCCAATGGTGTATGCAATCCAAAGACCGAGTTCCGACAGCTTTGATTGAAGAACAATCAGGTCGCTGCAGACATGTACATACGACGTACGTACTGGTACGGAGTATTATCCCATGTTCTCTGTACATACAAGCCTACAAGGCATGTGAGTTCGGCCGCTTGGCACCGGGGCATCAAACCCTTGATCACCATGGTCCATCACTCCTGTCTTTGGCCTTTAGCCGGAAGTAGGAATTCCGGGAGGTGGAGAGCAGCCTGATGTATCATGCAAGTCTTCAACCAACAAGCGACTGCGTATGTACTTTTGTTGGCTCACGTTATCGTACAGGCAGGCATCGGGGACGGGGCCAGCCTCACCAAGATGTGAAGTAGGGATGCTTAATATAGAGAGAGCGCAGGGCAGTCACTCACAGGCGCGCCCATTGAAGATGCTTACGGGCAGAAATCACTACATGCCGTGCTGTGGGATTGGGGAGACGCCGGATGCAGGTTGTGCATGCGCCATGCAGCGATATCACTTGCTGCTTCGTGCATGGGAGAGTGCACTGAAGCAGGGCCTTTACCAAGTAAGCGACTACAAAACTGCCAAAGAACCTCTTCCACATGGCAACGATCACCGAGTCGAGGATGGGCTGTCGACTATCGACAGGCAACACGGGGACGACACAGCAAAAACCAGAAACGGAAGCCTTGTTTAGGAGGCGGCCCTGGCAGTCACCGGACGACAAGGTTACTTTACCCGTAACGCATCTAAGGATTCGGTTCGGTACTCGCTGGACAGATCTTAATACTCCGAATGCGCGCACCTTGGCGACGCCCTGATGAGAGTGTCCCGGCTCGGCCGCCTCGTCTCCTGCTACCCCTGGATGGAAAGGCAGAAACCTGAAGGGAACCGTGATTTGCGCCATCTTCGCCTCTCGTGCACAGTGTCACTGTTGCGGGCCAAGTGATTGCCGTTGTACCACTGGGGCAAAAGTGAATATCCACACGGACCTCACAGTACGAATGGCGTATAACCCAAGACCAGGCCTACAATCGCCTCCTGCCCTGTCACAGTCACCCACCCCGATGGAGGGCTACGGTCCCAGGTATAGGATAGGGCAGGGGCCTGTTGGCTCCAAGATCTCTCGAGATTGGAAGAGATCGACCATGGCGCTCGCGTGCGTCCGCTCCGTGTCTCGAGGGCGGCCTGATGTGACATTGCGTGGAAGCTGGGGCCGAGTTGGTGAAGAATTGTGCAGAGAGCTGGCCAATGCGACAGTCCATACGAAGCGTTGGGCCTCATCCCCAGAAGACATAGTGTAGAGCGACATTCCACTCTGTCCTTTGTCGTCTGTTTTGATAGAGAGCCAGCCCATCCTGTCTACTGCTGGCCATGTGCTGAAACCCGACCCAGCATGGGCGGCGCAGAGCAATCTGGGCTGGATCCTCGATGTCAATGTGGCGTTCCATGTCATTGCCATTATGTTTGTTGCGCTCGCTGCACGTGTACACGAGGTTGTTCGTGGCCAAGACATTTGGAAAGGATGACTTTCTGATGCTCATCGCCATTGTGCGTGGCCCCACCAATCTCTCCCAATGTGTCTCTGCTTTGCTAATTGTTCTTAGGCTTGCGCCCTGCCCTGGGAGGCGGCATGGTCACGTACATAATAGACGCACAGTATGGCCTCGGACGACACAGAGACACCATCCTCAAGGAGCACTACAAGATGTACCTGAGGATGACCTTTCTCCAAGCGCTCGTCTCGACAATCGGCAGCCTCCTCTTTCTGAAGCTGTCGATTGGATTCTCCTTGATCAGGCTGAGTCAACAGAAGGTGTATACCCGCGTCATCTGGGGTTTCATTGGTAAGGATGTCCATCTTTTACGATGGCGGTGGCTGACTGCGCTTTCTGGGTAGTTTCCGTCGTTCTTTACAGTCTGGTCTCGTGGATCGAGTGATTTCTCGTGTGCAAGCCGCTCGCAGGGTTCCGGGACAAGGACCTCAACCCAGTCTGCCTCCCGGTAAAGACGCACAAGGCTTTTGCCTTGCTGAATACATGTACGTCTGCGGCAGTGATTTGGCAATGGCTTGAGCTGACGTGACAACAGCTTGCAACATCTTCACCGACATTGCGTTCGCCACGCTTCCGGTACCGATCATCTGGGTTCTCCAAATTGGCGAAGAAGACGAGACTCTATCTCATCGGCGTGCTCAGCCTCGGCTACCTGCAAGTTTAGTATTAAATTGTCCTTGAAGGGGAACTAACGCGAGTACAGGGCTGTCATGGTCGGCATCGTCAAGACGGTCTGCCAGAACGTGTTCCGTGGACAATACGATCAATCATTGTGAGACTGCCCCTTGAGCACAGCCGGAATGAGACTGACAGAGTGTGATTAGCTACAACAGGATCCAATTCTGGGGGTTGTGAGTCCATGAAACGAATATTCCCGTTCCAAAACGCGTACTAACACACGGCAGCCTCCAGATCAACATTGGCATCATCGCCGCGTGCGCCCCGACCCTCCGACCGCTCGTGGCGGGCATCCTCCAGCTGTCGACCAGCAACACCGGCGCGCGCTACCCGAGCCAGAGCAGGTACGGCAACGGCTACGGGGGGCCGAAGAACACGGGTCTCCGGAGCCAGCGGAACAACAGGAGCAGCGGCTGGGTCAAGGCGGACAGTGGCCACGACGAGTACGAGATGGACGACGGACGCTTCGGGGGACACGGGGGCGAGTGTGGCGATCAGATCCGGCCGGACATTGGGGTCGCGCACGGAGGCAGTCGATCCGGCAGCGAGGAGATGATCATCCAGGGTGTCAAGGGCGAGGAGAAGAAGGGCATTGTGCGCAGGACGGTGGTGACGGTGGTTTGATGTGTCCTGGAAATGGCGTCTGGCAATTGAGGCTAGGCGTTGAAAACACGGATGCTGGTACCTAAGGGAAGGGAAGAGCTACGAGACCCAGACACGGCGACCAGTGAATATCGAAGCATGTCAATCGGATATACAGTCTACAGTCGCTTGTACGGGTGAGGTCGACCGCTCGAGACGTGTCCGACCCTGGCTGATATTGTCCTGCAGAGAACAGGTGCAGAGAACAAGTGCCGAAAACAGGATTATATCACGGATTCTCGAACGACTATTGCATAGAGATGCAGCTCCCGGCACGACTCGGATTATCTGTCTCCTCGACAGCGCTTGGCTTCCGGAATCCGGCCCCAGCCGCCGCATCGCGAAGCCGCCGCATCCGGAATGCAACGCTCACACCACATCATCGTCCAGAGTGACGTGACGCGCCGCAATCGCCAGATCAGACCAGGACAGCCATTTTTCATTCGAAAAAGAGGATGAAGAGATGCGAGCAAGACCAATAGCCTGGCTCGGCAGATTGAAGACGAAGTAGAGGTCCGTGGAGTCTTGGACTCTCGCCCCCATCGGCAACATGCATGTACGCACATGTAGTAGCTGAACCATCGCAACGTGGACAACGTTCGTTAGCTGCATCGGCGCATCGCCATCCCTCTGCCCAAGAATGCGGCGCGCAGGCCGGGCCAGCCGTCTGCGCGGTCTCCCATAAATACGTCCCGTCCCCACGGTCTGTCCTCGACTCCTTGTCCTCACCCACACCCAACTCGAACACAAAATGTCTGACCTCGAGTCGATCAAGGCCTTTGGCCCGGCGCGGTCCACCGTACAGGGCAGCCCCCTGAGCGCAGAGGAGATCAAGGACTACAACGACTACTTCAAGGCGAGCTGCTACCTCGCGCTCGGCATGATCTACCTCAAGGAGAACCCCCTTCTCCGGGAGCCCCTCAAGAAGGAGCACCTCAAGGCCCGTCTGCTGGGCCACTTTGGCTCCGCCCCCGGCCAGATCTTCACGTACATGCACTTCAACCGGCTGATCAAAAAGTACGACCTCGACGCCTACTTTGTGTCGGGCCCAGGCCACGGCGCGCCCGGTGTACTGTCGCAGTCGTACCTCGAGGGCGTGTACTCGGAGGTGTACACCAACAAGTCGCTGGACGGCGAGGGCCTGCAGAAGTTCTTCAAGTACTTCTCGTTCCCGGGGGGCACGGGCTCGCACGCGACGCCCGAGATGCCCGGGTCCCTCCACGAGGGCGGCGAGCTTGGCTACTCCATTTCGCATGCCTTTGGCAGCGTGTTTGACAACCCCAACCTCATCGCGCTGACCATGGTGGGCGACGGCGAGGCCGAGACAGGCCCGCTGGCGACCTCGTGGCACAGCAACAAGTTTTTGAATCCCATCACCGACGGCGCCGTCCTGCCCGTGCTGCACCTCAACGGCTACAAGATCAACAACCCGACCATCCTCGCCCGCATCCCCCACAAGGAGCTCGAGAACCTGTTCCTCGGCTACGGCTGGCAGCCATACTTTGTCGAGGGCGACGAGGTCGAGAGCATGCACCAGGCCATGGCCGCCACGCTCGAGCACTGCGTCCGCGAGATCCAGTCCTTCCAGCAGAAAGCCCGCGCGTCCGGCGAGGCTGCCCGTCCCCGCTGGCCCATGATCGTCCTGCGCTCGCCCAAGGGCTGGACGGGGCCCCGGATGGTCGACGACAACTACCTGGCGGGCTTCTGGCGGGCGCACCAGGTCCCCATTACGGATCCGCAGAAGAACCCGGAGCACCTCAAGCTGCTCGAGGCGTGGCTGCGCAGCTACGAGCCGGACAGGCTGTGGGACAGCGAGGGCCGACCAGACGGCCGCTTCCGCCGCATGTGCCCGGACGGCAACAGGCGGATGTCGGCAAACCCAGTGGCCAACGGGGGTCTCCTCAAGAAACCCCTTCGCATGCCGCAGTTCACCGACTACGCGCTCGCGGTGGAGCGGTCGGCGGGCGTCAAGGCGGCGAGCATGAGCAACATGGCGCGCTTCCTGCGGGACGTGATGGCGATGAACATGCACAACTTCCGCCTCTTTGGGCCCGACGAGACCGAGTCGAACAAGCTCGGGGCCGTGTACGAGGCCGGCAAGAAGGTCTGGATGGGCGAGTATTTCGAGGAGGACGCCAACGGGGGCAACCTGGCGCCGGCGGGCCGCGTGATGGAGATGCTGAGCGAGCACACGTGCGAGGGCTGGCTCGAGGGCTACGTGCTCAGCGGACGACACGGCCTGCTCAACAGCTACGAGCCCTTTATCCACGTCATCGACTCCATGGTGAACCAGCACTGCAAGTGGATCGAGAAGTGCCTCGAGGTCGAGTGGCGCGCCCAAGTGGCCTCGCTCAACATCCTCCTGACGGCCGTCGTCTGGCGCCAGGACCACAACGGCTTCACGCACCAGGACCCGGGCTTCCTCGACATTGTCGCCAACAAGAGCCCCAAGGTCGTCCGCATCTACCTGCCGCCCGACGGCAACTGTCTGCTGTCCGTCATGGACCACTGCCTGCGCAGCGCCAACTACGTCAACGTCGTCGTCGCCGACAAGCAGGAGCATCTGCAGTACCTCGACATGGACGCCGCCGTCCAGCACTGCACAAAGGGCATCGGTATCTGGCCGCAGTTCAGCACCGACGCGGGTCACGACCCGGACCTCGTCATGGCCAGCTGTGGCGACGTCTCGACGCACGAGTCCCTCGCCGCCGTCGACCTCTTGCTGCAGCACTTTCCCGAGCTCAAGATCCGCGTCGTCAACTGCGTCGACCTCTTCAAGCTCATCCACCCGAGCGACCACCCGCACGGGCTCAGTGACCGCGAGTGGATCGCCCTCTTTACCGACGACACCCCCGTCGTCTTCAACTTCCACTCGTACCCCTGGATGGTTCACCGCCTGACCTACAAGCGGCCCGGCGCTCGCCACATTCACGTCCGCGGCTACAAGGAAAAGGGCAACATTGACACACCGCTCGAGCTCGCGATTCGCAACCAGACGGATCGTTTTAGTCTTGCAATCGACGCCATTGATCGCATCCCCCACCTCAAGAACAGGGGGTCCGCCGCGCGGCAGACGCTTCTCAATGCCCAGATCGTCGCCAGGACAGAGGCTTTTGAGACAGGTATGGATCCGCCCCGGCTCACAGAGTGGGTGTGGCCCGAGGGTGGGCTGCTGAGCAAGATTGGCCAGGCGGCAGAGGGCAAGATGCCAGTGCGGGCCAAGTAACGGGTCTCGTAGACATATCATATACAGTTACTACTTGCGCGTCGCATCCCTCTTCATGTGCCAGATGGCAATATGCTCCCCCAAATGCGTCTCCTCCACCGTCTGGAACCCATGCCGCGCGTACAACCCCTTGCCCGCGCGTGAGGCGTTGACATAGCTCGGCAGACCCTCCGCGTCGACGCGCGCCAGTCCGTGGCGCATGAGCTGTTCTCCCACGCCTAGACCCTGCGCGTCGCGCCGGACGACAATGATGCTGAGGTGGAAGTAGGGTGGTTGCATGTGGCGAAGCGCGGCGTCCACGTTGGCCTGGAAGAAGCGTCTGGCGAGCTCCGGATCGCCGCTGGGGGGGAAGCGCTCTGCGCGCACGACGTGGCGGGTCGTGGTGTCGCGTCGCTTCCAGCTCATCCAGCCGAGCACTTCCCTGGTTACGCCATCGGGAGAGACGCGCTCGAGGAGGGTGGTATGGACGAGGTCGGCGGCGATGCTGGCGCGATTTGTCTGGTGCGAGAGGGGGTCAGAGTCAGGGAAGCAGGTGGCGTTGAAGACGGAGGTGGAGAATGCGGAGGCGAAGACGGCGAGGAGGGCGGGGATGTCTGCTTCTGTGGCAGGGCGGATGGAGGACATGGTGTTTGGATATCGAGGTTGAAGATGGAGTGAAGAGGAGGAGGGGAGAGGGAGATGATGGGAGGTGAGTCATTCGCCGTGCTCAGCAGGCTTCCTTCACGTAATCGTGTAAACAGGGTAAACTCGATCATTCATCTATATTGCGATTTCACCCTTTATTACAAACCGCCTGCCTATCCAGCCTACACCTTTTTCAACTTCATCCCCGCCAGCGTATATCGCGCCCCCAGGATGAGCAAGGCCCCAGCCAGCAGCGCGCAGCCGCAGAACAGCTGCAGACCGAGATACTGTCCCTTTTGCGCCAAAACAATGGCGCCGCCAACGGGACTCCCAATCAGCCCGCCAAAGCTCTGCACGGCCAGCGCGGCGCCCACGCGCGTGCCAATGACCCTGATATCCGAGATCTGGGCGACCAGCGAGGGGCCCAGCGACACGAACCCGCCCGAGGTGAAGCCAAAGAGGACGACAAACGCAATGAGACCGGCCGTGGTATCGGCGGGGATCCAGACGGCGAAGCAGAGGACCGCGCTGACAAGGCTGATGATCAGCGTCATGTTGAAGCGCCCGTACATGTCGGCCACCAGACCGGGCAGGATACGCCCAAAGATGCTGGCCGCGTTGAGCATCGACAGGAGATAGGGGATGATGCGCTCTGGGGTGCCCGCCGCCTCGGCCTGCAGCAGCACGTAGGTGAAGGGCAAGAAGAGGCCGAGGTTTAGCGCGAATAAGCCCGCGACGAGCAGGACCATGGTCGGCTGTCGAAAACCCTCGAGATACTCGGCGAGGACGAACGGCTTGGGACGCGGCGGCAGACGCGACTTGACCGTCACGCAGACGACGAGCAGGAGGGTGAGAAAGATAAACGCCATGGTCCGCATCATCCACGGGAAACCAATCTCGTCAATGAGCCGTCGCATCATGATGGGCAGGGCGACACCACCGACTGACGAGCCTGACACGACGATGCCCAAGGCCAGGGCGCGCCTCTTGAAGAACCACGTCGTCGTGCTCGATAGACAAGCGTTGAAGACGGCGCTAGAGCCCATGCTGCCGACAATGCTCTGCGCCAGGAAGAACTGGTAGTATTCGCTCGACAGGGAGACCATCATGAGGCCGAAGACGTAGGTGAGCGTGCCGCCCCAGAGAAGATACCGGGGTCCATGCGAGTCGTAGAGCCGGCCAAAGACGGCGCCGCAAAACGTCATGATGAAGACCTGCGTGGACATGATCCACGACACGGCCGAGGGTGAATATTGCGCGAGTGGACCATGCACGTAGTACTGCTGGAAGACGCCGACGCAGTTGATCAGGCCAAAGGTGCAGAACAGGGCGAACCAGCAGCCCAGCACGACGAGCCAGGCCTCGCGCCCGCCGTCAGGGAAGTCGGACGCTGCGGTGCCGGGGGCGGATGGTGGTGTGATGGGGGAGGCATCTCTGTCGTCCTGGGTGAGGGATGCGCGCTCGAGGTCGGCGTCCACGACGGTGTGGGGCTCTATGGCATCGGCTGTGGGCTTGACGCTGGGGATCTGGTCGGGTTTCTCCATTGTGGTCGTCGAGGACACGGAGATCGTTGGCGGCATTGTGGACTTCCTCAAGGTTGGGAGAGAAGCTATTTGACGAGAGGGGAGTGTGTGTATTGTATTGTGTAGCACCACACTGTTGGCAGCGCAGACAGACTCTTATATCTACCTGTCAACACGTCGAAAAACGAATAGAGCGAGCACCGACTGACTCATCTCGGGAATAGCCAGCATGATGACCGGAACTGCGGGTGGGAATCGGGATGGCCAAATGGCCGGCCCACGCTCAATAAAGCGAGAGCCGGCGCCCTGCAGCCGCATCGACGGGACCCGCCCAGCCCAGCTCCAGGCCGGCAGCCAGTATGAATCCATGATCTGCGTCCTTCTGCAGGGTTCAGTCACAGTGTTGTCACGGAATGAACACGTTTAACAGAGGACTCGTTTCGTGGGCATTTCATTTCTTCTTCTGTCTGACTGGCTGGCCGGAAGAGGCCCTCATGACCATCTTCTTGTACTGGCTTATTCTATTGAAAAGCATATCGAGAGCCTTCAGAATCTTGAATACATGAGATCCAACAAAGACCTGATGCGGAATAGAAAAGGCCGAGATGCGTCTGCTGACGGTCATTTCAATTCACGGTCTCTGTCCGGGACTCCGGCACCAGGAACGGAACCCTTGTTAGTGACCCGCTATTCTCGGCACTTTAGTGTCGGAAATCAGAGCTCGGAGCACCGCCCGGCCTTTTGCTAACTGTTAACTAACTAACTTAAGTTAAGTTAACGTTAACTAAGTTAACGTAATCCACATGCGAGCGGCGCACCCAAGCGAGCGGCGCACCTTCCCCGTCATCTACATACAAAAAGGTCGATCAAGAACAACACAATCAATTAAGTTACTAATTAAATAAAAGTATCGATAGAGTGAGACTTTAAATATCTTCCGGACAGCTTCGTACGTTATAACCTGTTCTAGCGCATTTACTACAGCGTGCAGGCTTCGGACTGCCTGGTGGCTGAGGGCGCCTCTTTATACGCTTTTCTTCCTAAATCTATTCATTAACCTTCTTCTAATCAATAAGGTCTTTCCCATCTTGCATAGTAAGGGTGCCTCTATACTAAAGATAGCTTCTTTTAATCCCTCGACGCTTGCTTAATACCTCATTTGCTATACGCAGCGATATATTCTCCGCTTGCAAGAGGGCTACTTGATACATTACTACTATAGCACCCTTCGTTAGTTAATCCAAGGCATCAAGCATAGGCGTTGGAGAGCTGTTCTAATAGATAGAGATCCGATTTTTAATATCCTCTGACTATACGCTAGCCTCGTACGCATTCTGCGGCGTCTTTAAGACCTAAGGGTGCCTATTTTCAATAAGGTCTGCAGGAGGACTTAGCGTACGAAGCTTCATATTAAGCTTCGAGAGGACCCTTTCTAGGTTATACGGTATAAGGCCAGTGCTAGCAAAGCCTCCTTATATATTCTTCTCCGTAAAAGTAAGGAAGAAAGCTATACGGAAGGCGCGAAGGAAGTTAACCTTTGAGATATACGTGATATATGCGCGCATTAGATCTTCCACTTATCGCCCGTACGCTTATTTAAGAGGCCCAAAGCAACTAATATCGAGGGGTTAAAGAATATAGGAAGAATAAGCCGGTATACAGACCGTGATGATCTTCTTTTCCTGACAGAAGAGCTTAAAGTCGGTTGAATAGTGACTTTCGTGGCTATTAAGAATAAGCATTCGATACACGCCTTTCGTACGAGGGCTTGTATAGCGATTAAAGTACTTAATCCATTCGAGGCTAATCTCATTAGTTATCCAGCCGTTATCGGTTATAGCGATAACCTAATTAGCCGGAAGGTCGGTCCCCTCGTACTAAGCTAAGAGATAGTACTTAGCCGCGAGGATAATAAAAAAAGGAATAGCCTAGCCGCACGTATTAACGCCTTGAATAATAGTTGCCCATTCCCTATTCCCAGGCTAGGCTAGTTTAGCCTTTATTCGGCCTTCTGAGGTCGTAATAACTATACCCGCGAAGATAATACCTATTATAAAGCCCGTCTCGTCGAAGTTATAGATATCGTTATTCAGGATTGTGACGTTCGGGTCTAGACTAGCTACCGGGTAGATAGAATAGAAGTCGGGTTATGAACTGAGTACACTAGGATGTCGTTGACTTGAGCGGTCGGGTCATAGTCTATGTGCGAGATAGTAGATCTTGCGTAGACAATTGTATTGATAGCTGAGGAGAGCTTGTAGAGACTGACTATGGTGAAGCTAGGCTTCCTATATACTGGTTTGTGAGAGTGAGGGCTCACGGGAGCGTCGCGATCCAGTGAGCCATGCGTTGTTGTTGGAGCGCAGGCTCACGATGAGGTCGTGAGCCATAGCACGCATGGTGAGCATGGATGGCGTGATAGGAGGAAAAAGTGGGGGGCACGTGAGAGGCGCATGCGGTCGCATGTCGGGTCGTAACAAGGATCCCATACTTCGCCTGTATATTCCGTATAAGCATAAACCAGCCCTCAATAAGTCTCGGATCTTCGTATTTAGCCCGCTAGTAGTCATATCTACGAACCTAGCGCGTGCGAAGTTCTTAGTAGCGTTTAACGAAGTTTAAAGCCCAATACTTACTAACGGGTGGCGCGTCGCGTACGCGTAGTAGTTAGTTAGCTATATCTTCAACACCAGACAGTCGGGGAGGAAAAGATCGCGAAGATAGATCGAGTATATACTTAATAATCGCTCTCTCTTCTGAATCCGTTAGATTCATTGAATTCGGCCTGGTTTCGGCTCTAGCCTGAAAACCCTTTAGTCGGCGACGTATAGTCGTTAGAGGTATATTATAGACCTTCGCAATATGTCGGATACTTAATAACGCGTCTCCTCCGAGAGCTGCGAGGGCAAGGGTCACCCTAGATTCTTTTGGAAGTTTATCTATCATTAAATGCGGTGATAATTAGTGAGGAATGTAGTCGTGTGCAGATGACGGGGAAGGTGCGCCGCTCGCTTGGGTGCGCCGCTCGCATGTGGATTACGTTATTAGATTTGCATATCGGCTACCCTACAGAAGTCAGTGCCCTACTCTTCATCAGTAAACAATGTGTTGCATGTCGAGTACGCTTATCAAAACTCACCAAGTAAATGAGCAGATCATCGATGGACCTGACGATGAACTGCGGGAATGTTTTGTCCCGGTCATGTCATGTTCAAGGGACATGACAATCTTGGCAAAACGGCAACGTCGTGTTAACAATCTCGCAGTGTCCAAGTTTACAAAACAAAGTTCTACGAATCTTTCAGAGTAGATATAGACCCAAGACTTGCTTTCTCAAAGGTCAATAATACTCAGAATAAGATCATATGCTTCGTCCTTAACTGTGTCTGTAAGTATGGAATCTGAGTACCCGGATAGAAAACCTGCGCAGATCACGAAAAGAACCAGAAGCAATTGCGGATGGATCGCTGCGAATGCAGAGTAGGAATGAAGATCACACGAGGCCCTATGTTTAGGGCTACCCCACTGAGAAGCCCTGCCAAGTAATAATCTGGACAATGGTCGTTGGCAGTGTCCATTCCTGAGTCTTGACCACCAACCAAACAACCAAGTATGCTCAGCATCATACTAATCATTACCCCGACGCCTCTTTGCAACCCTTGTGTTGTATACTTTATGCCCAGCTTTTGTCTCACGGAGGGGTCGAGTGGTCTCGCTGGGACAGAAGACACGATTCGTTTGGTCTAAGACGCTTTTTGGCGCGAGTCGGTATGACAATATCAGGCTACAAGAGATACTTTCGGCCATCTCCCGGCAGTTGCTGCGGTTACGTAGGTATTGCATGGTAGAGAACAATATCTGTTAGAACACAAAGGCCCTCAAATTAAGCTTAAATCGACCCGACAGCCAACCCCTGCTCACACAATCTTCTCATTGGGTGAGTGCGTATAGGTCGCCTCGACACCCATTCCATGTTGGTACTTTCTACAGGTCCGCGTCCATGTCTATGTCTAAGTCTATAAAAAGGTCTTTATTAGGGGTCAGCCCCATCTTTCGCCTTGCCCTCCCACACGAGCCACCCAAAGGCGATCACCAGCTTGACCCCAGCTGCAATCCACAGTACACCACGCACGCCCACGACCGTCCTCTGCAACCATCCACTAGCAATGCCCCCAATCATGAACAGCACCACAGACAGCAAGCGCCTATTGCGCTTCGTATTCGAGCTCTGCAACACATTGGGGTCGGACACGAGATCGCAGTACAGCGACGTCAGCACCACCGAGGGGATCTCGCCCAAGCCCAGCGCGCGACTCAGCACAATCTGCCCGCTCGACTGGAACGCAAGCACCGCGACAGTCAGGTAAACCGCCCACTGGTTGTCCCGGGCTTGCTTCTCCTCCAGGTCCACGGGCGCAAAGGGGTCCACGTTGGCGATGCCGAACGCGGGCGCCACGTTGGTCTGCGCGAGGCTGGCGCACACGACGAGCAGCAGCGTCTGCAGGAAGAAGGACGCGAACAGGGTCGAGCGACGGAGAGGCCCCAGCAGGCGGGACATGCTGGCGAAAAAGCTGCAGCCCGTAAGGAACGAGGCGACGGAGACCAGCGCGCGAAGCCATCGTTTTGCGTCACCGGCTGGGAGGCTGGCTGCGCCTAGAGCGATGAAGACGGTGTTGCCTGGGGGTGTCAGTGGAATTCCACTTGCATGGACATGGGACGCACCCGTCTGCATCGAGACAAAAACGGCGGCGGCATTGAAGGATGCAGCGTCGACAAGTCCCGAGAGGAAGCTGCACGTGAGCATGGGGAGATCCGCGAGGTTGGGGTTGATCTCGCGCGAGGCATGCTGCATGCCGCGACCCGGGCTGTCCTTGACCATGTTCAAGTGAGCGCGTAGGTACTCCCTTCAAAGAAACGAGTGTCTACAGGACAAATCCTAAATTGAGATTGACGTCCATGACTGAACACTGTCGAGCAGAGAATACCGGAGCAACACCATTACGACGCCGAATTGCGCAATCTCGCTTGGCAAATTTCAAAGTGGACGCTCACGGCCGAGTCTCACGGCTAAGATCCGAAGATAGTGACCTACCCTATACTGGAGGGTGGCTGCCTACATCTACTACTAATGCACGTACAGGGTCGCCACACCACAACTGCGGATCGGCTACATGAATGTCGACAGACCTGTGCCTCACGTAACTCCAATTTGGGTGCTGACTGTGCTTCACTTGGCTTCTCGGCAGTCAGCACCTCTCGCGGTGGCATTAAACACACTCTACAATGCAGAGCGTTCGACATGGCGACGCAATTTCTTCTCGTCGACCAAGGAGCCCAACATGACCGCGACGCCAAGCGGCAGATCCGCCAGCATGTGATGAAAGGCAAGAATGCGGGACGAAAGACCAAGCGACCATCACGCCATGGGAAAGAGCAAAAGCATTGGTATCCCGGTGCCGCAGACGAGAGCTTCAGCATAGGTCTCTAGCTGGCCGGCCTGCCCGTGGAGGTCTCGCCTCAGTCTCTGCGTGTGATCCATGTATGTGAGCCGGTCTCTTTTGCGCGCGCCTTGCGAAACGATTGTTAATACCGCGCGGTAGTCTTCCACTTCACCACCGAGCGCATGTATCCCAGGCAGCTTGGCCTCTCCCTCGACGACAGCAAGCGCATGTGGCTGAAGATGTTCTTTGCCGATACTGAAAGTCTGTGCCCCGGGGACCCAATTCTGCACTGATCATGGCATGCTGACAAAACGCAGCGCTCGAGTGCAATCTGGCTATGATGCAGGCCGCCAATGAGACATACCTCGGACGCGGCGAAACCTCTCCCAGAGCCCTGACAAGCCTGGCAAGCCTGACCGAGACGTTTGCGCGCGTCCAGCAGCGCATCCTCGGCCCGGACGCGCTGGCCGACTCGACCTTGACCATTTTCATCTCCCTTGTCAACTAGGAGCATTTGCGGGGGCGATCTATCGGGCGCTATGATCCACATTGCAGGCCTGAGGAGGATGGTCGAGCTGCGCGGCGGACTCGACCAGCTCCAGCAAAATCCGCCGCTGCTCATGAAGATCTGCAAGATGGACCTGGTCTATGCGCTCCCGTACGGCGGACAGACGGCTTTTTCCCGAGATAACCTAGCCGAGGTCCGGCAGACACTGCGTAGTCAGGGCTGTGTGATGGACGACTTTGGCGTCGCCACTCTGAGCGACGTGTCACACGGGTTTGCTGCTCTTTGCGATGAGTATTTTTCTGCGGCACGACAACAGGAGCGTGCTCGACTGCGACTTGGTCACACAGCGTCTGAAAGACACGCTCGCTCGGACGATCCATGATGAGGCGTGCGAATCGCGATTCTGGCTGATGATGATGGGGGCTATCTGGACTTGGCGCGACGATCAAGTCGCCGCGTGGCTGCGGCCCGTGCTCTCCTAGACAGCGTCCCATTTGCGCCTCACCACGTGGACCGAGGCGCGCGCCAGCCTCCAGCGATTCCCACGGATGGACAAGCTGCACGATCAACCCGGCAGCAAAGTGTGGGATCAGCTGCGAGGGAATGTGTAATGAGGACATATCTACATGCTATCTATCTACTGCATCACCAAGAGAACGTCTGTCCCACCAGCTTCTCGGGCAGCGACCACAGGATATCAGCATTCTGGCTCGACACCGCCGGCGGTCGGGCCTTGTCGCTGATTTGGCAGTCCTCGAGAAACACTCCATAGTTCTCCTGGCCAGGCTTGCTCTCGACCTTTAGTTTCGGATCCAGCGCGGCTACCAGGCTGGTGGACGCGCCCATGGAAAGCGTCCTCTTCTTCGTCTTGCCTGACGCGAAGGCGGCCTCCATCGCCCTCTTCTCAGACGCTGGAAAGATGCACGGCAGGTCGGTGTCAATGATGCCCGGATTCCCGGACGTCGACAGGATGCCGTACTTTTCGTACAGCCTGTCGGTGGCACCGACGCTGAAGAGCACGTTTGCGACCATGCTGCGGCTGTAGCCGTCCAGCGGCAGTTTGGCGTGGTCCATGATGTTCTCGTACCCCCAGAAGCGAAACATGGCCTCGTCCGGCTTCTCCGCCTCGGGAAGATCGCCATTCTTGACCTCGAAGTTAATATCGCTGAAGCGAGGACCGGAACTCGTCGGCGACCGTGAGCTGACGTTGACGATGCGCACGTCGCCCCTGGGGCTGGACTGGGCCGCTTAGATCAGCTTGGGCATGAGGAGATTAATCAGGAGCCAGTGGCCAATGTGGTTGGTGGCAAAGTGCAACTCGATGCACTCATCGGAGAGGGTGCGCTCGGGGACGCACATGATGCCGGCGCTGTTGACGACAATTTGGACGGCGGGGACGTCGTCCCAGGCGAGGAGCGCCTTGGCGGCCGAGGCCGACCTGGAGAGAGCGGTAGTCGTCGTGGGGGTACTGTGCCTGGAGGGCGTCGATGGCAGCTCGCACCTTGCTCGGATTGCGGCCGCACAGGATCAGCTGGGCTGGCGAGCCAGAGGCAAAGGCCTGCGCTGTCGAGAAGCCAATGCCCTCGAGGTTGGCGCCCGTGACGAGGACGGTCTTGCCGTGGATGCGGTCGGCAAAGTCCCGTGCCACGGTCAGGCCCTCGGTGTCTTATGTTGTACTCGGGGTGGGTGGTGGCGGCCATTGTACTTTTTGACTGTGAAGAAGAGTTGGTGATTGCCCAATATCCAGGCGTGAGGGAACCGTCCTACTTATACAATTCGAGGGCACTGTGTCTTTCATCGTGCTCGCCGCTCGTTTCCTCGTGGCAGAACGCAACCAATGAGAGATTTATTACCACGTTTGGAAACATAATCTGGCAGCTCGACGTGTGTTGGGCTATGATGTTGTAGACTAGAAGCTCGGACATAGGGAGTTAACGAGGCTGAACGGAGCGCTAGATCAAGCCGACCAATGGGAGACTCATTTCTTATACGGTACGAGGTCGCCCGGGAAGAATGGAGTCAAATAAATGGACCAACTTAGCCCTATTAAGCAAAGTCGGTATTCTGCAAGTCCGCGCTGGACGTGCGCCGATGGGAATTCCTACGCCCCATCTCCATATTCGAGACAGCCTGTAGCGGTCCCTTTTCAGCAGACGTTATGGGCGCTTGCAGCTCATGCGTCTCTGTGGCTTCCCATCGTCTCGTGATGGTCTCGTGTTTCAAGATCCGCCCCAGCTCAGGCTGGCTCCGGTGTGCCCAGTCGAATTCGGGGAGCGCCGCGTACACAAATCTCTTCCGGCCCGAATAGCTCGTATACTCTGTGATGGCACAGAAGCCCACGAACCACAGGGAGGCGAATGTAATGATGCTTAGGGATACTGTCGGCACGACATACCACGCGGCTGGCTTCGCTGCGGCGGCGGCGGGCGAGCGAGGCTTGACCCAAGGCATGATGATGAGGGACAAATTCCCCACGAGGTAGAGAAAAGCGCATACAATGCTTAACCTTGGATTGACTGTCCCGCTGGTCATGTCAGCCCAGGTCTTTGTGGCCGATGGCTGGCCAGGACCCTCTGGACTGCCCAGGTTTGTTTGTGGCGGACCCCTGAAGCGCAAGAGGAGAATGCCGAGGGCAAGAAAGACGCCGCAGAACGCAGCGAGAACATAGCACAACAGCCTGCTTAGCAAGACATAGGCATTGCTCGGCGTCATGCCAAAGGTTGCCAAGATCAGGATGACGCAGGTCACGAGGTGCAGACACAGAGCCCCCACGGGTGTTTTCTCTTGGTGATTCGCCGGTTCGAGGAACCCAAACCTCCGATTCCTCCCCTGTTTATCGCGCTTGTTGCCCTCGAGCCAGAGCAGAAGTCGACCGAGGCTCAAGTCCTTGTTTTTGGCAAAGAAGCTGGCGAATGGGATGAAGCACTTCTTGGCAATCTCCTGCTTCATGCGTGCGGCGGTGAACGTCCAGACGACAATGTTGCCAAAAGACGAGATGGCAAGGAGGATACTGACGGTTCTCTTGGCCGCAATGCTGTCGTCGAAGATTCTCGCAAAGAAGGCTTGGGCTACGTTGTTATTCATCTGCGCCCGTGGGGGCACCACGATCATCTGTGATGGTCAGTTTGCTGTGAGAAGCGATGAGTGGTGGAGGTACGCACGTAGCAGACATTAACAGCCAAGTAGAGGGTCGACACGATGCCCAAGCCCCACCATATGGATCTGGGAAGGTTCTTGCGTGGATTCTTGATCTCGCCAAGGACATATGTGGGCTGGTAGAAGCCAAAGTATGCGAAGACTGTGTCTCGTCAGCTCTGAAATGAGTCAAACGTGAACTTGGGCTCAGGCTAGCGTACCAACCGTGTAGAATGCTTGTGTATAGCCGCTTTGATCCGTGCTGACCTGCGCGTCGACGTCGACGTAGGTGTCGAAATCGTTCCGAAACGCCCATATCCCTGAGGAACCACCAGCTTTGATCCACGTGGAAAGGATAATCGCGAGCAGAAAGCAGACTTTGACAAAGGCGAGAAAGTTGTTCAGCAGGATCCCACCCCGCCGGGAAAAGGCGTGTATGAAGCAGGTCAAGGTGGCAATGACAATGGCGATTCCATAAATAGCCCCCTTGTTCAATTCCAGCTCCGTCTTGCGCGGTTGGCCGGCCTGCATGATGCGCAGGGCACAGTCGAGGCAGTTGCTCGCCATGTTGCCCACGCATAAGAAGCTGATGCCAAACATGACACCGCTCAGCAGGACAGTGCCTTGGCCGTAACTCGGGCTGGGGAAGACATATGACAAGTAGTGCAGCTCGCCTCCGGAACGCGGGACGGACTGCTCCACGCCGTCAATCACGTAGCGTGGGACGTTGAGACCGTACTCGATGAAGACGTGGGCTCCCGAGATGCTATGGATGCATCCGAGAACCCACATGAGCATGGCCAGGCCGGGACTCTTTACGCCCTTCATCACCTCTTGTGGTCCGCTGAAGATGCCTGTGCCTACGTTCAGTCAGCGGGAGTAAAGTGGCAGAGAGACCTGGGGACCAACCGATCGTTCGGTTCACGACGAGACAGAGAACATCCATGAAACTTAGACGGAAGGGCTCCTTGGGAGTCCTGGTGACAAAGTCGTTCTTGTTGACCGGCGCGCCTGTGACTCGTCGAATAAGATCATTGTCGTCGTCGTCGTCCTGCGCACCCAGGAACAAGGGCGGCTGCTGAGTGTGGGCAACATCTTCCCTAGGCAGCCACACAGGCAGCGGGTCAGCCATGCTATGTCTGTCTCACTTGTAGTCACAGAATAAGGGGAATGAGCGGGAATGAGATGCTCGATCGTCCGGCGGGACGGCGTACGGCGTGCAAGTAGCGGAAGCGATATACAGCCTGTCTCACAACCTAAGACAAACATGGACATGTGCGCGCATCGAGTATTATATGGGACAGACGGGAGCTAAGCAGATAGGCAATATCACATACTTCAAAATGATTGAAGACGGACAGCCTTGAGCCTCGGCGAAGCAGCTGTATACTAGCTCCCTGTGGTAGCAAAGGTGGCTGCGCAAGCGACCATTCACTCAACTCGCGATTCCGGTGCCATGAGGGTGGTGGTACAAGCTGCCATGCACCATCAAAGCTCCTAGAGCTAAAAACGACATGACCAGTGGACTTGAGAAGTTGTACGTGTGGGCGACTTGGGCGGCTGCGGCCGCCGCTGGGCCGCATTCTGCCTCGCAGACGCCATATCACGTCCGCTGATTCCATCCCGCCCGAATGGAGCGGGGGGCCAGGCAAGCAAGCAGAGGGCGTGAACGTGTTGCTGGCCGAAAGAGAGATGGCCACGCGATGCGAGAGAACAGATAAGAGACCCCCATGAGTTCATGTTGCCTGGCGACCATCATCGAAAGTGAGGCGCAGTCCAATAGCCCGGGCTGTCTGGTCACGCCTTCCCTCCATTTGCACTTTCTTATCTTCACCAGCCGCTGCTGGTCTTACCACGATGACAGGCATCTCCCGCACCTGCACAAAAGATGGAGGATCGCCCAGGAGTTTCCAGGGCGCGCCTGCCTGCGTGTCTACGTGCCTGCACTGCCCGCATGAGCTGGTGGTGGACGGGCTCGACTTGCTGCATGAGTAGCACAGCTCACGCCCACCCACCCGCGACTTGCTCTTCCAAGACTCTGAGGTTTCTTTGCCTCCCGTCTCTGTTCGTCCTCTTGGGCTTCGACAGTCTCCCACGAGCCAGATGCGACTGCGCCTATTCCCACTCGATCGACGTCCATCATGGCCGGACCGATCCAGCTCGGAGACGTGGTGAAGCTGGCCGAGTTTGCATGGACCGTTTACGACTACGGTTGGAGTCCCGAGCACAATGCCGGCGAGAATTACAGCGCATTCGGGGCGGATGTCTATACCCTTCACGCGAGCCTCCGACAACTTGATGAAGCGATCATGAGAGCACTGCAGTCACCAGTGGCACACGGCGCGACCGGGAACGGTACGACGATCGGCGACAGAAGATCTCTCAACGAAATCATTGGGGACTACAGCGACACGCTGCGCGCTTGCATGGAGTTCCTCGTCGAGAACTCTCGCTATGCCCAGACAACGGGACCGCTGACCAACATCCACTGGAACCTCAACGCCGTGCCGCGTGTCAACCACCTGCGCAGTCGCATCCAAATGCACAACATGCGGATTGAACATGTCCTAAGGCCTTTTCAGATGTATAACCACCTTAATCGACACGGACGCCGAATGTTGGCTGATTTGTCGGCAGTGATCTCATCACCAACCTGCACAGGCATCTGGATCAGAGGTTGACAAGCATCGACTCGAATATTCTATCAATCGACAGACATCTCCAAAGCCTCATTGAGCAGAAATTTCCCGAAGTTGCCTCCGACATACGACGACGCGCCGAGAAAGAAACAAACCCGATTATCATACCAAGTCGGCTCGCACGTACGCTTGACACCATGCTTCAACATCATCAGATGGGGAGACCGCCGACTCTCTCCGAACTTGTGGACTGCTTTCTCAAGCATTTCAAGAAAACGCTTGCTCATCTTTCACCCACGTCTTCGGTCCGGCTCGTCAAGTGCCAGTACTTGATTAACCTCATGAAGGAGTTGGACGAAATGAAGAGTGCGTCGCGGCTGTCTCATTGGCCTGGCTATATCAGGGCGCTCGAGGCGGTAAGATCTCCCGCGACTGTTTTGGATCATTCCGGTTGACAATGAATGGCAGGACCTATCGCACGAATGTCTACAGTTCAAGGACGAGCTGCAATCTCCTAGTGTGTTCGACCTGGATGATGACGCTTTTGTCATATGGCCGACGGACAGTGTTCTCGGACCTGCTCCGCCTCCAGTAGCCACGACAGACTATGAGCTTCTGATCAAAATGTGAGTGCTCATGTGTGACAATTTCGCTGTGGCAATCCAACCCCTAATAATGTCATTCGCAGATCAGTTGTGGCCGACGCAAAGGTGGGAGGTTGCAGTACTCTCGCCCTGCACAAGCATTTGAAACTCGGGCATAGATTTCGCATCATCGAGGAATGTAGCCCTTCTGTACATTCGAGCAACGCGAACATTCCTCGTCTCGTCGACCTTGATATTCGCACCGCTGTTCTCATTCCCATCTATGCCGACCCTGTCCCCAACGGTGCCCATCGCCCACCACTAGCCCTCGTGCTCGAGAACGGCTACGGGTCTTACCGGTATACATTTCTCGACTTGGGGAGCCTCCTTTTGTTTCAACAGTATCTCACAGGATACGAGGTTGCCAGCACCTGTATGGAGTAAGTCGCGCCACACATTCCGGGGTGACGCCAGCTAATGCGGTACAGATCAAGGGCCCGAGCGGCGTTCGTAAGGGGAGGGAACAAGAAAACCATTGAAAATGTCACAGTGCAGATCTGGATACCATTCAACAGCCAGCGGCAGCCACAACCAGAGCCGCAGGGCTTCAGACGTAGGACTAGCTCTACCTCCACAGGGTGGGCACCATCTATCTCTTCCGTCAGCAGTGGAGGTAGCTCTGGCTCGGACGACACCGTGGCGGTCCGGCTGGACAACAAAGCTGCCAACACAGGCTTAGGCTATGGCATTATGCGCCGGCTTCCCAGTCCACCGCTCCTTGTCCTGTTCACTCGGTCCGATGATGCCAAGAGCCGATCCATTGTGACCATTATACTCCACGACGATACCGACGTGAATCCAGACAGATGCCAGTGCCGAGAGAATCCTGACTGCCGGATCAGCAGCCTGGAGCAAAGGAGGGGTTTGTTGAAACTTGGTGTACTCGACGCACACAAGCTTGGAAGCGGGTCCGCATGGAGCGTACTGTCACTGCCACGCGCAATGCCCCGGTGGGAGGACCTGCTCCGCATCAGTATCATCTTCCCCGACTTGGGAGCCCGGCACAGAATGATGGGCTGTCTGTGCAATTGTAGCCTCCGCACGGAGGTGGACGTCAACGAATGTATCGGCAGGAAACACCAGGGGCTGCTGGGGATCGTCAAGGTCCTGTACAGGAGATCCATGGTGGAGTACCGACGTCACGGCGATTGTCAAGAGCATCTGCGCAGATGATAGTGTCATGTTTCGTCGTCGTTGCTCACGCCAATTGGGTCTTTGAGCCGGTCCTGGCTCCGTAGGGGTGCCCATGACTCTCGATCAATGGTTTTTGGCGGCTCATCGTCAACAACTTTGTCAGCTCGGATTTCCTCCGGCTTCAAGCTGGCTGAGACCAGGTTTCCAAAAAGGATGAAGCTTACCCTTTGCACCCCAGGGTTCAGTCTCGCAGAACTGCGTCCAGCCTTGCGTGGCTTCAAGGAATTGGCTCGCCATCACCCTGCAGGCGTATCCTCTGTGTTCCGCGTCACGGTCACACCCAAAGCGCTACAGTAGATAAGGAGCCAAACCGCAAGGATAAGCTTTTCTGTTCTTTGCTGCCTCTTCTCCGCACCCGCGGCTGATCAGCTTATCTTGGAGAGAAACATCTTCAGGAGTGTCCGTGTAAGACATGGAGAGAAGACGTAAGAGGAGCCCTTCTCCAGCTCGTCCAAGGATTTTGAGTCAACGTCATGGAGCTCTTGTGCCAGCTTCTGGTCAGCTTCAGCGTGGGCAACCAAACGGCTCATGATTCGTTTCGTTCGCCACGACGAGAGGACCCTGTAGCGACACTCGGTTCGGAATGAGATGCGCGAGGAAATGGTGGGTTGGAGAGGCTCTGGTGTGCGTGGTGGCTCTGCTGCACCGCATTCCCGTCGTCTTGGAGGATCATTGTCTGTTTCTTAGGGCAAGGAAGACAACGACTGTGTGCTGCTAACTGGTGAGTGGGCAAAAGAGCCCATCGACACGGTTCGAGCCTTACTCTTCGACTGCCGCCGGTGTTGACCCGGTGTTGACCTGTCTGGGTTGTTGACTCGGAGACGCCGGGCGTGCTCGCACAATCCGTTGTCGCCTTCCAAGTTGTTGGGGGGAGGTTGGGGGGTGGGATAATAGTGCTCTTGGGCATGGATTGCTGAATGCAAGGCTGACTGGGTACTGTACACTCATTCGCAAAGTCAGGTCTTCGAGTTGCCGTCCGAAACCCAAGAGACTTGAGAAAACTGACAGAAGGATGCCCTGGGTGGACCTTGCGAGCCCTCCATATGCATCACACTGGACACAGCCCAGAAGCAAGGTCCCAAGAACGATGCAGCCATGGGCCGCTCCTTGAACCTTGGCCCTGGCCAAGGCTGCATTTTGGGGAGCAGATCAGACGCTCAGCGCTCGTGGGAACAGGGAATATTTCCCTTGAAGCGCGTATCTCCATGGTAGTCGAGCTGTCGCTCCAAGCCTTTCAAGACGAACTGCCGGGCACAGGTCGACGACGATCAGACAATGATTTACGATGAAGTCTAGCTCAAAGAAGGCAGATCAATTAATTACCACGTAATGACTTACTATCCAACCTTGCCTCGAAATTCACGATATTTAGCGTGATCAAGAAAACCTTTTTTTTTTTTTTTTTTTTTTCAGTCAGCGCAAACTCTCACCTTATAAATAGGACTGATGTTTCAAAGATCGTAACAACCACCGGTATTCACGTTCTGCAAGATGACTTTTTACGACACTGCCGACGGGCAGGACTCACTCAAAGGGAGCTGCTTGTTGGCCGTGGCGTGGAAGATAAGATAGTAAGTCGAGCATGTGCCATCAATGGCAAAGTCCTTGGAGTACGAAGTGTCCGAGTCACCAATCAGATTGTCGTCCTTGAATGTAAACCGTCCGGGGGCACACGTTGTGGGCGATTCGCACGAAGCATAGACATGTACCGAGGACAGATCGAAATGTCCAAGAGTATCGTCATCGTACAACTCATACTCAAAGCTGAACTGGGAACCAATAATTTTAGCTGACCAGGTGCCAACAGGGACTCCTTTGTCGACGTCGTTGCCACCAGCACCGACAATCAGTGTTCCACTGATGCCCGAGCTCAATGTAGCTTTGGAGGGAGTGAAGTACCAACCCCAACGATTGGCCTTGCACACAGCCGGCCCGAAAGGATTGCCGTTTGGGTTTTTGAATTCATCACCATGGCCGAATGCGGTGCCAATTTCGCAGGTGTGGGTAGGAGGTGGCGCGGAGGGCAGCAACAGTTCTCGAGGCAAATCTGTGGGCACTCGAGGCTTAGCTCGACGTACATGAACCAGTTCCCGGAGCCGATGGTTGTCCCCTTGTTGAAGCAGGTTGCCGTGTCAGTGCCTCCCGTAGAAATAGAAACGCCAACTGCAACATAGATTGTGCGGTCGCAAAGGGACGATGGCTTGGGGTACGGGAACGTAGCAATGATGCTGTCGGTCGGGACCCAACACTCAGTTGGGTCGGTGGTGCAGTATTTGTTAAAGGCCCAAGTCCCCAGCTTCTTGTTGAGCGTAATCGGGGCATCATCCACTTGCAAGTGGATGTCCGTCACCTGCGCGCCTGCCGCAGGGCTGATGGCAACATGAAGGCATTTCTTCCCGGCATAATCTCCATTGGCGGGGCAGTCCTTGATCGTGTAAGTGACGCCGTTGGTGACATCCTGCTGATCGTCGCCGAATTTCTTGCCGCATTGAAGATCAGCTTGGCTCGTGTCTTCTGACACTTTCAGTGGTCCAGGTCCATATTCAGTGCAGCAGCTGGGTGTGCCATCAGGGCATGATTCGCCTGTGCGAGGAAACAGAGACTCTGGGTAGGTGTACGACCGCGCCTGGTATCTCTTGACAGCAGTGTTGGGACAGTTGCAGGTCGTAGCATCCGCACCCGAACAGGTCCCGGTAGCTGCCACACGACCGAGGAGGCTAGCCAGGAACAGTCCTGATAGGACAACCAATGTGTTAAACTTCATCTTCTCCGGAAGAGATAGGTATAGATGACTTTGAGTCAATCAATGGAGAAGATAGCAAGTGCTGCAGCCAATGGAAGAGGTCGATAGGTGGGACGCGGATATGGGCATCAAGCGTGTTGGCTGAGAGAGACTGGAAAGTAGATACTTGGATGCAAGCACTGGCTATTTATGTTGCTGGTTTGTGTGATAATTATGCCTCTTCAAAGTAGTGGAGTGTCATGTAAGTGTTATCAGCAGCTAACTTGAACTCTCGCCGCAGCCATCTGTTCTGGCTTTCCAAAATTACGTGTCCGTAGTGCGAACAAACTCGAGGTAAACCTTCACTCAGCTCATCTACCACGCGAGCGTAGTCAACCCCGCCAAGAGAGTCACGCTTGACTGGAATGTAAAGCTGGGGAAAGCTTTCGGCAACGCTGCTTTAGGAGAATCAATATTGTCTTTTAGCGGACGGGTACGGTGGGATAGTAGGTCAACAACTGCCAATGTGTCAACCACCAAGTACACACACGACGGGCGGAGAGTCGAGACTGCCGTTTTGCGCTTGTGATCTCGAGAGTGAGCCGCACCAAAGGCCGGGAACCTGGCTCGCAACACTTCGGTGTACGCCAAATTGAAATCTAGCGTAATTGAGAATAGATCCTTCAATAATGCCAACTTTATGTTTTAGCTGGTGTGTCAATTGAAGGGCCGTGGCTCAAGTGGAAGACGCCTGGGCTGATCCAGACACCTCGCAGGACGGTCTGGACGGTCTGGGACTCTGGGATCTCTGGGCTGCAGATGTGACAGCCATGGTTGGGTCACTTGAGTGGATTGGATTGATTGGATACGTCGGCATGGCTGGGCGAAGTGTGAGGCTCATTTATATTTATGCCCACCGCTTGGGAACTGGACCCTTTCACAACGACCAGCAGAACCGTTCTGATGGCCGGAATAATTCAAGTAACGGCGCCCCCGAGTTTCTGGGACTGCGGACAGTAGACGAGTATCCCCAAGGGCTCGAGTCCTCGACACTCATTGTACAGATGCGCAGGACTTGGAAATGGCCATTGTGTGATGGGTTGTCAGCCTGCCAGGCATTTTCAAAAGGGCAGCATCCAGATGCTGCCCTTGTAGAGCTTCGTTGATCATGTAGTCACTCTCGCGTATATACCCCGGACACTTTACGTTCCACAGCATTGATACAGTTTATGATCGGGTCTGCGCGATGCCCAAAATCGTGTGGTGTAACTTGTGTGGCCACGTCTAGTTGACTACAGTCGCGTGGCGGGCGGAAAATCCGTGTAGTCCAATTCGACCTCATCATGGATGGCTGGCAGAGTCACCCATTATATCAAGTTATCAACGGCAACGTGAATGACAAGAGCAGGACAGGCGGACAGAGAGTCGCCTTCGCGAGGAAAAGACAACAAACAGCCAAGGTGCCCCGGGATTCCATGGTCTCAAGGGCCAAGCTTCCTGCAGGCGGCTGCAAAGTCAGCGCGCCATGCAGCATGCCAAGTTAGATGAACACAAGGCTCCCAGGCCCATCAGCCTACTCGCTAGGACGTCAACAGCGTCAGATAGCGCGTAAAACATGAGGACAGTGATACGATTGAGGCCAAGGTGCACTCGCATGTCTCAAAATGCAGACAAGACTATGTCGTTGCATGCAACTGGTCACAGACTCGCGATGCGCTATCACCATCTCCTAGCCCAGCCTCTTGGTAGATGCCCCAAGCCTGCCTTGCCTTTCCGCTATCACATTGCGTTGTACTTTGAGAACGCTTGGCCTGTTTGGTGCCATGACATGGTGGCCATGCCACCACGGTTTCCACGAGAGCGCCTTGCCGCCTACGAACAGGACCTTGTGCATGATGATTGGGCGGCAATGGTTTGGCGAGAGGGCGCGCCAACCTGGACTATGATTGATTCCTCAGGCAGTTTTATGCATGAGGAGGTGCAGAAGGAGCTGTGCTGTCTCGCAACGTTCTGATTACTGAAGAAAAGTACACTTTTGTCAGGGAAAGAGTAGGCCCGTACCACGGCCACCGCCATTTGAACTGCATCTACTTTCAAATTCGTTGATCTCGCTTGTTGCCATCATCTTACACTTCCAAGCTCCAGAGTATTCATGTTCAAACCATCGTTCTCACCTCAACTCAAAGGCTGGCAATCCCTCGCCAGCCATAGCTAGCTTACTTCACTCGGAACAACTATGAGTGTTGTCGGAGATCTGCAGAGCACGCCGCCCGACAGTCGGTCGGCCAAGAATGACCGCGCAGCCTGTCGAGTCCATTCCGGTACCGATGCCGCAGTCCGTTCTCCCTCTGCGAAGAGGCAAAAGACATTGTACGAGCAGCACGACAAGACAGGCGCTCTGAATCATGAGCACTACACGATCGCCTGGATATGTGCACTGCATATCGAGATGGCTGCGGCCATCGCAGTGCTGGACAAAAAGCACCGGGAGCTACTCAAGCCTGCGAATGATAAAAACTCCTACGTGCTGGGCAGCATTCGGGACCACAATATTGTGATTGCGGGCTTGCCCTCCAATGAATATGGTCTAATCAACGCCGCCCACGTCCTGGCTGACCTGCTCCGGACCTTTCCATCTATCCGCCAAGGCCTCATGGTCGGCGTTGGCGGTGGCGTCCCCAGCAAAATGGATGTCCGCCTGGGCGATGTTGTAGTAGGGACAAGAGTCATGAATATTGATTTAGGGAAGGCCCGGACCGGAGGCAAAATACAAAGAGCGGCAGTCCCCAAGATGCCTGGCGCATCCCTGTGCAGGGCCATCACGAAACTTCGAGCCTCGCATGAAGCAGAACCCGTCAACGTTGCTGCAGTCGCCCTGGAAAGGATGAAGAATCTCCCTGACTACCAACACCCTGGGACTCCTGACCAACTTTTCCTAGCAGACTATGTTCACGTGTCTCCGGGACCCGATTGTGACGAATGCGACCAGTCCATGCTCAAGGTGAGAAACACCCGACCCTCCCAGGAACCCAGGATTCATTACGGCGGCATTGCGTCAAGCAACCAGCTCACGACAGATGCGATACGTCGTGATGAACTCGCGCAGGAGTTTGACATCCTCTGCTTCGAGATGGAAGCAGCAGGCTTGATGGATGTCCTCGCTTGTCTTCCTATCCGAGGCATTTGCGACTACTCCGACTCTCACAAGTCCAAAGAGTGGCAGAGATACGCGGCTGCCAATGCTGCAGCCTACGCACGGTGTCTCTTGCAGAATTTAACCGCAATAGAGATGAAGACGGGGCCGCCCAACTCAACTCATCGTCCTGTTCCTGTGGACACGGATATGAATGCGGACCATCGGCGCCGATTACTGGAATCCCTGAGGTTCCAGCAGATGCATTCACGCAAATTTGACATTCGCGAGAATGATGAACAGACCTGCCACTGGTTTCTGGATTCCCCCGTGTACCAGGACTGGCTTGATCATGGCAAACGGCCGAGCCATCTTGGCCTCTTGTGGATACGAGGCAAGCCAGGCGCCGGGAAGTCTACTCTCATGAAGTTTCTCTACTCCATGTCAAAGAAGCGGGACCAGTCTGATAAAATCTTGACTATTGCTTTCTTCTTCCACGCCCGAGGCGACACGCTCGAGAAAACGGTCTCTGGCATGTACCGCTCTCTGCTTCTGCAAATCCTCCAGGGCTTTCCCCATCTTCAGCACATCCTTGACAATACAGAATTGGTTCCTCGAGACGAAAAATGTTGTCCGCCAGTGAACGCTCTCAAAGAGCTCATCCGAGACGCTGTGGTCTCGCTCGAGGAGGAAAACCTGACTTTCTTCGTCGATGCTCTCGACGAGTGCGATGAACAGCAGATGACGGACATGCTGGAATTTCTCGAAGATGTCGCCCAAAGGTGTCTTGCACGCAACACATTCCTTTTGGTATGCTTCTCTAGCCGGCACTACCCGTATATCGACATTCGCAATGGAATCCGAGTGATATTGGAGAATCAACCGGGTCACACGGCCGACTTGAACAAGTACATTGACAACCGCCTTTGGATTCAGGATCCTGCACTCAAGAACGAGTTGAAATCGGTGATGCTCGAAAAGGCTGCCGGCGTTTTCCTCTGGGTCTTTTTGGTGGTGAGAATACTAAATAAGGAGGGCGGCGGCGGAGGATTGCGACTTCGAAAGAAGCTAGAGGAGGTGCCTACTGGTTTGAGCGAGCTGTTCAGAAAGCTTTTGACGAGGGACCAAGAGAATATGGAAGAACTGCGCCTATCTATCATGTGGATCCTTTATGCACAGAGACCACTGCGGCCTGAGGAGTTCTATCATGCCATGTGGGCTGGGCTGTTGTTGGAAAGTAAGGGGGACCCAGAGATGCCGAACGTGAACGCCCCGGGCGCCGCGACACGCTTCAATGGATGCGTCATCAGCTACACCAAGGGGCTCGCAGAGATCACCAAAGACAAAGAGAACCCCGCCGTGCAGTTTATCCACGAGTCGGTGCGGGATTTTCTTGCCCGGGACGATGGTCTTCTCTCCATATGGCCCGAGCTTGGAGCCGACTTGGAAGCTCGAAGCCATGATAGACTTAAATCATGCTGTCTATCATATTTTCGCCATCAAGAGGTTAGAGTCACTCTCGAAGGGACTACCTTAAACCTTCTGACGCGGAAAGATCGCCTCCAGCATGAAAGCCGCGTCAGGGGCGCGTGTCCCTTCCTCGAGTACGCCGTGGACAGTGTTTTATACCACGCCAACGCCGCTTCAGACCTTGCACCCCAAGGACCATTTATGGACGACTTTCCTGTCCAGTGTTGGATCTCCTGCTCCGATATCTGCCACGGATTCCGGGGACGGCAATACTCTACCGATGCAGATCTCCTATACATCCTCGTAAAACAGAGGTATCCTGCGCTCGTCCGAGTCAGGCTCGAAGATCACCCGAACATCGCTGTTTCGCAACGGAGCGGTGACTTCCCGGTTACGGCCGCCGCGGCCAATAAGGACAAAGAAATCATGTCAATGCTAATGGACGCTGGAAGAGATACCCTATGGGCCAATGGGCACTGGCAGAGACCTAACAACGAAGTGGCCGATCCTATACATGTGGCATGTAAAAAAGGATATTTGGATATGGTTCAGTGGCTCTATATGAAGGGCCTCGTCGTCCATGAAAGACATCTGCGCTCAGCAGTTAGGTGGGGCTGTGATGAGATGGCTCGCTGGTTGGTTGCTACGGGTGCGGTTACCGACTATAAAAGCGACTACAACAAAAGCACGCTGGTACTCGCTTTACAAAATAACTGCCTATCAGCTGCGCAGCTGCTGCTTGGGCATGGCGTGCGCCTCGACTCGAACGTCGACACCAACGTCTACCCAGATGGAAATTTTCACTTTCTACACCATGTCTCGAAGAGTCCGCGCCAGATCCCTCTCGCAAAACTACTTATAAAGGGTGGTCTCGCAGTTGATTCGAGAGATGACGAGGGCTTGACATTCCTATCCCATGCCTTCCAGCGGCCTTTCGATGAGCCTTGGGTGCGCTACTTACTCGATCGCAAAGCCAGTGTTGAATCCAGGGACCGCAACGGTCGGACGCCGCTTTCCTGGGCTGCAGAAGGTGGCAATGAAGCCGGTATTTGTTTCCTGCTTGCGCTAGGGGTCAACACCGAGCCAAGGGACGACTTTGGCCATACGCCACTTTCCTGGGCGGCAAGAGGTGGAAAAGAGGTCGGAATTCGTTTGTTGCTGGACTCAGGGGTCGACATGGAGTCTATGAATGATCGTGGCCAGAGGCCGCTTTTCTGGGCTGCACAACAAATAAACACGTCTGCATTACATCTACTGCTTGAACGAGGGGCTGATACAGATGCCAGGGACGACGCACAACGAACGGCACTCTCTGAGGCCGCCCTGTCCGGAACAGAGCTATCAGTGCGTGACTTGCTTGACGCAGGCTCGGATATTGAGTCCAAGGACCGCGGGGGTTGCACGCCGCTCTCGTTGGCCGTGACGACTGGAAACGAGTGTGCAGTGCGTATATTGTTCGAAAAAGGGGCCGATATTGAGTCGACCAATGCGGAGGGAATGACCCCTCTTTCGCAAGCTGCACGGTATGGATACGACCAAATTGTGCTGCTGCTGCTTGAGCATGGAGCCAATATCGAGTGGCAGAACTGCGAAGGTGATACACCGCTCATGTTAGCCGTAAGTTGCCAGAAGCTTGCTACGGTCAGGGTACTGGTCGAAAAGGGAGCATGTATTACGCAAGAAAACCATAAAGGGCGGACGCCAAAGGCGCAGGCCCTTCATGCATCTTCTGATACAATCGAGCGGGTACTCAGGTCACACGAAGTTCGTTTACGTTCCGATGCAATCGCGCGGGTACTCAGGTCACGCAAAGCCAACCAAGGATCCAACAGCCAGCCTGGATGAAAGGGCCATACCAGACGGACCTGTGTACAGAAATTCTGCAGTTCAAGACTATGATGATGGCTATGGGCAGTGAGTGCTGTCACACGTCGCGAATTCTCCAGGCTGCTCCTGAGATTCACGACTGGGCTCCGTGATCCGTCCTACCACTCCTCCAACCACGCCTTGACAAACGAGCGGATGGCCCGCTGCGCGTCCTTGACAGCCCGAGGCGGCACTCCCGGTCGTGTCTCGTTGCAGAACACACCATTCTCGTCCCAGTGGTGTACAGCATCGTCAATCAAGATCAAGGGCTCACTCGGCGTCGATTCACGCCTGTCCTGGGACAGTGCATGCACACCCGCTGCGCGCCACGGATCCCATTCGCCATCCAACCACGCGAGACGCGGATACGAAGCGTCGAAGCCTCCAAACTTGTTGATGCGGTCCGTGTCGGCCGGCTCTGATATGTTGAAGGCCGAGCGGCAGATCTCGGTCGAGTACTCCAGGTCGACGAGGCGCGAAACCATGGGGAGGATATCGTCAGGAACGCCAGATCCTGTCTGGAGGAATCCCCACTCAGTGCACACCTGGTACGGCCAGAGACGCCACGTCTGCGAGAGATCTGCTTGGACATAGAACGACTCGTCGGACGTGGTCTCGTAGTCGTCCTTGGACCGGGCGGCGGCAGCAGCATTGCTCGGACGCTGGTACCCTACAAAGTTGAGCATGCGGTCGACAAGAGGGTCCAACTGCTCCTCGTAGCCTGTCGCCTTCAGGAGCTCCTCGACGGTGGCACGCTCCTCCTCTAGGTCTGGGTACATGTTCTCGGAGGAGGAGATGGTCTCGCAGTAACGGAAGAAAGCATCAGTGCTGATAGCAGGGTCCCAGTTATAGCTCTGCAGGGCGGCGATATCTCCCGCGACCGACGCGGCGAAATCCGCATCGTTTCTGACGTGTCCCATGCCAAAGAGCTGCTTGAGTGAGTCGACGTACTCGGCATTCTCCTTGTTCATCAAGATGTTGTCGACCACGTTGATCAACTTCCCCTGCGTCTCGCCACATTCGCCGGGGCCAAAGAGCCTCGCGGCCTCGTAGTACTCCCAGTAGTCCCAGATGGCCGCAGGCACGCCGGACGAGGAGATGGCCGCGAAGAAGATGTCCGGGTAGACGATGCGCAGAAAGGCCACAAAGGCGCCTGCGTAGGAACCGCCATAGGCAATCCACGGCACCTTGTCTGGGCTGAAATCCACGTCCTCCAGACCCTCAAACTGCACGTTCTTGGCAAAGTAGGCCGTGTCGGCCAGCGCCTGCTCCGTCGTCAGGAAGCGAAGGCTCTCCGTCTCAAAGTCGGGCGTGGGGACGCTGCTGCCGTAGTAGCGGTGCTCGAGGATGATACCGATACCGTTTGTGGCCTTGGCTACTTGGTGCACGATGCCCTTTTGCAGAAAGGGGAGGCGGCCCTCGCCACTCGTCTCGCCTGCGCCGAGGACAAAAACGGGTCCGCCTGGCTTGTAGTACTGCGCGTCGAACCAGTATCGGAGGTTGAATGTGCCGTCCGAGTGTGGCTCGTACCTCGAGTCGTTGTGGAAATGGTCAATGGGCACGGAGAGGTTGTATTCGGGGTACGAGGCATCCACTGCCGCCCTCGACAGCAGGCGTGCGGAAGAGGAGGATTGCTGAGCCAGCTTGCTAAAGGGGATAGGCAGTCCCTGCAGCGCGTACACTGCCGGGAACACCAGTGCTGCTACGATGGCACGCATGTTGCCCCTGGTGATGCGACTGGGGTCACTGGACTTGCGATGTCTGGGAGTTGAGTATTTGAAGGCGATTGCGCTCGCTTTGCGCAGAGCCCTCGATGAGGCTCGTTATATACGTGACCTGGAGGCGAACAAAGATACCAATACTCCGCACGGGTCCAGTCTCATGTAACGTCAACGCTGGCCGGTCGTGTGATTCATGTCATTGGCTGGAGGCACCCATATCGCCGTTATCAACCTTCCGATTTAGGCAAGTATCAGGCCGTGTAGCCGGACCATCACGATGTTTACTAATACAGGACTGTGCAAGACGTCAAAAGTACCCTAAAATGTGCATGGTGTTGTGCAGGATCGATCTTTTGGAGTGACGGGCACTAGGACCGGGCCATAGGCGGTGTGGTAGAGGCTAAACGAGGATCCAGATTCCGGTCCCGCCATGAAATTCTTTTTTCCTTGATGAAATAAACACTGTAGCTTTCATGGAAATACAGACTTTCTTACTTTGAGGCTTTCCTGGAGGCTTGCAGGTGATCGTCGCAGTTGCTACAACCTCACGGTTGCCGTCGCGTTCCGTTGCATGCTGGCTGTCCTTTGACTGGATTCACAGCCACAGCGTTGTGAATGCCAAGCAACAGGTCTACCAGGAGATTGTTGCTCTGCCCTTCCGCATCGCGCTCGTTCTGATAGGCGTGGTTAGCAGCCAGAGGACGGTCTGGTGGAGAGTACTCGAGTTCCTCCGCCTGACCAGGAATACGCTGCCAGTTTCACTGGAGGGGCCTAGTGAACGAAATTAAATGTACTTCTGTGGTCACTCATGGGTTTCAGTGTCCATTTTGACTTCTGAGTTTATAGCTTTCAACGATACTCTTGATATCTCAGGGGAGGAACAGAAGCCAAAGGGGGCAGACGACGACAGGAAAGGCCCTGGATTCGAGGAAGCAGACAGAACAGCAGAAGGACGGGCCCGTTAGTAAATTTAGTTCCTCTGGAAAGCCATTCCTCTTCGAAGGATACTAAACATGATGGGCATCCGTGTCGAAATGCTACAGGTTGTCTCGTAGGCCTGGGGATGGCCAGACGTACTCTGACGGCTCCCCGACGCGGCTTGCACAGCAACTAGACCAATCAGTCTGGCATTTTTTGTCTCCTTTCACGCTCAGTTACTGAAACAAGCCAAATCTGCCCTTTATTCAAGGTCATGGTAATTTCCAAAGCGGCATCTTGTTTTATTTATTTCTTATTAGATAACTTTCTAGCATCTACAAACAGTGTTCACAATCCCAGTTCGGTTCGCAAAGATGTGTTTAGCACTAGCCCGTGTTCTTACCTAGCCAACACAATCGCTTCTGGCCAACCTCCCGGGCATCATCAATGATCAGTGCGATCTCTGTCTTTGCCGGCACTATCACGAAGACTCACCTGCCGCACCAAGTGTTTCGACCGACGGTCCGACGATACCGTCATTGCCAGAATGAACCTATCACCACAAAGTCGGCCACAAATAGTCGCTACTTGTCCATACTGCACTCTCGTCACAGAACTGGCTACGACGGTAAATCTTAGGGCAAGATGACCAAGAAGAAGAGCGATGCGGACTGCCAAGTTGAGTGATCCTGTGGTCACGGGACCGGATGGGGCCGGATGGGGCCGATTCGACTCCACTTCGGCCTCCGTGCCGCATTGTCGTCCGATGCGATGCCGGAGACCGCCTCTTGACGCTCCCCGCTTTCGCTCTGCCTAGATCCACACCCGACCTCGGTACGACTGCGTGGAGCAGCTGCATCGAAGAGACATCGCCTCGGGACAAGCCACTGAGAAGCTTTGATACTGATCGCGCGCTCAATTGATTCTCAAGCCTCGAGGCGGCACCTGCGTGGTACTTTGTGTACGTACTTGTGACACGGTTGGGAAGAAAACACGATGCACTGGCCATCAGCAGCTGGGCAGCTGTGGACTTTGGAAACGCTGTCGGAATATTGCCTATGGAGCAGCGCCGAATCCCGCGCGCACAGCCTGGGAGACTGTCTGACCATTGGTTGGACGAGCAGAATTTCGTGATGAGTGGGGACTAGCCTAGCCCCAGCCAGTCCGTGATGTCTACGGACATTGAAATGGGTCTCGCCGCACCGGTGCGAATGCTGTACTCTGGCGCACAGCATCGTGACCTAGACAAGTACAACCATGACGAATCTTCTGGACGTTTTTCTCGAAATTAAATGTCAGCTGTGGCACGGTATGAGAAGCATCGACTCATTCATCGAAAGGTGCGCGCGCAGCACAAATGAAGAAGAGGAGACACACAACTGCTCATGACCTACTCGTCTCATTCCCGAGACCCGACTGCCCGCCGCCGCTTGGAGAGATTAGCCTGACCAGGCACCACCTTGTGGGTTCGCGCTGGCCAAGATTTGTCAATTGATCGCTTCTCCAGCGCCCACTGCCCAGCCTGCAAGTTCGATTTCACTGGAGCCTCCGGGTTAAAGCCGCCGGACCGGTGGGGAAACCACAACTAATAAATGGGAACGCTCGAGTGTCGACACCGGATCCTTCTGCGCCCTTGTAATAAAACTTCTTTCTCGTCTCGGGCACCTTTTTTAATTCACCGGGTCCCGACGTGACGTGACTTTCGTCGAGCTCGTGTCCTTGAGCTGTGCCTATATTTGTCTGCCTGTCTGCCTGTCTGCCTGTCTGTCTTCAGTAAACGTTTGGCTGTCCTTCTCTCGTCTCAGACGACGTGCCATGTCTCGTACCTCGGCAAAGGCGTGCCATTAGGACCATCCTCTCAAGACAGACCGTACTATTTCTCACAGACATCATGGTCGACCTCGAAAAGGCAGACTCGCGCAGCGCAGAGACCGCCCTCACCATCTCCTCCTCCTCCGATCCCTCCAGCCCGCGTCTGCAGCCCATCCGCACCAGCCAGTCACACCGCTCGGCCCGCTCCCACGCCCAGCGTCGCATCGACGGCACGGACTACCTCGAGAACCTTGAACAAGCCCTCACCCCGGACCCGACGCTGCTGCACGCCGACTCGGACGACGAAGATGACGCCGAAGACCAACATGGCCGGGGCATCACCCACACCCGCACCGCCGCCAGCGCAGCGACCAGCATCGCCAGCCGAGCACCCGATTTCGAGGTCATCTTCGAGGACAACGACCCCGAGAGCCCGCGCCACTGGCCCCTGTGGTACAGGGTCTGGGTGCTCTTCTGCGTCGCCTACACCGGCTGGGTCGTCGTCCTCTATTCGACGAGCTACACCTCCTCTTCTCCCGGCCTCATGGCCGAGTTTGGCACCTCGACGACCGTCACCACCCTCGGCATGACGACCTACCTGCTCGGTCTCGCCTGCGGCAGCGTCGTCCTCGCCCCCATGAGCGAGCTGTTCGGCCGCCGCATCGTCTACCTCGTCTGCCTGGTCATCTGGGCCGTCCTCGTCGTGCCCTCGGGCGTCGCGCAGAACTTTGCCACCATCCTCGCCGCCCGCTTCTTCTGCGCCTTCTTTGGCTCCGTCATGATCGCCAGCTCCCCCGGCACCGTCGTCGACCTCGCCCACCCAGACTACCTCGCCTTCACCCTCTCCATCTGGTCCATCGCCCCCATGAACGCCCCCAGCACCGGCGGCATCATTGGCGGCTTCGTCTTCCAGAGCCTGGGCTGGCGCTGGAGCAACTGGATCATCCTCGCCGGCGGCGGCGCCGGCATCGTCATGATGGCCACCTGCAAGGAGACCTACGCGCCCACCGTCCTCAAGCGCAAGACCGCGCGCCTCCGGAAAGAGACGGGCGACGACCGGTACTGGTGCCAGTTTGACCAGCGCGTGTCGACCTGGGACCTCCTCAAGACCAACCTGTCGCGGCCCTTTGTCCTGGCCGCCACCGAGCCCATCCTCTGGTTCATGAACCTCTGGGTCTCGCTCGTCTACGGCATCCTCTACCTCTGCTTCGTCGCCTACCCCATCGTCTTCAGCCAGCACCGCGGCTGGGCCCCGGGCCTCGCCGGCCTCGCCTTTGTCGGCATTGGCATTGGCACCCTCCTCGCCATCTTCAGCGAGCCCCTCATGCGCCGCCTCATCAACGCCCCCTGGCAGCCCCGCGACCCGCGCACCGGCAAGGTCGCCCCCGAGGCCACCGCCCTCGTCATGGCCATTGCCGCCATCCTCACCGCCGTCGGCCAGCTGGCCTTCTCCTGGACCTGCCTGCCCACCAGCATCCACTGGGCCATCCCCATCGCCATGGGGATCCCCTTTGCCATGGGCAACACACTCTGTTTTATTTATGGCGCCAACTACCTCGCCGGCGCCTACGGCATCTTCTCCGCCAGCGCGCTGGCCGGCAACGCCGTCGTCCGCTCCGTCTTTGGCGGCACGCTGCCGCTCGCGGGGCCCAAGATGTACGAGGCGCTCACGCCGCAATGGGCCGGCACGCTGCTCGGGCTGCTCGAGGTAGTTATGATTCCCATCCCTTTTGTCTTCTGGCGCTACGGACACAAGATCCGCGCCAGGAGCAGGGTGATCAAGCAGTTGCGCGAGGAGCAGGAGCGCATCGACGCCAAGAGGGCGCGCTGGGCGGCCAAGCTGGAGAAGAGGGCGGAACGGCAGCAACAACAGCAGCAGGAGGATTTTTCAGAGAAGACTGTCGGAGAGAGTGAGGCGGTGGCTGCTGTTGGCAGCAAGGAGGATTGAGCTTCACGTGTGCGCGCATACATACACATAGCATGGCGTTTGGGAGGTTTGGATACCATTGAAATTCGGCTGTCGGGGTAACGATTGTCAGATCGTTTCCTTCCTGTATGCAAAGATTAACTTTACTAACAAGGTCATCATCACGAAGCAGACGCCTTGCGTAGCATGTCCAGTATGCTTGTGACGCTGTCCTCTGTCGCAATGTCCAGAGTCACCGTCTTCTCCTTGGACTTGAGGCCGCGACGGAGATGGAGACGTGACTTGGGCACCCCGAGCACATCGCTGAGCAGTTGGATGACAGCCTTATTGGCTTCGCCGTCCTTGGGCTGGGCGGCAATGGCGAGATGGATGGCAGATGGCGTGATGCTGACGATACCCTCGCGTGCGGCATTCGCGTTGGGCTTGACAAATAGCTGGAGATGGACATTTCCGATTGCAGAGCTTTTCGAGCTAATGAAGCGGACTGCTGCGGTGGACATGGCGTTGAGTTTGGTGGTCGGATCTGAGATGAGCAGTCAACTGGCAGAAGCACGCCGAGTCCAGGACGCTTGGAGAGGTTCGGATGGCAGCTTCCGGGTATGCAAATCATTTCACTGACCAAGTGGATCCCCAACTTTTCCCTTGTGACGCGCGATCATTGTCCACCCATCCATCTCGTCGCCTCAGCTTCACCTCAGCCTGAACACCAGGCACCAACGGCCACTCTCGCTCGCCTCACCATGTCAGTCGCTCTTATATGATCCCCAGAACAGCTCGACGACCCATTCTTCGATCTCTCCCACCGTGTTCCGCCACAATGGCGTCCGCATACGCCGTGCTCAACGGATCGACGTCCTCCTACGCCAACGCCGCCTCCACGAACCAGTCACCTCAGCAACAACAAGAGCCAGCTCCATTCACACGCACAAGCCTCTCGCGCTGGTCCGTCCTACCGCCGTCACAGACCCTCCCGCCCGTCTCCCGGATCAAGTCCCTCCACGTCTACGACTTCGACAACACCCTCTTCAAGACCCCCCTTCCCAACCCGTCCCTCTGGCAGGGTCCCACGATTGGCATCCTCACGAGCCAAGACACCCTCGCCAACGGCGGTTGGTGGCATGATGCCCGCATCCTCACCGCCACCGGCGAAGGCATCGACAAGGAGGAGCCCCGCGCGTGGGAAGGATGGTGGAACGACAAAATCGTCGACCTCGTCCGGCTGAGCATGAAGCAGCCCGACGCCTTCACCGTGCTTCTCACCGGCCGCGCCGAGAGTGGCTTCGCCGAGCTGGTGAAGCGCATCGTCAAGGCAAAAGGGTTGGAGTTCGACATGATTGGCCTCAAACCCGTCGTCAGCCCGGATAACCTCCGCTTCGTCTCAACCATGCACTTTAAGCAGCTCTTCCTCAACGCCCTCATGGAGACCTACAGCCAGGCCCTCGACATTCGCATCTACGAGGATCGGCCAAAACACACAAAGGGCTTCCGCGACTTTCTCGCCGAGTACAACCGTCGCCAAACCGAAACGCCCACCCGCGGGCCCATTGCCGCCGAGGTCATTCAGGTCGCCGACACGAATCGCTCGCTCGACCCCGTCGTCGAGATCGCCGAGGTCCAGCACATGATCAACGCGCACAATGCCGTGGCGCAGCGCGACCCGGGCCGCAAGCGCTACGTCATCAAAAAGACCGTCTTCTTCACGAGCTACATCATCGCCCAGGAGGACTCGGATCGCCTCCTCCGCCTGGCCAACATCCCCGCCAGCCGGGGCGACGGAAACATGCTCTTTCATGGCAACAACATCCTCATCTGCCCGCGTCCCAACACACCCGCCCATCTCGTCCAAAAGGCCGGCGGCATGGGCGCCAAGATGAAGTGGCAGCTCACGGGGTTCGGCACCCACCACGACAGGATATGGGCCGCCTCACTCCAACCCGTGCCGCACGACGCGTCCTACCATACCGACCACCACGTGCCCATGGTCGTGCTCGCGCTCAAAAAGGGCGCCAAACCCGCCGAGGCGAGCAAGATTGACCGCTGGACGCCCGTGTCCGCCGAGGACGCCATCGTCTTCGAGACCACCGTGGGCGAAAAGGTATCGCTACGTATCGAGGCGGAGGGCGGGGCTGATCACGGACACCGCGGTTCGAAGCGCAAACAGCGGGAGGAAGAGTCCAGCGGGGGCGAGTGGTCGCGACAGGGTCCTGGTCGCGGTGCTGGTCATAATACCAGGGGCCATCACACATCCGGCCGCGGAAGTGGCAAAGCCGGTGGCCGGGGACATCAGAACCGCGGCGGTGGCGCCAACAAGGGCGGCAACCAGCGCGGTGGCCGGGGCCGAGGACGCGGAGCAGGCGGGGGCTTCAACTACCGATCACTAGACGACGTGGGCCGCCACGGGAACGATGGCTACACGCAGAGGAGAGGCGGAGGAGGGAATGGGAGCGGTCGTGGCCGTGGACATGGCCATGGGCGAGGCGGTGGTGGTGGACAGGCCGGGGGCCAAGATGTGGGGAGCTATTACTGATGGCTTGTCCCCTCGTCGTTGGGAACCCGAGGTCTCTCTCTCTTTCCCTCTCTCTTTTTGAAACAGGAACTGGCTACAGTAGTGTGTTTTGGGCATAGATCGGTGCCGGTGTAGGCTTATACCCCAAGGCGTCACGGTAAAAAGGGGGGCAAGGCGGCGTTCACAGCAAACCAGGCATATATATATATACCGAAAATAAGTTTTTCAAGTTCCTTCTGAAATCGGTAGATGGTTGGTTTCTTTTATCTTATTGTTCTATGTTTTAATCTTCCTCCTCCTCGCTGCTCTCTTCCTCATCTGCATTCTCGAGCCACTCCACCAGCACGCGACACTTCTCCTTCAACCCTTTCAGTCCCTCGCTCTCCTCTGCCCGCTCGTCCGCCCACCAGCCGAGGATGCCTTCCTCCTCGAGGACATCCTCCGCATACAGCTGCTGCAGCAACGCCGCCAAGATGGTGCCCGCCCTAGGGTCCTTAACATGGACGAGCGTGCGCTGCGTGAACAGGATATACTCCACCTGCTCTGCCTCGTCGCCACCGATACCGACCTCTTCGATGAATTTTGTCGCGCCCTTGCGGGTCTTGAGGGCCTTCTCGGCGGCCTTGGACGGTTCGAGCGAGCCGTGCTCCGGCGTGAGTAGTTCCGCGGCGCGGCGCGCAAAGGCAGTGGCGACGGCCTTGCGCATCATCACGTCCGACGCGTCGTTGGCGAGACGCAGGCCCATAAACTCCAGCTTTGCCGCGTCAAAGTCTCCACTTCCGGCTCGCAGAGCGTCCAGGATACCATGCACCGCGTCGCTGTGGAAAGCACCTCCGCGGCTCGAGTCGTCGGAGGTGAAAGAAGACAGTCTCGAGCGCGAGGAGGCAGCGTCGGCAGCGAAGCCTCCTGCATCCGAGTCCGAATCGTCGTCGATTTCGGATGAGAGCGTGGAGATGGAGGATTGTGAGAGATGGAGGTCGGCAATGTTATATAGGAGGGACTTTTGGAGACGTGACGGATCCTCGTCGTCGTAGTCTTCGTCGTCGGTGTCGTAGGACACGTCGACGAAGCGTGCGGCGTTGGCGTTGGGCCCAAGGAGTTGCGTGTCCTTCGCCACGGGCTCGCTGGACGCATTGATGGTCGAGAGCACCGTGCCTTTTGAGAGTGTGATTTCGTCGGAGATTTGCACGCCAAAGGAGAAGAGACAACCCTCGGTGACCGAGCAGTTCTTGCCCACCATGGACGCATCGGCCAGAATAGACTGCTTGACCACCGAGTTGGCCCCAATCGTCACGTCGTTCCAGAGATAGCAGTCCTCCAGCACTACATTATCTCCAATCTGGCAGTCTTTGCCGATGATGCAATTATTGATCCGGCAGCTTTTGCCAATCGTCGTACCCCTTGCCACGATGGAGCGAGTCACCACGGCGTCTGGTGCCGAGTACGCACCGTCCTCCATGCTCAGCGCGCCATCGTAAAGCGTGTATGATCCATGGGAAGAGGTGTTATTGTGTGGCACAAATGGCGCGGTCCATCCGTCAATCATGTCTCTTGATACGGAGTCGTACATTTGGAGGTTGCTTGCTCGGGCAGCATAGCCCTCCTCCAGAACCTCCGCGTAGATCATCTTCCCGTTGAGTTCCCAGTCTTTGAGCACGCCATGCAAAAAGTTACGTCTCGGCAAGTCGTAGTCAAAGCTCTCCGACCACAGCGCGAGGACTTCGGGTGTGCAGATATCCACTTGCGCATCAATCAGGTCGGCCCTGACCTCAAAGTCCGTGGACAACTCGTCGGTAATGGCAGGGTCGAGAGTCAGGTAGTGGTCGCTCTGGAGGGGTGTGATTTCTTCGTAATGCAGGCACCTCTTGTTTCGTGAGTCGATTGTGAATACCGGCGTGATCGCCTTCGCTTTTGTCCCGTGGCTTCCGGGCCCGCCACTCCGCAGGACCATGGTCATGATGTTCGCCGCGCTCTCCTCTCGTCGTTGCCTGTGCGCAGCTAGAACTTTGTCAAGGACCAAGTTGGACACCACATCGCCGTGGACGAGCAGAAAGTCTCCATCGACGAGCGAACGCTTGTCCATGTCGCGAAGGACGTCACCGATTGAGCGCGCATCCGACACGCGCACAAATTGCACCACCGAAAAGGGACACGATCGAGACGCCGTCGACCAGCGCGAGCGGCTGACGTAGTCTTCGACCTGCTCCGTATGCGCGCCGCAGTAGATGTAGACTTCGCTCACGCCGTTCATGGCCAGAAACTCGAATGTGTATTCGATCAGGGGAGTGTTCGCCAGTGGAAGGAGGCACTGCATGCATTAGCCAAAACTCTTGGGGGCGGACGGATCGAGGCAAAACGCACTCTTGGTTTCTCGGTGCTGAAGGGTCGGTATCGGTCTTGAAATGAGTCTGCGAGTACTACAGCTTGGAGGACGTCTTCGCTTTTGCTCTCGCCGCCGCCACCACCGGCTCGTGGTTTCCTGCCCTTGGCCGAGCTGGCACCGCTCTTGCCTTTGGACGACATGGTGTACTGTGCGGGGCTCGAAGCTGCCTCTCTGCGTGGCGGAGTGCTCTTGGGGTCGTGCTCCTTAATTGGGTTGACGTGCGGTTGAGAATTGTCCTTGTGATGATGTGACTCAACAGCTGGCGAACGAAAAGTCGCCGATCGGTGTGTGCTTTCGGTGAAAGTGCATCGCGGGGCAGCGCGGGGCAGATTTTCAAGGTTACCCTATAGAACTTCCACGACGTAGGCCGCGTGATCTTAGCGTCGACCCTAATAATCTGTCATATCGTGTTTATTTGTAGGTGAGAATTTGGAGCTTTGCAAAAGTCTTTATTATTCGTTTTTGTTGATCTATGCAACATGGAGCGTCTGCCCCGGCGATTATTTTCTCATGTCCGTTTTGATGCTGTCAAATACTCATCAAAACATTTCCTTATGCACCCAAAGACAGTCAGGTCAATGTGGCACAAACCCTCAACAGTGGATCAGTGCCATGCAACATACGGAGTATTGATCGCATACACAGATTGAAACCACTCTTCGCATCATTAGACTATGATGACTTCCTGTCGATCACCCGGATGCCTCTGTCCAATAATTACCAACAGAGCAATTGTCGATCTCTGTGCTATCTCGGCCCAAGCCGCAATGTGTGCCCAGAACGAGGAATAGTACATAAGCCTCGACGAATACAGGACAGAGAAATGGTCAAGTTGTTACGGCACAATCATTGGTGTATCCTTTGAACAGAAAGACTAATAATAAAGCCTCGAACTTCAATGCATTTGGCAGCTGGCTAGGCTGAACGCCCGGCTACATCCGAGTGGCCCCAAATCCATTCCTAGCGTGGATCTGCGCATTCCTGTGAGCAATCCATCGTCTTGTGACCAACGCAGGACCTCAGTAATGAGCTGCGCCCATATCTATTCAATTCAATGAATTGATCCCAGCTGAAACCATGGATGCCCCTAGTGGACAGACATGAAAAAATTGGTCCTGATAAATCGGTCGTGTTGCGTTGCGCTCCGGCATATTGCGCATCTCGTTCTCTTCGCTTAATTATGGCGCGACACTATCGATCGCGGCTTCTCCGAGCACCAAGACACCACGCTTCCCCCCTGCGTAGGAGCGCAAGCTTATTTGCAGCCAGGTGAAGGCAGCCGAGTCTGCACATGTGCGGACGTGCCATATCCCTTGCCATCAGCAGAAACCCTGCAGTCGCGTGGTGCAAAGACAGCCAAATACTGCCGTATAATTAGCAAGTCTGAGACGAACTGATTCCTGTACATGGTGGGAGGGAGGTAGAAACCCGCGCCAAAAACCAGCTCCTCGGATCCTCTGGTCGCCATAAATCGTTCGGTGGCATCCTCCATCGGTGGGTGTGCCGCGTGCAGCCGGATAAATTGATGCGCAAACTCACCCATAGGCCTGCCGTCCAAAACACACATGTTCATGGGACAGGATGGTGCATAGCCACGTAACTAGTGTAAAGTCTAGCCAAGGCAATCGCCGTCCGAAAACTAATCATGCCACGCTAGACCCTGTCAACTTGGACGCGGATCTTTTTATGTTTGTGAAGACCTCCAACGTGTCCGGTGTCTACGTTACTCAGGTAATGGCGTGATTGCGTCTTTGACCCTGACGTTGAAAAGGGGATCAAACGCAAAATACATCGTCGCAGTTCGCGGCGACAGAACGTCGAGGACGTCAGCTCTAGAGAATCGACCCACAGTGCGATTTTGGTTTCGCGACAAGCAGTCACACTCATCTTCAGCTGGCGTCTAATATAATCAAATGCTCGCTCGCTGAGCTGTTGATTTTTACTAGAACCTCCACCGGCGACCAGTGTACCAGCGGCCACGGCGGTCCGTCAGCCGTCTGAGCGTAACTTTATTGGCGATTGACGTTAGCATGACACCAGCGGTGCTGACGACTCTCGACAACGCGCCTAGTCCCCGATACATGTACCACGAATACACTGTGCATGCCATCTTGAGCAACTAGCCCCACAAGGGTACGCACGGCAGCTGGCTGCACGAGTTCGAGTAGGAGTGCGATGGACGGGTAGATTCTCGGGGACCTCAATCATGGCGTGTGGCTGTTCAAAGCCAGAAACGGACTAGGTGAAAACTTTGGCAAGCCTGATGTACATGGTCGCTCTGGGGTGCGAACGACACGAAGGGCAGGCAGTCGCCAGCGAAAAGATTTTCTCCTGCCGTTTCTTTTCTGATAAGTCGCTGCAGGGGATGCTGGAGACACGGGGCGCTTCCCAGTGAGTTCAAACAGGTGGTGGAAGTTATCCCAAAGCACATGGTGTATCGCTCAAGCTTTTCACCAAGAAACCAATGCATTCCTCAGCGTTGTACGTCTCGTTTACGGATAGACCACTCAGGCGGAGCCTAAAAATTAATTACCTACTGTTAACTAGATAGATTACCTGAATCAACGACTGGAGTCACTGGACACCGGACTGTACCGTCCCGGACCCACCTTCCCATCACAGCACTCAGTGCAGACCAGCAGCAAGAACCGCCTCATCTCCACCTTCCGCACAGTGAGCTGCTGGCGGTCTCTATCCTGTACCGCATCCAGTTCATCCGCCCAACAAACTTCGTCTTTCAACACCAAATCAACACTAAGCCCTGGAATTGACTTTGGTCGCAACCCATATTTTCAAAGTCGCGCGCGTGTGCTATCATCTTATCTACTACTTAATTTGGAAACCCCCGGCGCCCACCCGTCCTTAGCTACCTTATTCTTATATCAGAGAGTCTCGAACATCGACCTTCATCTGCGAGCATCTCGCGATCGTCCCTGGACAGGACTGTGATCGACTGGGCACGCCCGTACCACCGGATTTGCGGCTCATCGTGCTCGACCCGGAAGATCAAGCCCCCGACCTGCCCTTGCTGCTTCGAAGCTTGCCGACGCCAACAATGTCTGGAAACGACGTTCCGGCAGCCCAAACGGGCGGCAGCAATGCCAGCGAATTCGTATGTTTCTCTGAATAGCTCGCTCTAAACTACTGATCTCACTTCTAACGCGCTGGTTTCTAGGTGCGCAAGCTCTACCGGTAACATGAATTCGCCGACACGACAAACCGAGAGCCAGATCACTGACATTATGGCAGCATGCTCGAAGACCCATCGCACCAGGACGTCGCGCGCTGGGGAAAAGATGGAGACACGTTTGTTGTCGTAGAGGTGCGTATCGCTTTGCGAGGTGCATCTTCAGCTGACTGACTAGGTGTATATAGGGCGAGAAATTCACTCGATCTATCCTGCCGAAGCACTTTAAGCACAGCAACATGTCCAGCTTCATCCGGCAACTCAACAAGTACGATTTCCACAAGGTCAAGCCGTCGAGCGACAACGAGAACTCGGGGCTGGGCAATGTCCTTGAGTTCAAGCACCCATTCTTCAAGATCGACAGTAAGGATGACCTCGACAACATCCGACGAAAAGCGCCTGCCGCGCGGAAACCCCAGGTCGCCGACGATTTCACCACAAACCACCACATCAGCGTCATGTCGGAGCAACTAGCGGCTACACAGCAGCAGGTCCAGCAATTGCAAGAGCTCTACACCGAGGTTGCGCAGACGAACAAGGTCCTCGTCAATGAGGTTGTGATTTTGCAGAAGATCCTCAATGCCCAGAAGCAGGCCTCGCACGAGATTGTCAATTATTTGGCTCCCTACGATGGACACGGCAATAACACAAACAGCGCCACTGCCACTGCTAGCAACAGCAACAATACCGCCATGATGAGCCATTCGTTAACCACAAACGGACAACCTCAGACCAGTGACGAGCCCGCCGTGCCAGAACTGCGCAGGGCGCGAGAGCTCCTTTCGAGCGTGAACACCAACGCGATTGCCGACCGCGAACTCGAGCGTCTACAGAACGTGTATGGCTCACCCTCTGATTCTGGCACCATGGTCACGCCTACCTCAATGCCCATGATGAGCGATCCGATGCACGACATCACGAGGTATCCCGTGTACCCTGTGGGCCAGACAGTCGGCATAGATCCATTCCATTCGGACCACATCCACAAGATCCCGTATGCGGTTCCGAATGACTTGGCCGCGGGCGCTATCGCCGAGGCACCGAAGATCCAAGTCCCCGCGCCTACCTCGACTGGCGATAAGGGCCCGGGTGCCACTGAGTGGGGGCCCAAGAAGCCTGTCGTCTTGCTTGTGGAAGACGATCCAACTTGCACCAAGATTGGCGTCAAATTTCTCAAGACGATGGGCTGCGAGGTGGAGCATTCGGTGAGTCCTGTCCTGGATCGGCTTCTTGGAACGGCCCGTTGCTAACAAAAGATAGCCGAATGGCGCCGACGCCTACAACCGTGTGCAAACGCACCCCGACAGGGACCGCTTCGACATGATCTTCATGGACATCATCATGCCTCATCTAGACGGCGTGTCAGCAACGATGTACATCCGCCAAACTCACCCTGCGATCCCTGTCATTGCCATGACGTCCAACATCCGCCCCGAGGAGGTCAACGGTTACTTTGAGCATGGCATGAATGGCGTTCTGGCCAAGCCCTTCACGCGAGATGGCATGTGGAAATGCGTTCGCAGCAACCTTGGCCATCTCATGAAGAACCCCCCATTGGATGCCGACATTGGTTCCGGTGGCGGTTATTACATGGGAACGCCATTCCTAAACACGCCAACCGCCATCAAGTATGAAGCCCAGACGCCACCAGCACACAGCGGCCCTGGCTGGTCCCCGGGACATATGGGCCAACCCTCGATTGGTTCTAGCCTCGATGTGGGCTATGGCTTTGTGAACGGCACAGGCCCGTATACCATGACTACAGGTCAACGTGGGCCTTTCCAGCAGCAATTGCATTCAGCCGAGTCGAGCACCGGCCGCCTGTCTGATGTCGAGAGCCCACCCGAGAAACGCCAGCGGCTCAACCACGCGGGCAACTTCTAGTGGCTGTCTGAGCCAATGCATTCGGACGGCGAGGCGTTTGGATTTTTTTCGGGTTTCGGTGATCGAAGTCGGTAATGTCACTGAGTGAATGGTGTGGGTTTCGATTTGTCGTCGAGAAACCCGAGGAGTTTTGGTCATGATCTATCGTGTATTTCGCCGCATTTTGGACAGCTGATGGAGCACGATCTGGGTTGGTGGAATTTGACGGATGGAAATTTGACGACTGCATATATGTTTGATGTATACACTTTTGCAGTGAGGATGAAAACACAGTATGGCCTGTAGCTCTCGCCGCAGGACGGTTTCCGCTAAAGACGGTCTCTGGTGATGGTGAAGCTCGAGACTATCGACACTTGAGAGGCGTCTTGCAGAAATATCATTCGTTATACCGTGAGAGGGACGTCGGGACTGACATTACGAAAGCAGAAGGGAGAAGGGTATCAGGGCGAGGGATGTGGGCGGTCATGCAGCTTTATTAGCCCATCGAGCCCTGGACCTAGAATTCATCGAGACTCCTTGGCGGAGCTTGGCAGCCTTTCGATGGGCGGTCTCGAACTCAAGCTATGACGTGGTGGTGGTACTGGTGCAATCAATGCTGACCGTCACGTTGCACGATTGGACCCCTGAGGACGGAAGAGGCCCGAGGGGAGAGGAAATGCCCATCTTTTGTGCCTGTGTGGTGGTATGGGACATGGGGACAATGAGAGCGTTGGGAGATCTAGAACTGTCCATGGGTGTGGGAGGGCGCGTTTCAGGCTCGCGGCCTCGGTGCCTCACAAGCCTCACGAGAGAGAGTCTGGCAGAATCGGGACCCTCTTGATGATTGAGCATATACACACGTCCGTCCTGCATGTTGGGCTCTTCGTGTTGGTGGTTGTATGGTGACACAGCGCTCGATATTGACGGAGCGAGTGTGCTTGCTCTGCAGCGTGCCGCGTCCACACGGCACGTACCCCGTGTACCTCGGGGAGTATGTTATTTGAATACCATCTTTCCGGATGAATCAAACGGTTCTGTGCTCTATGATAGAGGCTCTCATAGGCCACTGCTGGGCCAGGGCGCAGGTGTCAGTCCCGCAGCCCAGGTTGATGCCAGTAGCCCAGATTCAACAAACCTTTGGCAGAACAGAGGGTCTGGAACAACTCGAACAACACATGGTGATTTTCGCCCGGCTGTTCCCGCCAGACACCCCAATATTAATGGAGATAACGACATTGTTGACTCCAATGTGAGAAGCCCCGATCCCGAGAGTGCTGGTTGCGAAGACCAAAACGCTGATGACATAGCACCGTGTGAATACAGTGTCAAGCGCCACATAGACGGTCCTCCATCATCTTGACATCTCGGCTTAGTGAATTGAGATTAGGCATTCCTACCAGCAGCTCATGTCCAAAATGACCGCACCGCCAAACGAATAAGTCGCAAGTCTTGCTCACAGCTCATCATGAGCTTCCTTACGCGTTGGTTCAGAAAGGTGCCGCGTGCGCCGCTACATCCGCCACGCCAGTTTCCCACCCATCGAGGTCCATTGCTCCCCGTCCAGCAGCTCCTCGAGGAAGAGACACTCCCCAGGTATTCTGCGGAGCATTACTATCCCGCACGCATAGGCGAGGTACTGGGCTCGCAATACCAGATCGTCAGCAAGCTTGGATTCGGGTCCACGTCTACCGTGTGGCTGGCCAGGGACCTCAAGTACGCTGCCGACAACGAACATATATTGGGCAGCCATCGCAGCAGGCTAACATTGACAGCTCGAACCAACATGTCGCCTTGAAGGTCTTTGTGCTATCGCAAGCTTTTGGCGGTCCGGCGTCTCAGGAGCTGGGCATCCATGCGCGACTGGCAAGCAGCCCCCAAGACCATCCAGGACGGGAGGCCATTCCGCACATGCTAGGCTCGTTCGAGGTGTCTAGTGCAGAAGGCGACCACCAGTGCCTTGTGCATCAACCACTGTGGAATAACCTGCAGACGTACCTCGACGAATCCCCCGATGGGCGTTTGTCCAAAGAGGCCCTCGCCAATGTGCTTTACAATGTCTTCAAAGCACTCGATTATCTTCACCCGGAATGCCAGATTGTACACACCGATATCAAGCCGGACAACATCATGTTTGGCTTCAAAGACGACGCTGCGCTGGAGGCCGTGGAGCAGGCGGAGGTGGACAACCCGAGCCCTCGCAAGGAAATTGACGGGCGGGTAGTGTATCGGTCCAGGAGACTCCCAGAGCCTCGCAATATTGGGCCACCGGTATTGTGTGACTTTGGCTCGGCCTTGTCAGGACCACAGCTGCGTGATACAGATGTTCAGCCAGATGAATACCGATGTCCAGAGATGATCCTGGATATTCCTTGGGACAACAAGATCGATGTCTGGAACGTGGGATGCATGGTCAGTCGTCACACGCACGGCACGACTAAAAGGGCTAACCGATGGTGATTTTGCAGGTTTGGCACATTTTCGAGGGAGAGCACCTGTTTCGCGGCATTGATCCCGAGCTCAAGGTCTACCGCGGACGTGCCCATCTAGCCGAGATGATTGCAGTCCTGGGCCAACCGCAGCCAGGGCTCATTGACCGCGGACGACTCAAGTCCAAGTTTTTTTCCGATAAGTGTACGTACCCCTGACATTATTAGAGGACAGCGTTGACGTGTTAATCTGACAGGTGAGTGGCAAGCTGGCAATGTCCTCCTGCCGCCAACAAGCTTGGAACAATTGGAAAAGCGTCTCGAAGGAAATGACAAAGAGTTGTTCATCGACTTTATGAATAAGATGCTACAGTGGGCCCCTGAGGACCGACAGACCCCCGAGGAATTGATGACTGACCCGTGGCTAATGAGGCATGTGCGCGGGTGAGGCTATAGGTCATCTGCGTCGTGCCATCGAATGGCGGTGCTGGCCAATTCAAATTCAAATTATCTACGAGCAACCGCTCTCCGTGGCCTCATCTACCAGCTTCACACCCTTCTTCTTGTCCCCCATCAACCGGGTCATCGCATCGACCAAGCTATCGGCAGCATCCTGTGAAGTCTGGTGATGGAACACCAAGCGTCCGCCCGAGAACGCTGTGACATTGTTCTTGGCGCAATACTCCACAAAGGCCGCCCCTGGAATGTCGACAGCTTCCAGATCCAGGACAATCATGTTCGTCTGCACAGGAAGAGCGAACTTGTATCCGAGGCTCGCTAGCTGTTCGCCAACGCGTCTTGTCATGGCGTGAACAGCTGGAAGCCTGGGAACGGTATAGTTCAAGGACTCGAGTGCGGCCGCCGCCATCATGCCTGGTTGACGGGTGGCACCACCAAACATCTTCCTGTACCACTTCGCACGCGCAATGAACTTTTTCGACCCGCAGATGATGCTGCCCATGGGTGCACCAAGTCCTTTGGCCAGGCAGATGGAGAGACTGTCAAAGCAGGCTGCGTAGTCTTTGAGCGACACGCCTTCTCCCGCCACGCCATCAAACACACGGGCGGCATCGAGATGCATGGCAATGGGCGGCGTCCCTTCCGCTACTGGGTAGCTTCGCACATACTTGGAGATGGCTTGTGCGTCTGCCAACGGGAGGTACGTGCCGCTCAGCGTGTTCTCAAGGGCCACGACCCTGGTGGGTGGGAAATGGACTAGGTTATTGGTCAGCCGTGACGACAAGGGGATCAATATGGTAAATAGGGACTTGGCGTACTGTTGTCATCCGAAATCATGTTCGCCTTGACATCGTCTAGTGTCAGATGCACGCCATTCTTCGGATGCACCGCCGTCACAGACGCCTGGGAGAAGACTGGCAATGCCCCCGACTCCCAGCACTGCACATGCGCCCGATGATCCAGCAACACAGAGTGAGGAGGTTGGGTGAGGTGTGTCCTTAGACAGATCTGGTTGCCCTGCGTGCCGGACATGACCCAAAGCGCAGCCTCCTTGCCCGTTAGTTCCATGACCCGAGCCTCGAGAGCCTTGACCGTGGGGTCGCCGACTGGGTCGTAAATGTCGTCGACAAAGGTGGCGTTGAAGATGGCCTGCATCATGGCCGTCGTAGGGACGGTCATGACATCGGAGCGAAAGTCACGGGAGGCCTTTTCCTCGGCGGCGTGCCGTTTGGCAGCCATCTCGGGAGTGAAGATAGGGTCACTGGTGCTGATGCTGCCCATGGTCGTTAACGGTTCTTGGCTTGTTGCTATTATGATGAGGGATGCGTTGTACCTCGTCGTAGCTTATCATAGGATTTAGGCTAGGCTAGGTACTTATAGGTTCCGGGATCGGGTTCGGACTCCTGGGGGCCTGGGCGCTCGCTCCACTCGGGAGCATGAGGGGGTCGGACAACTCCTTCTAGCTCAAGCTATGCAGAACAGCTGAAGTCAGAAGCCACAGATCTTGCCTACAGAATTGCGCGCCAATGACGACCCTCCATGAGCTGTTCGACGGGCCATTTGCGTCAACTAGAGCCTGTGCCTCTGATGAATGCCGCGAGAAACCGACAGCCGAGGACAAGTCCGCGCTGAACTCCCTCTTTGCGATTTCACGGCTGGGGTAAATTAATAACTGCGATGCCATAGAGTGAACCATATAAATCGCGGAATCGGAAGCCATAGTCCAGGTCCTCGGTTTGGTACCTGTTGAAAGTGTGGGTTGTTCTCAGCTGACGACGTACGGAGTACCTTGTCGATGTAAGGGCGCGATGAGCCAAGCCGCTTTGCGGGGCTCTTACCACGATAAGGGCGCGATAAGCCGAGCACTTTACGCGACTTTTCGAACGCGTCTCGACGTGTCCCGCTGCGACTGGTCTGCTGCCGCTATTGCTATTCACATCTGAAAGCTCGTCACCAACTGTTATCTCTTGCGAATCGTCAAGTCATAAAATTCAAATCAGAAGATGCCACATTCCACCGACATGCAAGCCAGTTCTCCCACACGAGCCGTGAAGGATGAGCCTATGGAGGAGGAAGAGGTCATGCCTGCTGATGTCGCCAACCCAGCCGTAGACGACGATGCCGAAATTCAACAGACAGAAGATACTGCCACAGCGACGGCTTCACAAGGCGATAAGGATACCAAGAAAGATGTCAAACTGGAAGATCTCTTTGACGACGACTCGGATATGGAGGTGGACGACAGCATATTTACACCAACGTGCGTGCATCCTCTCGACCCTTTGATGATAGAATCACCGCCGGCTGACAATGTGTAGAAATGTGGTCAATCTCAAAGCGTCCGACCCCGAAATTATGCGACAATTCTACCAGCGTCTCTTCCCGTGGCGTCTGCTCTTCCAATGGCTGAATCACAGTCCGACCCCTACCAACGATTTTGGCAACCGAGAGTTCGCCTTCACACTCCAGAACGACGCCTACTTGCGGTACCAGTCCTTTGCGACTGCGGATCTGTACGTCAGGCTCGAGAAAAGTCTGCTGTGATTCAACTAACACGCAGCAGCCTCCGGAAAGACGTCCTGCGCCTCATGCCCTCACGTTTCGAAATCGGACCCGTCTACAGCGCCAACCCGCGCGACCGCAAGCAACTCGGCAAGACATCTGCCTTCCGGCCCCTGGCCAAGGAGCTCTGCTTCGATATCGACTTGACCGATTACGACGACGTGCGCACGTGCTGCGACAAGGCAAACATCTGCAACAAGTGCTGGCAGTTTATGACCATGGCGATCAAGGTGGTCGATGCCGCACTGAGGGAAGACTATGGGTTTCAGCACATCATGTGGGTGTACTCGGGACGAAGAGGTGCTCACGCGTGGGTGTGCGACAAGAAGGTCAGGTCAATGGACGACCAGAAGAGGAGGGCCATCGCTGGATACCTTGAGGTGGTCAAGGGCGGCGCACAGAGTGGGAAGAGGGTCAACCTGTGGCGGCCGCTCCACCCTCATCTTGCGTAAGTCGCTACCCGCCTGGAGATGTTGTTTCGAAACTCTGGGAATTTCCGCTGACAGATCGTAGCCGAAGTCTTGATATCCTCAAGGAACATTTCCAGCAAGATGTGCTAGAGTCACAAGATCCCTGGGACACTACACAACGCGCTGAACGCCTGCTTGGGCTGCTCCCCGACCAAACGCTCCGAGACTCGCTCCGCAGCAAATGGGATGCAGCACCAGGACGATCGTCCATGTCAAAATGGGCCGACATTGACGCTGTTTTCAAGAGCGGTGCCGCCAGTAAGAAGTTCGACGGAAAGGCGCTCCTCGAAGCCAAGCAGGATATAGTCCTCGAGTACACATATCCCCGTCTTGATATCGAGGTCAGCAAGAAGCTCAACCATTTGCTCAAGAGTCCGTTCGTCGTGCACCCCGGCACCGGCCGCGTGTGTGTGCCGATCGACCTCAAGGCGCTGGAGGACTTTGACCCGTTGGAAGTGCCCACGGTGCAAGGCCTGCTGGCAGAAATTGATGCCTATCAAGGGGCTGAGGGCGAAGAGAAGAAGGGTGTCGCGGACTGGGAGAAGACGAGCCTGAAGCCATACATTGATCATTTCAGGTTATTCGTCAACGGTATCATGAAGGATGAAAAGGCAACAGTCGTCAAAAGGGAGAGGGAGGACGAGTCGATGGAATTTTGACCTTATGACCTTGTACGAGGATGGCCGATGACATATTGGGTAAGAGGCGTAACCTGGCGTTTGATTGATAGATTATCATGCTTGAGCCCCTGGAACGGATGCTACATCCGGAACCTCTGCCATAGGCTCAGCGTGCTCAGGAGCATGCTCTTTTGACACACCACCGTCGTCTCTCTCTTCGTCTTCACTGTCTCTGTCATCCTCTGCCTCTTCACTCTCCCCAGGCTTCCTCTTCAGCACGCCGCCTTTGCGTTTGGGGATGACTGCCTCAAACGCCTTGCCCCAGTCCTCACACTCCATCCACTTGAGCATGATCTCCACAACATGGTTCGTTGTCAGGACCTGCCGCGTCTGCATAGCCATGAACTCGCCAATGGGCAGCCGTGCTGTCCGGATGCCCTTGGCGCGGGCTCTCTTGTAGCACAACCCCTTTTCTCGATTTTTATCCACCAGTCCGCCGACAATGTAGCTCTTGTGCGGTTCGAGTCGGTGCAGTGTGTACGGCGAGTCTGATGTCAGGTAGACAATGTCCTTGAGCTCCTCCGCCGGCTCGGGCTCAGGATCCGGTAGAGGGATAGGGTCCTTGTCGTCCCTCTCCCACTTGACTTCTTCGTCAGCGCTCCTCTGCAACGAGGGGCACACCTCGCCGCCATCTTCCTTGCTCTTCATCTTCTCTTTTGCGAGTAGGCTGGCGGCCACAAAGTCGCCCTCGCAAAAGCCCACGCCTTTCCAATTCTTGTGGCTGTTGTTCAGCACTGTCTCGAACCGCTCCACCAGCTTCCCGTTCCACCCTGCCATCCAGAGCCAGGACCGGTAGCGCGCATTGCGGTTGTCTGAGTAGCATCTCGTCACCTGACTGCTCAGCGAGATGCGTTCCTTGTCCGTCATGTACTGCTCAAAGTCGCAGTCCACAATGATCGACAGGGGGACGAGCGTCGACGGCCTCTTGCTGGGATACACGACAGATCGATCTACGCCGGAAGCCAGCAGCGCAGAACGCTCTTCGCGCTGTCGGATTTTGGAGGCTTTCCGCTTCTCTTTGCGTTTTGCGCGGCGATCATCCGCGGCAGCTTCCCACTCCTGTGCTTTTCTGAGGCGCTTCTGGGCATTTTTGGAAAGAGGTTGCTGTTCTTGTGCTGGAGCTGGTGCTGGCGCCTCAGAGGTGCTGATGGTGTTCTCTGACGCCTGCGCTGCAGGTTCTGAGGAGCTCATGGTGCTGGGCTCGATCAAGTACTTGCGAAGGATATATTCGAATTACTGTGTGCTTTTATCCATGTGCAACCATCAACTCCAAACATGTGGCACTGAGACAATCCTCTGTTACCCAAACAACTCAGTGAAGCTTTTGGTGATGCTCGCAATGGCCCACAAGCTCGATGGCCCATTATTTCTAGCTGCAGCTCAACCGCCAATCAAAATCGCTCAATTGCTGACTGGTCACATGACCAGCTTCGACGCCAAAGATTGTGCTCAACGACGACATGCATCCTCTCCCTCCTCTTCCGACCCGATTCAAATTGAACTTTAGCTCCCCTCCACAACAACCACAATGTCGGACGAGACCCCGCCGCCGAGCTACGAGCGCGACAACAGTCGCAGCCCCAAGGCGCACATTGAGGGGCACGGGGCCGGCAAGCCCTACAAGCCGCACGATGTCATTACCGAAACGACCCAGGCGGCTATTGTCAGTTTCGTCGCGGCCTCCTTCCTCGCCGGCCTGAAGAACTCTTTTTCGAAGCAGAACCTCGGCGTGACAGGTGTGCTCACGGCCCAGGCGCCCATTCTGGGATTAGTCAGTACGTCATCGTCGTCGTCGCGAGGTGCAATGGGGGAAGCAAGAGAGCGAGGTTGCTAACGCGAGACAGCTGCCGCGCCCACAACGTACATGTTCGTACGCGGCGCGACCAACAACCTCATGGGACGTGAGGATGCGTGGGGATCTGCGGCTGGTGGTTTCGCCGCCGGAGCTATCCTCGGCCTACCATGTACGTGAAAAACATCGCGACCTGGCATACACTTGCTAACCTCTACTTCGCGCAGCAAAACGCATGCCTGTCGTTATGGGCCTGGGCGCTGCCGTCGGTCTGTCCCAGGGCTTGTTCACCCTGTTCGGTGACCGTCTTGGCTCCTTCAAGCAGGAGAACGACGAGTTTGAGCGCAAAGAGAGCATCAGGCGTACGACGCGTATCCCGGTGGAGCAGACCATCCGGGAGGTCGGTGAAGGGCGAGGTATGTTATTCTTCTCTACTCTCTTCTCTACTCTCTTCTCCTCCACCTCTCTCTTCTGTATCAACCGGGGACTGACATTTGTAGGAATCCGCGGCCCTGGCTACGAGGAGCGCAGGCGAGAGCACCTCAAGGAGAAGTTCGGCGTCGAGATCAACCCAGTCCGCGCCACCGTCGACGGCAGCGAGTAGAGACATTCTCCGATCCGCTCGATCTGTACATACCTACTTTCCCATTGTGTTGTTGGGGCGACAGGAATTCTATACCAAGAATCGGAGTTTTCTGTTTTTTTGTTCAGCACCGTATGCCTTGCTAGACTTTGGTGTGCACAAGGCGCAGCAGAGCAGCAATAGCCGCGTCGGTCTGAAAGGTACGTTTCGATCTATTTTCTTCCTCACTTAACACGTACTTCCCCCACGTCCTTTATGATGATAAATCAGAGGCTGTTTATGATTATGATGATTAAACAACATCTTATTCTATCTACAAATCTATCTTACTTTCTGATCCTGGACACACAATCACAATGGCAGTTTGGCACGCACTTTCTGGAACCCTTGCTAACTTTACTGTCGCATCAGGCTTGTGTAATTCATCAATCAATTGCAAATCAATGCACAGCAAATCTAGTTTTCCACTGACATCGCCCCAACGCCGTGACCCTGACTAAGAATACGATGTACATCTGATTTACAATGCTTTGACAGACTGGAAGAACGGATTGGCCAGCAACTCCTCGTCCGCACCAACCAACTCCTTCAGCTTTGCGACTTGTTCCTCGCGACTCATGTCCGCACCGCCCGCCTCCACAGCCTCCTTCCACTGCTTCAACACGGTCTTGAGCATGGCGCTGCCTTCCTCGACATCCGTCTTGCTGTAACTGAGGGCATGGTCCTCGTGCTTCGTCGTAAAATCTTCCAGCTCATCGGCCTTGCGTTTTGCCATACGGACGACTTTGTCCGGGAAGCGCACCAGCTCAGCGACGTGGATTCCAAAACTCTGGTCACACACGCCAGGTTCCACCTTGTACAGCAGTGTAACTTCCCGCTTGGCGTTCTCGCCATCGCCAGACCCGCTAATGTGCGCTGTGACATGGAGGTTGGCGACTTGCGGATGCTGTTCCGCCAGGGCGGTGAGCTCGTGAAAGTGCGTCGCAAATAAGGCGAAACAGCGAATCTCCTTGACAATGTGCTCCGAAATGGCCCATGCGAGACCAAAGCCGTCATATGTTGACGTACCGCGGCCAAGTTCGTCAATAATGATCAGTGACTCGGCGGTAGCTGACTTGAGAATGTTCGCCGTCTCCAGCATTTCGGCCATAAAGGTGGATACGCCCTTGAGCTGGGAGTCGCTGGCGCCGACACGTGCGAGGATCGAGTCGAAGATGGTGAGCTCGGCTGAAGAGCAGGGGACGAAGCAGCCAATCTGGGCCATCAACGCAATCACGCCCACTTGTCTGATGTACGTGGACTTGCCGCCCATGTTGGGCCCAGTAATGACGAGGAAGGACGACTCGTCCCTTGTCAAGGTGATGTCGTTGGTGATGAACTGCACATCGTCCTGGAGCTCCATGCACGGATGGCGTGCCTCGAGAAGGACGGTCTTGCCCTCACCGCGGGAATGAATCGTCGGGCGAACGTAGGCCTCTGGCGCGTGGACTGAGGCATGTGCCAGTGACACGATCACGTCAAGATGGGCTAGCACGCCAGCTAGGCGCTCGAACACGGGACAGTACGACTTGGCGACATTAACCACCTCGGCGACAAGACTGCTTTGTGTGCGGTTGTAATTTTGAGAGAGCTGGTCGTATTCTCGGCGGATGGCTTGCAGTTTCTTTGTCGTGAAGTAGACGCCGTTCTTCTGCGTGGAGCATTCTTGGTAGGCTGACTTGTTGCGGATACAGCCAGCTTCCTGCCTGGTCAATCGCATGCAAACGCCATGGACTTTGTGGTTCATCTCAAGAAAGATCTTCTTGTCGGCTTCTTGATTCAAGTCGTCGGCAGCCGCTCGGAACTCGTCCCGGATGTCGCGGTCCAGCTGGTTCAACTTCTTGCGGATGATTCGAAGACTCGGGTCGTACTCGGACTTGATAATGTACTCATGGCGGTCAAGGGCGTCGAGATCGACGGTCTGCTCAACCATGTCCTGCATTTTGCCAAGACTATTGGACAATTGGCGGAGTTTGGTGGTGTAGGCGATGTCAATGGGGTCCCGGTAGGCTTCATCCATGACGCCCTCGAATGTGCCGATGAACCCTGGTAGACGGATGATGACTTGGTAGGCGCGGACAACGTCCTCCAAAGAGGCCTTGCCGCGCTGGAACCGCTTCGATAACCGGTAGAGATCGGGCACTGACCGTAGGTGCTCTTCTTGCATGGTCTGTCGCAACTCAGTATCGTCACAAAAGGCCTGTACGAGCTGTTGGCGTTTTTCGATCTCTTCCTTTGACATGAGCGGCTGCTTCAGCCATTGAGCTAATAGCCTGCTGCCAACCGGCGTCTTGCAATGGTTGAGGACACCGTAAATGCTCATGGTCTTGGAGCCGTCTCGCGGTCCCGGCATGAGGTTCAACGCCTTAAGCGCAGCCGCGTCAAGCTTCATGAATTGTGTGAGGTCGTGCTGGTAGAGCTGATACTGTCCGAAGTTGGACACGTCTTGCAACACGCTCAGGTATTTAATGAGTGCTGCCGCCGAGCCCATGGCCAGCTTCAGGTCGGTCTGTGGGAGGAGGGCGGCGCTCCGCTCGTCTTTCAAGAGGCGCGCCAGATCTTGTTCGATATCTCGTGTTCCAAAGTCGCCTGCGGGCCGGTGCGCCACAGCCACTCCGCAGCTTGTGATGATCTGTTCCAGCTTGGCCAGCTCGGGGTCCTTGTCCTTCTCGGCTCTATCGAGCTGGATCAAACACTCCCGCACGCCCAGTTGGATCAGCAATGCCTCAAAATTGGAGTACAAGTCGTTGTCGAGGAACTCGCTGACGCCGAGCTCTCGCACGCTGGCGTCGGCAAAGCAAACGCCGACGTTGCGGCCCTCTGACGCCTTGGCCGTGATCTTGACCGCCATGATCATGGGTGCCGACTCGATTTGCCCGCCCAGGTCATCCTCCACATCCTGGACATTGCCCGGTGACGCTTTCTTGACGCATTTCCAATTCATGCGACCACTGGAGCTCTCCCAGATCTCGACTCGCTTCCCCAATTTCAAGAGTGCTTCGCGGAGGAACTGTCGGAAAACGGTGACCGTCATGGAGACGGATGGGAGGCCGGTATGATCGTTTCTGCCGAGCTGTCGCACAACTGACGTGGTTTTGTAGACCTGGTACCGTTAGCGGGAGGCCGTGGCATATGCTGGGGTGCCTTGCCGTGTTTGCAATGAAAGTCGCATCATCACCATGGGAGGTGTACCAGTCACCACGATCGAATATCCTGATGACATCGTCGTCGACCGCTGGGAGGGATTTGTAGAAGCGAATGAAGCCGCCTTCGTCTTCGAGCTTCAGCTCGGGTCTCGACGTCATGATGCGTGGTCACAAGGAAAGAAGAAGAAAAATTCAACGCTCACGTCGCTGTCAACTGCACTTGTGAGCTAGAGTGGTCGTCGACGACGGGTAATCAGGGATTGGGGTCATGGAGTCGGACCCCACGCGTCGCAGACGCGTTTCCCATTAACCTTCACGCGCATGCGCGGCAGGCCGCGACGGCGCATAGGGTAGGTAAAATCGCCGAGCAGCCCGGCCTAGTGTATGGCTACCCTACGCCTCCACACAGCCAATCTCGAATTGAACACAGCTAGGGACAACACCACAAGAAGCGGTGCGGAAAAAGTCTCCGGAATGCATGCACTAGCTCGGATCTTTGCTTGCCGTAGCGCCACTCGGAAATTTAAACAAACAAAAAGACAAGGTGGTATTGGGGATGCAGTAGTACCTTGCGTACGTCGTTCACGTTTGGCTCGGACGAACACCGATTCGTTTCGTGTGGAGCATTTAAGCATATCCGTGCCCGCGCCAATCACTGTGCAGACAAGTGGCAGAAAGCTAACGAATGCGGATTGGCTGCCCACCGGAAAGCTTGTCACTATCCCAACACCTTAGGCGGGCAAGACACACTTGCCCGACCAACATCATTCAGCATCGTGCGCAATTGCCAACACCTTGATGGTGTTCTCGTCAACTGCACCACGGTGAGCTGAAGCGAAGATTGGGACTTCGGGCTTACCATGGGGATTCGTTACAAATTCTTCGCCGCAAGAGCCCACCATGCGTTGTTTAAAGACGCTGCGTCCCCTGCGTTTCTCTCCAGCTGCGTGGGGGACTGGACACCGATGTTGACCATCAAGGTTCTCACCACCAAAGTCCCGGGATGTGCTCATAGTACTAGCATCCGCGAGGCGCCCATCAAGGTTCGTTCCTCGCCCCCATCCACTTCTTGGCAGCAAAAATCGGACAGCATTACGAACGAAGGACCACGACTCGATGATCCACGCATTGTGGCGAGCAGAGCAAAGAGGTTGTCTTTCCTTCTGCTCGCGGTATCCACATGTTTTGCAACGTCGTGCACCACTGCTTTATGGTTACTATTAAACTTTACTTAAACTTTCCTTGCGCTCCGACTCGTCCGCACCTGAAGTTCTTGATACTGCTCAACTCCCTCATAATTACCCTCAGATTGACTGTACCTTTGCGTGTCAGTGGCGGCTTGCCTCGGACTCGACCTCTATCTCTGGTGTGCGCTACCAAAGGTAGTCGCTTGACTTTGCCGGAAAGCCAATCATTGGACAGCTCGACAACTGGTATCAGACCGTTCAAGATGCTTGCGAGATCCCTCCTGGCCTTGGCCCTATCCAGTGGCCTCGCCGCCGCGCTCGACGGTCCCCAGCCAACACAGGCGCCGGCCTATCCTCCCGTGCACAGGAGACAGAACGACGACGTGACGGCCATCACCGACTGCCACTTGCATGGGAGCGACTTGTACTGTATGGCCGGCAGCGACGAGTATTCTGTGGCGTACAGCGCGACCCAGACGACCGATCTGCCCTCGCAGTTCACCGACTGCCACTCCCACGGCACCGACTTGTACGTCCACTTGCTGGTCTCTCCGTACTAGTGCGCTTGCTCACATTCCCAGCTACTGCGTAGACGAAAATGGTGACGACGTCGCGGCCACGGGCGAGGGCGGTGGCGAGGAAGAAACCGACACCTCGGATTCGGAAGAGGGGTCCAGCCACGAAGGCCAAGACTGCCATTTCCATGCCGGCATCGAGTGCGATTTCTCCCTTCTCGGAAGCTACGAGGAGAATGGCTAATGGGCTACAGACACTGCGTCGGCGGCGACGAGACGGAAGAATCGACAGACACCGAAGATGAGGGGTCCAGCCACGAAGGCCAGGACTGCCACTTCCACGCTGGCATCGAGTGAGTCCTCACACAGATCACATAGCCCATCGCCTCGGGACTGACCAAAATGCGAATAGGCACTGTGTAGGTGAGGGCGAGTCGGAGCATGGAGGCGAATCAGCGGCCGCTGGAGGCAGCAGCAGCAGCAGCAGCGGCGGCGGCTCCGAATGCGCAGCGACACCAAGAGACTACGATGTCGGCCTGCGTGTTGGTCTCCTCTTTGCTATCCTCGCTACCAGCGCCCTGGGCGTCTTTGGACCGATCCTGCTGCAGCGTTTTGTGCCACGCAAGCTGAACCTGTTCTTCGTCCTGCTCAAGCAGTTCGGAACAGGTATAATCATCTCGACGGCCTTTGTCCACGTGAGTCATGCTGGGCGAGCGCGGCTACGTAGTGTCGTTTTGCTAATCTCCAACAGCTGTACACCCACGCGTACCTCATGTTCTCGCAGCCCTGCGTCGGCGTTCTGGGGTTCGAGGGCACCACATCCGCACTGGTGATGGCTGGCATTTTCCTCTCCTTCCTCGTCGAGTGGATAGGCAACCGTGTCGTCCTCGCTAAGATCAAGTCCGAGGCTGCCCTCACCGCCAAGGAGCGCTCGAAGGCCATGCTCAGCAGTGAAGTTGTCAGCGTTCTGGTCATGGAAGTTGGCATCCTCTTCCACTCCTTGCGTACGTGCTTTGGGTGTATTGTGTCTATATTCTCAAGAAACTAACCCGGTCTAGTGATTGGTCTCACCCTCGTGGTCGCGGGCGACAGCTACTTCCTCACCCTCTTCATTGTCATTGTCTTCCATCAGATCTTTGAGGGTCTTGCCCTGGGCACCCGCATTGCCGCTCTGGGCACGGGCCAGCACATCCACACTCACGGGCTGCCAGAACCCTCGGCCGATTCGGAAGCCCACAAGACCGCCGACACACTGCCCATTGCGAGCTCGTCGTCGTCGTCTTCCAGCCTTGTGGCCGGTGTTCCCTTGGGAAGGAAGCTCATCCTCGCTTCGCTATTCGCCTTCATCACCCCCATCGGTATGGCGATTGGTATCGGTGTTCTCGACCAGTTCAACGGCCGCAACAAGGCGACTCTCATCGCCATTGGTACTCTCGATGCCGTCTCCGCGGGTATCCTTGTCTGGGTTGGCTGCGTGGAGATGTGGTCCGCCGACTGGATGACCGGTGCTCACGGCAAGCAGGCCGAGCTGGCCAACGCCGACTGGATCACAACTAGCGTTGCCTTTTTTGGCCTCATCGCTGGCATGGCCCTCATGAGCTTCCTCGGCAAATGGGCATAAGGCGTGCTCAGCATTCAGAAAAGTCCTTTCTCAAGATACCCCAGAGTACGTCGGAGAAGTATTATACAAAAGACGGCGCAGGAAACCTCGCCGCAGGTGCGAGCGGAGGACGACATTTATGTGTTTCAAGATAGCAACGTCTTGCATGAGCATTTACGACAAGTCGAGTTTTGGGTGCCCAGGTGACTGGGACTGGTACATATAGGAAGACAAGTTGTGGACGAGATCAAAGGGCTCACTCCACATTTGGTTCCCATTAATTAGTTACATATCAACGCAATCTTTACGACTCTTGACATGAGCAATGTAAATGGGTTAGACCCGCATATTCTATCGCCGTCTCCTTGCTCCGATTTCTAAATCGCCCGGAACACATCTAGTAGTATGCCCTCTTCATCAGACGTGTTGCGTTGGTGGACGTGTTGCTGTGCGGGAGAACCTCAAAAGGGGTACGTAGCACATCCCAGTGATCGGACATGTTCGGGTTGCCGTACGGTCGAAGTGCAGCAAAGCGCATCCTGTACACACCAGTCAGCATTTCATCACCTCATGAAAAGAACAAGGAGAGAGTTGCGTACGTGTAGTTGCCAGGCTGTATGTAGCTCCCGTTCGCGAGCTTGCCGAACCACCAGTAGCTTTCTTGGCCCCTGGGCGCCCGTGTGATGGGAAAGGCAATTGTGTCGTCCTTGTCCATGGTCTCGGGGTCAAAGTACCAGTACAGGTCGGCGTCGCGAAAGCTGGTGGCCGACCCAATGTAGCCACCGAGGCCAGGCGTCGCGGGCAGCACCCAGTTGGCCTCGTCCCAGTAGCGGGTGAAGATGTCCCATCGGAGGTGGAAGCAAGCGTACCGGAGGCGAGAGCTCAGCTCGGCGTAGTCCAGGGGGTCGGACTCGACGTCAAAGGCCCATCTGGGTCTTCCGGCGTCGCCGGAGAGGTAGGGCACCGTGGAGAACATGGTGTCAAACTCCTTTTCCGTGTCGTACGCGGCACCTCCATAGGGGATGGAGACGCGCTCTCCGTTGTTGCCATTGATGTGCACTTTGCCACCGTACATGGGGAGCAGATCGTCGTCGACGTCTGGCAGCACAAAGAAGAAGTCTACGTCCCTGGTCTGGCCCGGGCGCAAGACGACAGGCTCGGAGAGGGTGACGTTGGGCACAATCGTCATAGGCTGAATCTCAAACAGCGACTTGATGCCATAGTACGTATCCAGCATCTCGAATCCTTCTTGCGGCTCCAGCTCAAAGTCATAAGTTACCGTTTGGTTGCCGTTGTTCGTGATTGTCGCCGACCAGTCGGACTGGAATGATTCCGTGTCCAGGAGTGCAAAGGGCTTGCTGGTGACCTGCGTCGTGTAGTGAAGAACCTTCCAGGCGTCGACGAGACCACTTCCGACTTGAAAGGGGGGCGCGGTCTTGTTCAGCTGGATATCAGCCGCACTCCAGGCTACACTGCGTCCACTGGTAGCGATACGGTCAACCACAGTCTGGGCGATGCCAGGGCCGTTGTAGGAACGCCCACCGTGGTAGCCGAGATACAGTGCCGCAACACCAGCAATGTAAGGGGCCGCCATGGACGTGCCGCTCATCTCCTCGTACTGTTGGCTCGGTACTGTGCTGACCACATTGACGCCAGGAGCACCAATCTCGGGCTTGAGATGAAGCTCATTCGTCGGACCCCATGAGGTAAAGTACGCCGCGAGGGGCTTGGAATCGGCAAACGTCGCGTTGGGCATACCGGTGACGTTGACCGCTGCAGTGGACAGGACGCCGTCCCCGTTTGACCCGCTGCTCGAGTAAAAGGGACCCTGTGAGCCTTCGTTGCCGGCGGAGATGGTCACGACGACGCCCTTTTCGACAAGACGAGACGCCACGACGGCCCATGGGTTGTCGGCGAAGCCATTGGGGCTTCCAATGCTGGCTGTGATAACATCGGCCTGGGAGAGTTAGAACGCTCTTATCACCCGTGGATACGGACGTACACCGGCACCATACGCATCGCAAAATGCCTGGATCAAGACCTCTTCGCTTGTGTCTACCGCATTCTGATCTTGTCAACAGACAGGCCGCAGAGTCAAGTAGGGCACTCACGTCTGCAAAAACCTTGTAACTGAGCAGCTCAGCATCTGGAGCGACTCCAATCAGCCAGTCATTGTCGGCAGCAATGATGCCAGCGACATGCGTTCCGTGACCATAAAAGTCCATAGGGTCATCGTCGGGGTGTTTGGGGGACTTGACCTCGTCCTGGTTGCTCCAGTTCGTGCCCACGAGGTCGTAGCCGCCTGCGACCTTGCAGCCTGGGCCAAAGCATCCCCCCAGCTGTTTAGGTCAGCTGTGTTGCTCAATGTTGTGGGTGGGAACGTACCGCTTCATGCGTGTAATCGATGCCAGTGTCGATGACCGCGACCTTGACACCTTGACCGCGGATGCCTTGTGCATGAAGCTTGTCGACGCCAGTCCACTGATGCATTGAATACTTCTTGGCTACCGTGTCGGGATAAAAAGGTCTCCTTTTGGCGATAGGCGCCAGAGGAACAGACCTCATCGGCCAGACATTGGCCACGCCGGGCATGCTGCGCACGGTGTCTTCGTTCTCAGATTGTGTCTCTATCGAGAACCCGGAGAATATGTCGCTGCAGTCAAACTCCTTGTAATAGCTGTTGCTGGGGCTGGGTCCGGACTTGGGATCCATCTGCTGAAGCATGACTCCTGGCCGGGTGCCCTGACAATGTCAACTCTGGCCTGAGCAGTTCCTGCGGTTACCCACCCTCTCAGTCTCGATGATGTACCTGCTTGTCTGGCCGTGCTCAGTGCGGTCTTCTGGCTGCTTGAGTACACTACCGCGGGTAATATGGCTTTTTGGCACATTGCAACGTGCGCTAGCCGTGAGGCTCAACACAGCCAGAAGCTGGGAGAACCGCATCTTCATCTGAGGTGATCGACAACAGGGGTGGCGAGAAACGAGTGGCACGACAATACCCCCTTTGAGCACCTTTGAGAGCAACAAAAGAGAAACAGGTGAGATCGATTCTTGTCAACGCTGCCTGAGAAAATTCTGTCGTGAGGAAACGAGACGAAGAACCAGGGTCAGACGAGCCATGCCTACCTACGAGGTCAGGGCTAACACGTGATCCCCCACGGGTGACACGACACTGTTATTTGTGTGACCTATTTCTCAGCGCCATGTGCTTGGTCAATGGATTGTTAGGTGAGTGCGGACCTTTCGTCCAGCTGTATGCCGCTGTGCGTTGGGCAAGACATGGGATGTCGGCCCTTGAGCACAACACAACACAACATACCGCAAAATGGCAAGGAACCAAACGCAAAGTGATCCCGGAACTGCCATGAGAAGAAAATGAGCCGAACAACCGCGACTCGGTCCCTGTCACACCTTGTACTTCCGCTGGCCGTACCAGCTGCACTCGCACAGTCCATCTGCCAGGTGCATATCGAGAATCGACCCAAGCACAAAGATCCACTCGAATGCAGGAGCCCGACGCAGAACCGCGGAGATCTGCAAGAGATCGACCATCCAGATCCGCTTGACTGAGTCTCGGTGCAGTCGTATACTGATCAGAAGAGGTGGACGAAGCAGCCGACAGTCCCTATTTCTTCGGTTGTCCTGACTGACCGCAGCATCGGGGTGGATTTTAGAGGAGCCCGTCTGAACATTGTCTGTTTGAATAGCTTCACTTGACAGCCTGGCAGCGAGAGTGGTCCTGGGATAGAGATTTCAACGTCTCACACACGAGGACGGCGCACTCGCCTGAGAAACAGAAGCAGTAGTGACACCTGTATGGAGTCTTCGATGCAGAGCCCGGGTCTCGACAACTGCAAAGTTGCGTTAGCAAGACTGTCTTGTGTCGCGAGAAGCGGATGGACTTGATGTGTGCGTCCGACGGTGCACGAGAATCAGTGGTAGTAGCGCTTGCATGACCTGTCCTCCATGTTGCGTTGCCATGATACCCTCTCGTCGAGAAGCTGGCCATGTCGTATATATAACGGCAAGATACATGATGCGCGGGGAGACTTTGGTCTGGCGAGGAGAGTGAATATGCTGCCTCAACAGTCTGATGATGATCGATGCAAGAGAGGCTCGATGCCGTGACGCAAAGAGCAGTTTATTGCCTCACCAGTGCCCCTTTTGGTCTCAACCTTGCCATCTCCGCAGCGCATTCGTGCGCATAACAGATTTGTCCACGCGACGGAGAGAAAACAGATGCCCGCAACGTGGCTCTCGGTCGCTTCCGAGGACAGGCTGATAACTGGCATCACTGCAGACGGAACATTGTTCGTCGGAGGCTTCGAGACTCGCAGGAATGAATGCACATGGATCATGAAACACGTGGAGGGTGGGTGGTGAGTGGCCAGGGAGAATTCCAGGCCCCTGTCCAGGGCCACTGTGTTGCAGGAGAGGGCTTGCCGCAGCGAATCAGCGCGCTGGGGCCCTGGCAGTGGCTTCAAGTTCAAGTTCGCTGTCGTGTGCCGGATAAATCAATCATATGGCTCTCATTCTGCTCGATGCAATGTCAATATGCTCAATGGAAAAAAGAAGTAATCACTAAACGGGATTGCCTTTCTTCCAGTTGTTGCAACTTTTGGGATGGAAAAGGCCACTTCGTGCTGAGCAAAACGGACGACTGCTGCCAGGTACTGCAGTCTTCAATCAATTGACCCCTGCGTCGTGTGGCAAAGGCGCTAAAGAAACGCTTCTGCAAGGCACGACGAATGGATGACTAGCCTGGGATCCTCTGGAAGGCCGCTGAGTCGTGTCTGCTGGCTGGTTTCCCGCTGTTGATTGTCAAGTCGGAACATGTCTCGGACAGAGAAGCAGACAGGCAGACAGACAGACAGACAGACAGACAGACAAGTTTGGGATAGTCTGAGGTTCAGTCGTCAGCAGAGACAATCGGGGGCACGGGACGTCGCGACGACCGTCACAACGGCCGTCACTGACTCGCAGATCATCCCAGCTTGACCTCAATTAATGAAGCCAAGGCGTTCATGAAGAACCGTCAGCCTTCAACTGGGGAACCAGCCCAGCCAGCCAACCAACAGCCCCTGTCCGTTTGCTGGGCTCCCCTCTCCACGTCTCCAGTCCGGTCTGCATGGGCTTATCGTCCGTCTCGACTCGCTCGACCTGCCGCTTCCTCGTCGCTCGCTGCTGCTCCTCTCTTTCGTGTTCAACAGCTCAACCCCCTGTTCCCTCCTCTCGCCTCCTGGATTGATTTCTGCTGGTCGAATTATCCGTATATCCCTACCACATCGCCACGCTCTCTCTGGTAGAACCGCCTGTCCTTCATTATTACCGACTGCGCGACTTTGACGAGGAACACCGACCACCCGACAACGCAGCCCCTGACGACAGCGAACATTCATCCGCCTCGACACTCGCGCACCAAAAACGCTCATTACCCATATCGCCAGCAGCATCAACAAGCGAGAGCTTGCATTGATCGACTGAACTGATTGTTCGACCACATTGGAATCTGCGTCACGCCCAGCCACCCTGCGAGCGACACAGCACAAACCACACAAGATGCCCTCCCTCCTCGACAAGCTCCAATCCAAGTTGGAGCTCCTCCGCCTCGAGAAACGCTACACCCGGTCCCGGCACAGGCGCTCGCACTTTGTCTCCGGCGCCGTCTACGTCGACGGGGAGTACGTCTTCCAGACGCCCAACTCCACCGGCTCCTCCAAATCATCCTCCCACACCACCGTCACTGGCACCCCCGGCGTCGACGCCCTCCATGGCGACTACTACGCCCACAGCAGCAACAAGGCCTACGCCCGCGAGCCCGCCGTCGACGTTATCGCCGAGGAGGACCGCGCCGTCGAGGAGGAGTTTCAGCGCAAGCGGATGAACCGCTTCAGCGCCATGCCCTCCATGTCCTCCCTCCGACGCGAGACAGAGACCCCCGAGGAGACGCACCAGAGGAAGAAGCTGAACCGCTTCAGCAGCATCGCCGGCTTTGGGCGGGACTATGATGTGAACAACAAGGCCCTGCCTGCGCGCCCAAAGGAGAGCCGAAGGTTGAGCATGCTGCGTTGAAAAGTCCATCTTGGTCGGTTTTTTTTTTGGTTCTTTCTACACGTACATATATTCAGCGCCTCTTTTCTCACACGCAAGATGGGAAGAATTCCACGGCAGCGGCAATTCCACGACCTGGGTGGCTTTTTGGATTTTCTATCACCGGGCGGCTCCATTCTACACCCACCCACCTTTTAACGACAGCTTCTTTGACGCCGCTCAAGACGCTTGCATGTTCATACGCTCTCTTAGACAGTAGTTCACATAGGCATCATGCATATCTCATGACTTTTCAATATTACTACAAACCAACGTTACATCGAGCTTCACGGATCTACAACGGCCTGCGTGCCAAGTTCGTCTGCTACTAAGTGCTTCAACCGTCGCAAGATGACTGGATTGCGATTTCAAACACTACAGTATCCTAAAACCCATGCCAATTATTATGCCCTGAACGCCGTGCAATGCTAAAACTTGTGCTCCTTTTACACCATCAAACCCTCATATGCCCGATCAAACGCCCTCCCTCCCATGCCAGGTACGTTTCGCAGCTGGGCCAGGCTCTCCACCTGTCCACCGTCCTCTGCGATCATGAGATCCAGGTAATCGACCAGCGCCTGGGCCTTTTTCGCGCCAATGCCGACCAGAGTTCGTATCCTCTTCACATCGCGTGAGTTGATAATGTCTAGTAGCAGCCTACCCTCCTTCGACGACTCCTGGGCGTCAAACACGGGTTGGGCGACGACTCTTGTTCTTGGCCGGCGCATCTTGGCTTCCTGCTTCAGCACAATGGGACTAAAGGACTCCTCGTCCACATCAGCTTCACCATCCTCGTACTCCGTATCCTCGTCCACCGTCACCTGCCGGCTTCGTTGCTTCCTCACTGAACGCTTGACGGGAGATACCCGGGCGCCCAAGCCGAGTCGTGCGCGCAGCCGGTCAATTTTCCCCAGTAGCTTGGCCTGACCAGGAAAGTAGGGGAGCGCCATCTCATAGTTCCTCAGGGCGGCCGCGTCATCTCCCTTCTCTTTCGATTGGCGAGCGGCCAGAAGAAGGCGCAGACCCTCGGACTGGTTCTCGTCACGCCACTCATCGCTATCAATCTTGCGCTCGAGCGCCTCCAAACGCTTTTGTACGGCTTCACTCAGGTCGGGCTGGGCCTGCGACTGCGGCTGCCGATCGGCAGCTGCCCTTGCGGCCAGCACCTCGCCAACCTTCTTCTCCACCATGGCTTCGATGTCGGCAGCTGAGACGGTTGCGGATCCCTTGGTCTTGGGCGTCGACATCGTTTTCGACGTGTTCGTCGTCGTTGGTCGTGCCAGCTTGCTTGGACGAGCGGCGGGCTCATGATCCGACGGGCGCTTCCCTGCCGACGATCGCCTCACCTGGCTGGAGTTGGCGGCAGGCTTGCTCGCCAGTGCTGTTGTCACGGGCTTGCTCGCCTTGTCCGTGTACACCGCGAAAGCCTTGACCGGCTTGTTGGTATCTTCCTTCTTGGCACCGGCCGCAGCAACATTGTGCGCGTTGTGAGCATTCGCCAGGGGCTGCAGCGGCTGCCGCCTCGCAGCACCCGTCAAGCTGGAGACCTGCTTAGGGACTTGCTTGTAGACGACCTCGTTCTCAATCTCCCGCACTTCGATGCGCTTCGCACGCGAGCTGACATTCAAGCTGCTCAGGGTGTCGAGGTGGTAGCTCCGCATGGGCGCCAGGTTCAGGATCATCACTGTGATACCGTTGTTCTGGCCCAGAGACAGGATGCGTGTCATCTTGCTCTCCCGGTATGGGATGCGCTTGTCGCCGCGCGAGATGGCCTCGATACACTGGCTCAGCACGAAGAGACTCTTGTTGATGGCAGCAGACTCGACCAGACGCTCTTTTCCGTTGTCGGTGCGTCGGTTGTCCTCGGACCCTGCGAGGTCAATGGCGGACGCCGTGCTCTCGCGGACGGTATCGCCAGTGGTCTGGATGATCTTGACGCGCAGAATTGCGTGTGACCGACTGCTGTGGGCGTTGAGCTTTGTGGAGGCCGTGACGCGGTTCTGGTTGGCTTCAATGTAGAGTTTCTCAAAGTCCTTCAGGTCCTCGCACGCACGCTCCGACAACCCAGCGACAACGGTCCTGCCACTGGCCTCGGCGCGTAGTGGTAGGCCCGTCGCGGTTCGCTTCTCCGGCGGCTCGAGGAGGTCGAAAACTTTGTCGTTGTAGATCTCGTAGTATGACAGGGCCACCTGCACGGTGGTCTCGCCGCCCGACTCCCTGGTGATCTTCTTGCCGCGTCGGAATACGCCTGATAGCAGACGGGGGATCACACCACGGTCGGCCAGTTTGAGTCCACCACGCATCGTGTGCGTTTTGCCCGTGCCGGTCACGCCATATGCGAAGAGTGTGACATCGTAACCCTGGAATAGTGCCTTGAGGTGAGGTGCCACTATAAATGCAAGGTCAATGGCTAGCTTCTACGCGTCAATGGCACCGTCCTACCTTCAGCTGTAAAGAGAGCCTCCTGTGATGTCGACTGGTCATACACGGAGTTGAAGGCGAAGGAGAAGTCCTCAGAGTCGTTCTTCGGGTTCGGAAGCTTAACAATCGTGTGAGGCTGGCCATTCTCGCCACCGTCGGCGCGGACAATAGTATCCTTGTCAGTCTCTTTTTCGAGCAAAGGGCGTATCCTCGCGACCACGCGAACCGACATGGCGATGTGATGTGCTGCTGGGTTAGTACGTATCAATTGGGAGGAAGGTGGGACGGGTCGGATCGTCAAAAATTGCCTAGCCAGGCATTGAGTGTGCGCCAACGGACTCTAGACCCCAAGATGGTGTTCCCAGTCGGTGTGGAGGTTCGAGATCCCAGAACAATCTCAATCGTGCAAGCGTGTCGGACTGGCATGGGTGTGTTGCCCAGCAACAGCTGGACTAGCTTCGCGAGTTAGCGCCACACACCTGCGCCACATGGAGGCGCCGTGACGTTGGACGGCTTTTCCCGCCTCCAGTCCATCTCGCGAAAGGCCAGTCTGAGCGACGACACTTGTCATCGCTGCACACATTAGCGACATGATGCGAGGACAATCGCATCTGGTCCGGGCGACGCAAAGGCTGCGACCTCAGTCAACCTCCCACAGCGTCTGCCGACAATGCCGCGCCATTCAGATCAGCGCAGCGCCGAGCAGCGAACCACGAGCCGGCGGGGATGCCTTTGGGACGACGCTCGAAAGCTCACGCGATGCAGCTGGTAGGTTGTCCAGCATCTTGACCGAGGAAGCGATACTGACCAAGACAGACGCTCGCTTCGAAGTACTCGGTTCTCCTTACTCGATGCTCTCGGTCACACTATCCGCCTCGCAGAAGCTGTACACTCGACGAGGGACTCTTGTTGGCATGGCCGGCAAACCTGAGAACGTATGTCTACGCGCAACAATGCCACATCTGCTCGAGCTAACGTATCCAGGCACAATCGACGCTCTCTCTACTGAACCCTCTCTCACGAGCCCCCTTTGGCGTTCCCTTTCTCTACCAAAAGATCACGGCTACCACGCCCATCACCGCCCTCATCTCGACAACATCACCGACGACGACCTTTCAAATTCTTCACCTCGATGGCACCACCGACTGGATGGTGTCGCAACGCAACTCCCTTCTCGCCTGGACGGGACATACTCTGACACTGTCCTCGCGCATCCAGCACAACCTCTCCATGGCTCACTGGGGGAGCACGTTCCTGACCGGCCGCGGCGTGGCAGCTCTCGCGGCCCCCGGGCAGGTCTACCAGCTCGACCTGGCCGAGGGCGAGGAGTTCGTGGCGCACCCGGGCAGCGTGGTCGCCTACTCGATATCCCGCAACGCACCACAGCCCTTTCGCTTCAAGAGCTCGAGCCTACGGCTGCAGGTCCCCTCCTTGACGAGGTGGCTGCCCGAATGGGAGTTTATGCGCACCATCCGCCAGTCTGGCGCTTACAAGGCCATGGCGCGGATCCTCTACAGTCTCCGCACGGTGACACGGAGGACTATCTGGGGCGATAGACTCTTTCTGCAGTTCAAGGGGCCCACGCGGGTCATCATGTCAAGTCAGGGCGTCAGGGTGGCGGATGTGCTTTCGGACAAGCAGGTGAACGAGATTGCCGATGCGCCTGCTGGTGTCGCGCCTGCGGCCGTTGAGTTAGCGACAAAGCCCGAGGGCGAGGCGAAGCTCCCTCCGCCGCCGACCACGGAGCAGGCGCCGAGTGCGATACGGGTTGCGGAGGTGCACAAGGACGGCAAGGTGACCTTTGAGGATAAGAAGGATCTCAAGGAGTTTGTATAAAAACATGGCGGGTGTAGATGTACTGGTGTACAACACGTTTTTCCTCTGTTGCTATTGTTCTACAAGGCCCTATGCATAGACAGCTACCTACGCCCAGACCCTACAGATCGCAATGTCGCCTGGGGAGAAAGGACCTAAAAGAGGCAATTTGTTTCCTATCAGGGGTCCTCCCGATTGCGTGACTGGCGTACGGTGGCGTATTCGCAGCCTGGCCATCTTGACATATGCCGTTAGTGCTTAGCCATTCGAAAAGAGGTAAACTCTAGCATCAAGTTCGTGTTTCCTGCTTTCTTTCACATCGCGCCAGCCGGTGTATCAGGCGGGATACCGGGTAGGCGGCAGTTCCTAGTCGACATCTTGACGACCTTACGGACCCCACATGGGCCAAACGGGACCTGGATCGACTCGTCCATTGCAAACCAGAAAACCCACCTCTTTTATCCCATTGTTCTCCTCTCCACCACACCCTGCACAGAACAAAGCAATCGCGTTACCCATCAGCGACCATTGAAAAAAAACTCAAGATGCCGAGCACCGACGGATTACGTGAGTCATTGCTATGCTTGTCCGCTCCGATTGAGCCTGCTGACGTCCTCTCTCACAGAGCCCCCGCTCCAGCCAGCCGAGCGTGAAATTGTCAAGTCGTATGGTGGATGGTCAAGCTTCATGAGCGCCTATGGTCTCAAGCCTCACGATCTTAATGACATTGACACGGCGCACAGCATTGTGAAGCAAATGGCTGCCAAAGATCGCAGGTAGTCGCAAAGGACAACGTGGAAGGCTTGGACGCGCGCGCCAGTACAGTCGGCCCGGGACTCTGTGTATCTCGCAATGAGAATCAAGTCTGTTCATACTTGTGATCAAGAACCTAGCTTGCTCTAGAACCATTCGAGACTTCAACTCCTACCGCGAGAAATATCTATCCGCCAAAGAATCGCTCATGAATTCATGCTGTTCTTGGCTTCCCTGTGCCGATGTGCACCTGTCTTCCTTACAAGCTGTTCAATCTTGTCACGAAGTCGGCAGTGATTCGCATGAGATGGCACCCAATTTCGTTGCTTACAAGAATGCCCTAAAATACGCCTGATCACGACCTGTGAGTCCTGTTGCGGTCCGACGGCGTATGGCATCTGGACGTCTCGAGTATGTAGGTGCCGAGGCTCCGTTCTGTCCGGTCTCCGCTTTTGCCGGGTGCCGGAGGGGCCGGTGGTTTTGTCTTTGACCCCGCGATGGCCGGTGCCCAGGTGGGGCAGCGGCCTAGATATCGACGCTGGTGCCTCAGTGGGAGCTCCGCTGATGCCAATCTATGAAAGAGAGTCGGTCCCATCGCTGCAAATATTTGCGTGGAGTCTGTCTTGTTTTTTCGCCCCTCTTTTACAGTCGTACGACACATGCCTAGAGACTCGGGACTAGCCGGCGCGCCAATACAAGAAACTTGTCGGTGACGAGGGTGGAACAACCCGCCCTATTGTTGGCAGAGGCCCATGTTGCCACGTTGTTTTTGTTGGCGGCATAACTTGAGCATGTTCCTTGTCCAGTCAAGAAACGTGCCGAGGGCAATGCGCCTATTCCGCGGTGGGGGCAGAGCTCGAGACCTCGTACGCCTTGGGGATGACAGGCCCCGCCCCACTCCACAGCGCGGTGTCATTGCAAGGCGCATCGCGAGACTGGGACGCGCAGAACGATGAAGCCGAGGGCAAGCTGGTAACTATAAATTCAGTGTCCAGAAGAATGGGTGTACTAGCCTTATATCAAGTTACACAACACCAGAAATCCTACCACTTGAGACTCGGGCACCATCTACTTAACACTACTACGCAGCATTCACTATCCCAACATGGCCAAAAACACGACCTCCATCACATACAGAAGTCATCGCCCGGGCGACATTGGCTACATCACGTACCGCCACGGCCTCATCTACCTGCAAGACCAGGGCTGGGGGTTCGAGGTGGAGAAGCTCGTGGCTCGGCTGGCCGCCGAATTCCTCGAAAACTACGACCCGGAAATAGAACGCTGCTGGGTGGCCGAAAGCGAAGGAGCGTATCTGGGATCGGTGATGCTCATCAAGGACCAAGAGCAAGTCAACACTGCGAGGATCCGCCTGCTCTTGGTGGAACCCAAGGCAAGAGGACTGGGGCTGGGGAGAAGTCTGGTGGAGCAGGCAATTGCGTTTTCGAGATCCAAGGGGTACAGCCGTGTCGTACTGAATACGCAGAGCGTCCTCAAGCCGGCGCGGAAGCTCTACCACTCGTGCGGGTTCAGGTTGACAAAAGGGCTGGGCGAGGGGAGCTTCACGGCGGGGTCGGAGAGCGAGGTCTGGGAGATGGTGTTGGATGGGTGACGGACGTAGTTAGGAGGCAGGTAGCTGGAAAAGAAGAAAAAAGAAAGACGAAGAAAAAAAAAGGCTCTAATAATCTCGACGTTCTTTGCCATCTGCTGCTACTTGACCGTAGCAAACGCATCCAACGCATCATGCAACCGCCCAAACGTCCCGTTATGCCAGCCCCTCAACGCCTCCCACTCATTCCACGGCAGCGTGGCAGCCATCATGCGTAGCCAGCCACCGACAATACAGTCGGCGTAGCTCGCCTTGGTCCCCAGCAAAAATGGCCCGCTCTCATCCCTCCTGTACAGTACCGCCAGACCACCCAGCATGCGCTCGAACGACGCCAGCATCTGGACCCGCGCCTCGCCCGTGAGTAAAAGGTCCTCCCAGGCATTCACGCCCGCGCGCCCCGTGAACACGGCCTTGCTCGCATCCTCGGTCGCAGGGTCAAACGGGAACCTGTCCATGGCCAGCTGCACGTGCAGCGTAAACGCCGCGTCGACGTGGACGTTGAACTGTGCGTAGTCCTGAAAGGCGCCCGGCCGCGCCTCGGTGAGGGGGATGAGAATCTCGGCGCCGGGAGGCACCGTGAAGTTCAGCGCCGCCGGGGGCTGTGGCGGGAACAGGTCACCCGCGCCCGCGTCCGGGTAGTGTTTCTGCAGGTAGACGGCAATGTCAAAGGAGTCGCCGAGGTACTCACCCGTGGCCGGGTTGAATAGCAAGGGTAAGGTGTGAAAGTCGCTGCCGTCGGCGAATTTGCGCACGGGAGGCACGGCGAGGGCGGTGCGGACTCGAGTGACGTCCGTTATGGGAGTCCATGTGGTCCCGTAGGGGACGGCTTTGAAGTTGAGCGCGAGGCGGGCCTTCCAGGGGTTGGGGGCGTAGCATGTCTTCTCGACGGGGGGGCTGGATTTAATGTCCCAGAACCGGAGGGGTTGCTCAGCTGTCATATTGGGATGGCAGAAGGGAGGATGGATACTTGACATGTAGTTGATGGTGTGAAGTGATGGCGAGGAGCATCGACTGGTATCATGAGGGGATCATGAGGTGGGGAGGCTGGGCGCATCACTGGGAGCGGCCTTTTGGCATCCTAGTCTCACTGTCACACGCTCGTCTGACCTGCACGTTTCTGGTGCATCGTGGATGGGACATGTACGTAAAAGTGCGGTGGCTGGTCTTCCGGTCTGCTAGGCCTCGACAATGGCGTTGAACAAACTACCCTAAAGCCCAGCTCTCACAATCCACCCCCGTCACTTTTCGTGAAGCAGCGAGCTTTTCGCGGTGATAAGAACCGGCCCAAAAACCCAATTAGCCACGTTCCCGGGACGTCCACGGACTTCTCCTCTGCCGGGTATGACAGCGGGCGGACATGATCTAGTCCGCCCTTCTCCACCGTGGCCGGCCGGACATAAACCAGCACGCTGCAGACCACAGAAATAAGTCATAGCAAGTCTTACCTTCTCTCATTGCTGTTGCTCATCGCTTGAGTGTGCCATACAATCTTCTCTATAAGTCTGTTTATCCCTTACAATGGCCGACGTACTCCTTATCGGCGACCTCAAGTTCGTCGACCCAGAGTGGTCCTCCCTCTCCTCCGAACCGGGCGTATCAGCGCTCCGCGAATATCGCACAGGCAGTCGCGATGATTTCCTCAGCAAGCTGAGCTCAGGCACATATGACAACGTCGTCGCCCTCTACCGATCCAATGAGTCTACCAAGGTCACGGGGCCCTTTGACGGGGAGCTCATCTCGAAGCTGCCCCCCTCGCTACGTTACATCTGCCACAACGGCGCAGGATACGACAACATTGACGTGGCCGCCGCCACCCGACGCGGCATCCAGATCTCCAGCACTCCGCAGGCCGTCGACAATGCCACGGCCGACACAGCCGTGCTCTGCATGCTCGGTGCGCTGCGCCTCGCCAACGTCGGCATGGACATTCTCCGGCGGGGGCAATGGGGGAAGGAGCCGCTGCCCACGGCACACGATCCACAGGGCAAGGTGCTCGGCATCCTGGGCATGGGGAGCATAGGACGTAACTTTGCCGCCAAGGCACGGGCTTTTGGGATGATAATTCAGTATCACAACCGCTCGCGGCTGGCCCCCGATTTGGAGGAGGGAGCGCGATACGTGGCGTTTGAGGAGCTGCTGCGGACGAGCGACGTGCTGAGCCTGAACCTGAACCTGAGCAAGGCCACGGAGCATGTTATCGGCAAGGACCAGCTGGCCATGATGAAGGAGGGCGTCACAATTGTGAACACGGCGCGCGGCAAGCTGATGGACGAGGCGGCGCTGGTGGAGGCTCTGAACGATGGCGATCGGATATGGAGCGTGGGGCTGGACGTCTTTGAGGAGGAGCCGATGGTGCATCCGGGGCTGATTGACAATCCGCGCGTGTTCTTGCTTCCGCATATCGGCACGTTGACATTTGAGACGCGGGTAGGTTGGCCTTTTCCTTTTTCCACTTTCTTTTTTTCTGTTTCCAACGCAAAGCGTGGACAGGGCTGACTGATGTGTGTAGCGCGCTATGGAACTGCTTGTCATCGACAATATCAAGTCCGCTCTGACGTCTGGGGAACTCATCACCCGCGTCAAGGAGCAGGACAATATCGACGCTGCCAAATGAAGGTGCAGGCTCTGATAAACCGAGTAATTTTTCGGGGTCAGCATAAGTGCTGTATCAGGGTGTGGTTTGCATTCCTGCGCCCCGCGTCGGCCGCTGGAACAGCTACTTTTTGCGCAAGCTGTCCTGTCCTGCCAAAAGAGGGCGAAGAGCACGAGCCGAAGCTACACGTGTTCTGGCAGCGCCTGCCCTTCTCTCCCTCCTCCCCTGTGCCGATCCCCAAAAGAAGGCGCACCTTCCTCCGCCCTCGCGATTCCTGCAAATGGAGGAAGGCGTGCACTCGGTTCCTTCCTAACATACATGCATATCCTCTAAACTTCCATTTTCGCATGTCTTCCAAGTTCCAACATCGAATTCATCTTTTTTTCCACAAGCTGCGAGAACATCACCACGCCATGACACAAACGAGCGGCCTTTTCTCCGCGCATGTCGGTGATGCCTCCGATGGATGATTTTCCCCGTCCCGCTTTCCCCACATCATCTCCGTAAACCGGTGACCGGGCCCGCGGGGTCGTGAACTTGTGAGAGGATCGAAGCAGACCAATGTTCATCATTGTCGCTTTTTTTTTATTTTTTTATTTTTTTTTAGACCAAGACACATCAAACGAGAACCATTCCACTGAAAAATCTCCAAGCCCTGCTCCAACCCACACAGACCATGAAGATCCTCATCACCGGCGCGGCCGGTTTCGTTGGCCAGCTTCTCGCCAAGACGCTGCTCAACGACCCCACGGGCCAACACACCCTCGTCCTCACAGACATTGTCGAGCCCCCGATCCCCGCGGGCGTCCAGCACCCCCAGAACGCGACGTGTCTCCAGGCCGACCTGCTCACGCAGTCGGACGCCGTCGTCAGCAAGGACCTCGACGCCGTCTTCATCTTCCACGGGATCATGTCGTCCGGGTCCGAGGCGGACTTTGACCTCGGCATGCGTGTCAACTTTGACGCGACGAGGAACCTGCTAGAGACACTGAGGACGGTCTGCCCCGGCGTCAAGGTCCGGTACACCTCCTCGCAGGCCGTCTACGGCGGACCGGTCCCGACACCAGTGTCCGAGGCGGTGCGGGCCACGCCCGAGTCGTCGTACGGCTGCGCCAAGATGATGTGCGAGTACCTCATCACCGAGTACCATCGACGGCAGTTTGTCGACGCGCTGGTCTTTAGGCTGCCGACAATCTCGGTACGACCGGGGAAGCCTACCGCCGCGGCGAGCTCGTTCCTCAGCGGCATGATCCGAGAGCCCATGCAGGGGATCGAATGTGTCATCCCCATCCAGAACCGGACGTATGAGCACAGGCTATGCTCGCCGGGCACGTTGGTCGGGAACCTGGTGCATTCGCTGTCGCTGGACAGGCATGTCCTGCCCGAGTTTGACAGGGTCATGACGCTGCCGGGCATCACTGTCACCGTGCAGGACATGATGGACTCGCTGGCCAGGGTGGGCGGGGAGGACAAGCTGAAACTCCTAAGAGAAGAGGAGGACGAGGCGCTCAAGAGGATCTTGTACTCGTGGCCGGCGGAGTTTGACTCGAGAAGGGCGCTGGGACTTGGTTTCAAGGCGCCTGGGTCCATGGACGACATTGTCCGCGAGTTCAAGGAGTACTTGGCGCAGTAGATTGATCATTTGCGAGGCAACTTTCAGAAGGCAAAAGAATAACTATTCGGACTGGCCCGTCCCGATTCCGTGAGCGAGCTTCATACATTCTAGCCATGTCCTCTGCCCATACTATACTATACTATACTATACTATTTATGCCTTCCCCGCCGACCCCATCCACCGCATGAGCTTCTCCATGACCACCTGCATCGCACTCGTCGCCTCCTCGAGCAGCGTCGTGAGCGGCACCTTGTCCGCCTTCTCCCTCATGACCCTCGTAAACTCGACATTAAAGGCGTCATTCACATTCGCCTTGCGCATGCCATTCTTGACACACTCGCGGTAAATCTCCTCCGTAAAAGCCTCGCCGCTGGCACCGTGCAGCACGAGGTTGACGCCGCGCTTGCTCGTCGCCGCAAAGATGGACGCCAGGCGCGGGTAGTCGAGCTGCGGCCCCTTGGGCCCGTACTTGCCGTGGACGTTGCCAAAGGCCGGGGCGAGCCAGTCGATGCCCAGGTCCATAAACTCCTCGGCCTGCTCGGGCGTGGTGAGGATGCCCTCGAGGTCGCCCGTGTCACTGACGCCGTCCTCGCCGCCGTTGATGCGGCCCGGCTCGGCCTCGCTGATGATGCCCCGCTCGTGGAGGTACCCGACCAGCTCCCTCGTCAGGCGCATATTGTCCTCCTTTTCGTAGTGGCTCATGTCGACCATGATGCCGTCGAAGCCGCCCAGGGCCGCGGCGCGGCGGATGATCTCGGGGCTCTGGGCGTGGTCCATGTGCACGGCGACGGGGACCGAGGCCTTGTCGGCCGCCTCGCGCGCCGCGTGGAGGAGGAGCCCGTCGGCGTACTCAATCGCCCAGGGGAACAGCTGGATGATGACGGGCGAGCGTTGCGCCTCGGCGGCCCGGACGGACGCGATGATGCCCTCAATGTTGTAGCAGCATGTGCCCATGACGGCGTAGCCGCCGGCCGCTGCGGCATCAATGATCTCGAGGGCTCTGTTCTTGGGCATCTTGAGGTTTGCTGATAAGGATATGAAAAGCAAAGAGATCTGACTTGGAGGGAGAAGGAGAGTATGAGCGAGAACAAGATGTGAGAGCGTACGTTGAGTAATACTGAGGATTGTCGTCAGTTTCCCATCGGGGAGCTTCCACTGTACGCATTGGCCCGGCTATACTTGCGATGCTCCACCGACAGGACCGCAGGCGTAGCGTAGTGTAGTGGGAGCGAGGAAGAGCGCCACTTTACCCGGGCGGACACTACGCCGCTCGTCGCCAAAGGCTTCTCCGCATTCGGTGGTTTTGAGTGCGCTTTGTTGTTCTCGTGAAAGTAGGAGGCGGTCGAAGTGTCGGCCAGAGACTCGTGAGTCGTGAGGGGTGGCGGGGCGTACAGGGTAGGCAGGTCGGAAACAGGCAAGTGACCTCGTCGTCAAGGGGTCAAGGACTCAGGACTCAGGACCGTACTGTTCGCAGCCCAAAGCAAGAGCTCTCATTCATCTCTCTCGCATCAGATACATATCAGTGCAACATATACGACGACCAAATATATGCGCTGTGAACATCGGCCATGACACACCTCAAACTGCCCCCTCACAACCCAAGCTTCGCCTTGACATTGTCGCCAAACGTCCACCCCTTGGAACCATCCCAGTTGATCGACCAGGTCATCAACCCCTTGAGCTGGCCGCCGTAGTGGCCCAGGGCCTGTCCGACCAGCGAGGGCGTCATGTACCCGCTGCCCGCGCCCTCCTGCGCAGGCAGACCAGGCACCTGCATCTCGTACGGCAGCTGGATCGTCGTCCCCTGGATGGTGAGCCCGCGGTGCAGGCAGTCCGTCTGCGCGACGAAGCCCTCGACGGTGCCGCGCGGGTACGCGTCGCCGTGGCAGCCGTACATCTCGCCGTTGTAGTACTGCATGTTCAGCCACCAGAGACGTCCGCTGTCCGTGTACTTTTTGATAATGGGGAGATAGGCGCCCCAGATGGAGCCGTATACCACGCTGCCGCCCGTCACGTACGCCGTCTCGGGGGCCATGGTGAGGCCAAAGTCGGCGGGCATGGCCGCGAGGACGCCGTCGATGATGCGGATGAGGTTGGCCTGGCTTGTGGACAGGCGATTGATGTCGCCGCTGCCCGTCAGGCCGGCCTCAATGTCAATGTCTATGCCGTCAAAGTTGTACCTTTGCAGAATCGGGACAATCGTGGAGATGAACTTGTCAGCCACGGCGGACGAGCTGAGGTCGACAGCGGCCGTCGCGCCCCCAATGGACATGAGCAGGGACGAACCGGCTGCCTTGGCGTCGCACATCTCCTCGGGCGTCGAGACCTTGACGTTTCTGTCCATGCCGTCCTCCCACAGAACGGTGCCGTCGGGGTAGATGATGGGGAAGGCGGCCATGATCACATTGTAGCCGTGTTGCTTGATGCGAGCGTCATTGATGGGGATCCAGCCCAGACCAGGATGGACACCATTGCTTGCACCGTCCCAGTTCTCCCAGTACCCCTGAAGGACCTTGCCTGAAGGCTTCCCTGTCAAACCACAGGTGGCCTGCCTAGGTGTCAGTGGAGCTGCGTGTGTCGTGGCGAGCAGAGTCGACATGGCAGCGAAGAGTCCCACGCCGGTATGCACAAGGCCAGTCATTGTTTCTGAGCGAACGAGGTCTTTTCGTCTTGTACTGTAGAGTAAGTTCTCCTGATGGTGCCCGAATGCCAGCTCAGAAGGAGATCGCAGAGTGATTTGCAGTCCTGGCTTGTCCTTCTTCCATTCCCCATCTTGACCAAGGCGTTCATTTATAGTCTCCCGATACCCACCAACACCGGGTTGTCCTCTCCAAGCCGTTGATGAAGCTGCTCACACGTTGAGTGTGGATGACACGATGGGTAGGTGGTATCAGCCCAAAGCGGCAGGTGGTTACCAAAGGGGAAATGTTTCAACCGCTTTCGTGCCTTGGGGTCTACGAGTCACGACTCTACATCACGCGAGCCGGCACCCGGCCCCTGAGCACGCGTAACGTAGTCTCCTGGCATGAGGTCCGGCATCTAGGTGACAGTTGCCGGGTTCTCGACGTTACCTCGACGCTGTCGTGGGCTAAGCATGAGATAGGGGCGGCTCCATCCGACCTCGGACTCCGTGGGCACCCAGGTAGGTTACAGCGGCTTACGTGCTTGCTGAAGCGGGTGATCTCTTCGTCACAAGCGGGAGTACCGAGAGGAGTCGTCGCGGGGAGCGCGCAATCGGGGAGCTTGTAGCTCCGCGGCATCCAGCCTAGGAGCGACATGGTTCTCCACTCGCTTCAATAACCTCTCTAGATCTTGCGGCAAGATTGCTGTCTTGGTCTGTCTCGCTTTTCGGGGGCCCCCACTTGATTGGATGTTACAGCACGTGGGCACATACTTGGAGAGTATCACGTTGCTATACTCGACAACAACTGACCGCAGAGATAGCCACGACTGTCGCTGGCGGGGGCGAAAGGTACGAGACTAGTGCCCAGTCCCGTGGCCATGTGCGTCGGCCTCTTGGCCGTCTCTCCTGCCTACTCAGCGAGAACTTGCGTCCTCCATCGTGGGGACCATGGCTGTCAACTGGAGATGGAACAGATTCGGGTCAGTCAAGTCGCCAACAACATTGATACCGACCGCTACACCATTGAAGACACAGCCTTCCTGGTCTGGAAGCGCCAGACATATCCGAGATGTGCAACCGTGATCTGAGGGTTGCTGGTGGTGCGTGCTGGAGAGGCCAAGAGCTGGTGTACATACGTCGATGGGAAGGTTAAGCGAGGGGAGATGAACTGCCCATGGCAGCTCCTTTCTTTCTCAAGGTTCCGCCCCGCTGAGCGCGTGGACAATGAACGAGATGGGCTTCATCATGTAGGTAGGAACTACATCTGCAGATAGCGAACAGAGTAATGTCGCCAGTATTGAGCGCTCAAAGTGTGATGCTAGGAGTCAAGACTCGGGGGACTCGCGGCCCAGCTATCAAGGGCGCAAGCAGCAGCCCCGTTGTTTGCGTGAATGCGGCCCAGTAGTAGAGGCATTTACCCGTTCACTGGATAAAGGTTCCTGCCAAATTGAATAAGTACGTTGTGCTTGAAACATGAAAAATAGACATGGAGTAATGTCGTGAACCACCTCTCACAGACGTCAACCAAATCACAGACAGGTACCTCGGATTGATCGAGTGCCGGACGATCCAGCGGACAAGAGCAGTCACAGCCAGGGCATAGGAGACACGTCGAGTTACAGCGAGGCTCAGATAGCATATTCAGAAGCGTAGGCTCTACGGGACCCAGACCAATTCATTCCGATGAGCAAGTGACACGACGTGCTCACACTCTCCTTTCCAGATGCCCGCCCAGTCTTGGGAAAATACGGCATTGAGACACCAGTCCACCGATTACTTGTTCAGGCACTCCAGAGCAGCCTCAGCAACGAGCTCCTGGATGCCCTTCTCCGAGTCCTTGGGGTAAAACTCCTCGCATTCCTCGAGCTCCTTGTTGTTGGGCGTGATGGTGATCCTCCACCTGTCGCCGACAGTCTTGTACTTGAAGCCGTAGCCGAACTCGTCCATGGCCTTGTCGGCGTCAATAGCGCCGTCGGCATTCCCATTGGCGTCGCTGTCCCCAGTGCTCCCGCCGCTGCCACCGGCGATGCCACCGCCGAGACTGCCGCTGATGCCACCGCTGATGCCACCGGTCAGACCACCACTGGCACCGCCGTTGGCACCACCACTGGCACCGCCGTTGGCACCACCATTGGCACCAACCTTGATGACGATCGTGACACCCTTGCCGTTGCCGTCTGACCTGCCGGCCTGGTTGAAGCAGAGCGAGCTGCGGCCACCGATGACGGTGCTAAATGCGCAGGCCGCCGAGTCGAAAATGTCGCCGGCAAGGTTGATGCCTTGACCAAAGATGGAGAGGGGGAGGCCAAAGATGCCACCAAGGCCGAACTGGCGAGTCTCAAGCTGGGAGTGTGTCAGCATACAGTCTCATGGGAGGTTTGCAGGCAGTGGTTGTGGACGTACGACCGGGGCAGCCGTGGCGGAGCAGGCCAGAGCGGCGACGAGGATGGCACTTGGCTTCATCTTGCTGAGGAGAGTCGGAGAAAGTCTGAGAGTTTGAGAGTGCTTGTGAGAGTGGCTGAAGAAGTTGATGCGATGGCGGTGATATGAGCAGGCCCAGTCCTTTCGTTGGATTGGGGGGGAGTGGGTGTCTTTATAGATATTGAGGCTGCTTCGCAGCAGTCCAAGCCCGTTCCCTTGGGACTGCCGTATACACGGGTGATCTCCCGAGCACAACAACTCAGTGCACGCCTCCACAATCGGCAGACTGATGAAAGTTCTCCGATGGAATGTCTCGGGCACCGAAAAGTCTTCCCTACACCATTCCAGGATGGTATGGTAGAGCCTGCGGGATGGCGTTGGCCAGCCACCCTCTCAACTACCTAGACCTCGCATGTTCAGTCGCCGCATGTCAGAAGGGGCGCACTCGCCCTAGCCATCACATAGATACTGCGGTACGCAGCTAATCTCCCAAGGCCGCATGGAATGCCTCGAGATGAGGCTTCCCCCAGTGTTGGGCATGCGGGTCTCGGGAAGAGGTGTCTCACACTGGACTGTGTGTCTTGCCAAGGCTATTGAACCCTTCGCGGAAAAACGCACATGAAATTCTGATCAATACTCTCAACCCACGCAATGGAATGACCCGGCCCTGGTAGGAATCCCCGCGAGGGTCGCCAATGCCACACCACGTGCTCCGGCATATCCAGCGTTGTCAGGCACACATCTGGTTCCCTACAGCCGAGATCCGCCACCTCCCTTATTTGCGGCAGGTAAGGGCCCGGCAGGTTCCTTGGCGAGAAACATGCCAGTCGCCCAACTCTGAGCATCATGTTCGGGGAAGAGTACTTAGCATGCCACAGCGGACTCGATGGTGTTTCCAAAGGGCAATGAATCAGGCATGCATGTATGCTACAAGGGATGTGTGCCGCGCCCGGTCCTTTGAGGTGCATTTCTGCCCTGGTAAAGCGGACAGTTCAGAATCCTACTGAGTGGGTGACTAAAGTATGGCGCCATCTCAAATCTTTGTCGCGTGGGAGGCGTCTATGAGAGAGACGGGCATCTTGAAGCCCTGGTTGCAGAGCAGGCAGAAAACCCCGCCCGTCTCGAGGGTATCAGTGGCCAGCATGCTCTTCCATGGGATATGCATACAAACATGCCCTGGGAAGTGCAGCTCTTGCCGAATGTTCAATTCAACTCCAATGGATGCTACCGATACCGATGCAAGTGTGCAGCTGTAATGTGGGACGTGTCAGACCCGTATGCACATGGATGGATCAAACCTTGGCCTTGGAGTTGGAGTTGAAGGAAGCGTCCGTCTGAATGGGGTCGACGGATTTGCGAAGCTCTCTCGGATTTTGAAACGATGAGTTGTCCTATAGAATTTGCCTACAAAATAACAAAGACTGCGTTAACCGGATCTATGGCCAAAGGAGCCGTGGAGGAGGATTGGCCTGCCGAGGTCGATTCGAAAGGATCGTACCCTAGTCTAGTACACGTATGATGTATCATCCCGAAGGACTATGCCAGGATGCGATCCTTCGACTGAGCATACGTATATCCATTATCGGCTGCACCCGCCAATGATTGCGTCAATCCCGGAGTCATATTCTCAGATATATCGCGCGTAGCTTGACTAGGTCCATAGATACTTAAACCTATGGCCCCGGAATGAGTGGCACTTGACCTTTCTTCTACATAACCCCCAGCAATCCTTGGATATGGCGTTGACAGACGCCATCGATCTGCTGCTATCAAAGTCGGCCATCGGCGTCTTGGCCATTGCTGCTGTGCTCTTCTTTGTGGCGCGAGCGCTCGAACTGGGCGTGGATGAATTTGAACCTCCTGTCATCAGGCCCCCTATTCCCTACATCGGACACTTGATCCGATCCGTCCGGGAACAGCCATGGTTCTTGAAGAATCTCGGGTAGGCCTTCTGCTTGCTGCACCGCAAGATGATTCCATCCGTGCCCTCGCTGACGCCGTACCCACAGCGAGGAGTGTCGCCTGCCCATCGCAACGGTGCCGATCCTCAAGGGAAAAGTATACGCGATATGGGATCCCTTTCTGGTGCAGGCTGCCTACTGCAGCAAGCATCTCTCATTCATCCCATTTGCTGTAGAAAACGTCCGCGGCGTGACGGGGTACGACGATGAGACGCACGAGATTGTCACAAAGACAGATATCCTGCCCGCCTACTTTAAGAGCATTTACGAGGGGACGACGCCCCAGCATATTCACCACTTGAACGTCGTGTCGCTGAGGCATGTCTCACAGCACATAGACGGCATTGGGCCAGATGGGCTTGTCGTCTCGAACATCTACCTCTGGCTGCGCAACCTCATGACTGTGGCTACGTGCGAAGCGTTGTTTGGTCCACGCAACCCAATCAAGGACGAACAGTCCGTAGAGGACGTGTGGTAATCCCCCCCCCCGGGAGCCCCTCCTATGGAAACACTCTCTTAAGATTTTTTTTTTTTTTTTTGCAGGACTTTTGAAACAGGTCTGCCAGTACTCATGGTTCATATCTTCCCCTCAGCCGTACTGCGAGAGACTCGGCTGGCGAGGCGAAGGCTCCAAGACGCACTGGCAGCGTACTGCGAAACAGTAGAAGAGGACGACGAAAAGGTCTCGGCCATGATCAGGAACCGTGTCGGTATTCTTCGCAAGTACGGCATCAAACCCAAGAGCATCGGCGACATTGAGGTGGCGCTCATCCACGTCCCAACGTCCAACTCCATACCGACCCTGTTCTGGTTCTTCATGCACATCTTCACCCGACCCGAACTGGTGTCCAGATTACGCGCGGAAGCCGAGCCAGTCGCGGAGCGTGGCCCTGGGGACACGGTAACCGTCAACGTGGACACCATCTCCGACAGGTGTCCCCTCCTCATCAGCTGCTACCGTGAGGCAAGTCGCCTCGCCAACAAGTTCACCTGCAATCGACGCGTGGTGCAAGACACGACGATCAAGGACAGGGACGGCCGCTCGTACTTGCTCAAGAAGGGAGGTCACGTGCGGATGCCAGCCGGCGTCCTGCATGCCTTGGAGGCGGCGTGGGGTCCCGACGCTGATGAGTTCCGGCCCGAACGGTTCCTGGACACGGGCCTGAGCAAGGAGGAAGCCAAGATTCGTCGTGTCTCGCACACGCCGTTCGGCGGAGGCGCCCACATGTGTCCGGGGCGCAACTTTGCCACCGCCGAGATCCTTGGGTTCGTCGTCTCCCTGCTCGTTGGGTATCAGGTGGCGCCCGCGGACGGGGACTGGTCCAAGTTCCAGGTCCCTCCCATGGCGCCGTGCCCGGTGGCGACGTCTGTGTGCAAGCCGCTGGACGAGCGCGCCATGTTTGGTGCGCATGTGACGAGACGGGGCGGATGGGAGTCGGCTAAGTGGGTGTTCACCTCGGAAAGGGTGAAGGAGTAAGCTGGGGTGATGGAGGCATGATGTTGACGACGACTCCAATACTTGAATGAATCGCAGACAAAGCTGTCAACAGCGGTCACATACGGCCATATGCAACGGGAGAATATTGCATCAACACATTGCAGCTGGGGATCTTTCAATGCGACTGACTGGTCAGCATGTGTCTACAATTCGATGCTTGTAAGCAGGCAGATTGGACGTGTCAGAATAAGACATTGTTATATAAGCACGAAGCGGGGTTCAATAAACGTCTACTCTGTCTAGTACTTTTCGCAGAGAGTAAAATGGAACATGAATATTTCTGAACCAAGACCACTCACGAAAACAGTCCCCTACGCCTTCAGTCCCCTACGCCTTAATCTTGGGGGCGTCACACGCCGCAATGATCAATCTATTCGATACGTGCAATGTCTGCCAGGAGCTCAGGCCAACCCCCGAACAGAAGGGTACAGCATTCCACGTTTTGGGCATCAGTGAGCTTGAACAAAGTGCCCAACTTGGGGCATGTTTCCTCTGCTCCCTGCTCTTCACCGCGATTTCCGATCATGGCTATGTAGCACCGAATGAAAACCAGATGTTTGTCAGAACAGGCCATGACGAGCCGTTCTTTCTCATGTGGATAGATGCCCAATTGCCAGTCGTTCCGCATCTTGAGATCTTTCGTCAGACAGGTTAATTAAACCACGTTCCCGATGCCGCTTCGTTCTCACATATGGTGTTGCAGGGTCTGCAAGCGCAATCAAAGGCCTCGGGTGGGCGAATGCTATCCCTCGAGAGCCAAATAATCAGGCTACGAATGACCTGATTATACAGTGGGTTCGCAACTGCGAGGAAAATCATGCGGAGTGCAGAGTTGATGTGCAGGAGACACCCAAGCGCCTGTTGGATCTCGAGTGTCCCGGGCCCGAGGGCATCTGCCTCGTGCAAGACTTGAATCCCTCAAAGTACATCGCACTGAGTCACTGCGTATGGTCTCCCAAGGTCATATGATTTTCATCAGATCTGACAACCGCAGTGGGGGGACGTGAGAGCGTGCACGACTACCAGCGACAATCTCGCCAGTCGCCTATCCGAAATCAAATGGGATGATCTGGCAAAGACGTTTCAAGATGCTGTGACATTGACGAGGCAGATTGGCCTGCGATACCTATGGATCGACTCGTTGTGTATTGTCCAGGATGATTCGTAAGGATACTCGTCTGCGGATGTGTGGTGGAAGTTGTCAAATCTTGCTAACAGCCCCAGGGATGACTGGAGGAAGGAATCCGTCAAAATGGGAGACATATATCGTGGTGCCTATCTGACAATCGCCGCCTCCTTAGCATCCGCCGACGACGAAGGCTTTCTGCACCCGTCGAAAGAAAGAGACGTCTACTCGGCCAAGTGTCTACGTGTACCATTTCAGGGGGGTATTATTACTGGCATGTGGATGCGCACGATCCACGACTCCCGCCTCCATTCATTCCACAACATCAGCGAGCCTCTGTCCACTCGGGCCTGGACGATGCAGGAGCGAGTACTCGCACCGCGGCTTCTGAGCTACTCCTCTGCCGTTACCTTTGAGTGCACCGCCTTGGCTGTCTGCGAGTGTGGCCACGCCATGTATCCAGATCCTTACTACCCCCCTGTTCACATGCTCCAGGGCCTTGACAACAAACAAGGATTTTTATCGGTCTTGCAGGGTGACCCGCAGTCGATCGCGAGGATGTATTCTTTCTGGTCTGACATGGTATCTGTATACTCCGGTCGAAAGTTGACGTTCGAGACGGACAGGCAGATTGCGATTTCCGCCATTGCGAGAGTCCTGGCAAAGCAGTACGGCGATGAATACATCGCGGGGCTTTGGAAAGGGAACCTAGTTCCCGGTCTCACCTGGCACAATGATATCCGGCTGCCAGTCATCAAGGATGCTGCTGCTGGATCGCATGCCGGGCTGTCGAATCGACCACCGTCCTGGAGCTGGCTCTCGGCAAAGAAACTCGTCAGTACGTATAGACTTCTCCCCGGCCATTGCGAAGTCGTATCGACGGACGTTCAGGATGGCGGTCTTGACGACAGCGGCCCGGCTCGAGGATGTATCACGCTGAGGGCTCAGACTGGGACTATGGTTGCGCACCTACCGGAGGAAGGCCAGCTCGACTCGGAAACGTCAGGGGCCACGCGGTTCGCGATACTCGGTCCGAACGACAACCCAGTGGAGGTATTTAAAGTAGAAGACTTCAGGCTAGATAGACCGGTCACAAGAAACAGTGACCTGGACGTGTCAGCAGGCATGCAGGGCTATTCTTCGGACCTCGTGGATGGGACATTTCCTATCCGGGTGTTGTGCTTGCACCTTGGGACAACTGTCATCGATAACAAGGATCGGAAGACGGAGGTTTTTCTCGCTCTTTTCGAGCTGAAGCATTTGCAGGGGCGGTTTTCAAGGATCGGGCTTGTTCGAGCTACCATCACCAAGGACGCTCTGCGAGAGTGGCTTGGCGAGTCTCATTGTGAGATCACGATACACTGACGGGCAGGGGAGGCTTGAAATTCACACTCCCGAATCGACAAGCACACATACTAATGGTGTTCAGCCATGCTTGTTTTAGGCATCGGCATCAAGTTTCCGGGAGAGTAGATATTCCACGACCTGCTCGCGGAAAATAAGGGGCTTGCCTCACTTTGGGATCTTTGAAGGGAGAGCATTTAACATTGGGGGGTTGGTTGAGGATCCGCAAAGGAGCTAATGTCGTCCTAGGGTAGGTTGATACACATGCTGCACCTGACGTTAGTTAACTGTTATTAGTTAGTTAGCAAGACTGGCGTCTACATTTCTCTGGCTACCCTATACACCCAGTTAGTATAGGCCTTGGTTTGAGCTACCGGGTCACGTGGTTTACCTGCTCATCGCCATCACTTCATCTTCGGCTACCTATCAATGCGCCCATCGCCGTCTTCAACGCACAGTCATGTCGCAAGGCATGCCGGAAACCCCCGCTGATGTATGAGCCGCGTAGAAGGGGTGCATGTGGGCAGTGCTCACGCAAGAAACGCAAAGTGAGTGGCCAGCAACGTCAGGTTCCAAGCACCGGCCCCTAAGAACATCGACCAGTGTGACCACAAGCAACCACGATGCTCGCAATGCGTCAAGCACGCCGATGTCTGCGAGGCCCGAACATTCAAGCTATCGACTCCTGCTGTGTTTGAGGAGCGGCGCGCCAAAAAGACCAAGGCCAGATCCTCACGAAGCTCCCGGTTTATCGACGACACTGGTCCGTCGATAGAACCAGATGGCAACGACACCATCCTCAATGCATCGCCACCCTGCTTCCAAGACTCTGGTCCTTCGAGCAGGACACAGCATGACACTTTGGACCTGTTGCGCCCCCTGGACCAACAGCTACTCTCGAGCACCTTGCCAGCAGAAACCTCTCCTCGCAATGATATGCAGGACCCGACGACGAGCGATCAAGCACAAGCTGACGGGACTTTGAGCCTCGCTTCAGTCGTACCAACTTTACTGCCAAGCTCGGATGACGACGAACTTTTCCCTTCCGTCTCCTTTCCAGGCCACGGGAGTCTAAGCCTCGACGCGTTCTCAAGTGCGGCCAACCTTCCATTGACGTCTTCCACAACTACTACAATCGCCCCCGTTTTAGCCGCACCCGAACGTCTCTACTGCCCGATGCCGTGGCCAGACGACATGCTGGCCTCGCCCGAGCGCAGGTTCCTCTGGCAGTACTTTCTGTCGGTAGCGGAAGCCGACTTTCTGTGTCTGGACTGGGAAGACGTCGGACACCTGTACGACTTCCAGCACCCATACACCACAACCCTGCCTCAGATGGCTCTGTCGAGCAAGGCGCTCCGAAGTGCCATCTTCTGCTTTTCGGCTGGTCAGTACCAGCTGCGCCACAACAGCCGGGAGCATTTCGCCCTGACCAAGACGACGACGAGCGCAGAGGCGGTGCGCGCCATGCGCGCTCAGCTGCTGCAGACGACAACCAGCGACGATGACTTGCTGCCGCTCATCTGCGCAGCCACATTGTTGCATTACTTTGCTACGGAAAGACATGACTATCTACGAATCGCCTCCAACCTTGTCTCGCGATTCTTGGCACGGAAGGCTCTCCAGCAGAGCCAGGCACCCCTCTCGCTACCTGAGATTCCCCTGACCGAGTTTCGATGGACCGTCATATCCACGCTGTGCTCCCTGCGGCAGCCTCAAAGCCCGCTTGGCGAGAAGGCCTGTCGGATGATCGAAATGGACGACGACGAGATCAGTCGCAAGTACTCGGACGCCTTCAGCGGTTGGATCAGCCATCCGATTTACACCTTCTCCCCGAGGCTGGTCAATCCTCTTCTACGCATTGGACGACTGCTGGAGGCACAGCTGCTGCAGCTCGACGGCACAACCACGGATCCCGACGATCTGGCCGGACACGATGACGATCGCATAGCCGAAGCCGAGGAAATGCTCCTCCACGCACGCGAACGCGACGTTGACACATCCATAGCACGCATGCAGATCAGCGATCCCGCCACTGTCGTCGCCCTCAACGAATCCATGTACGCAGCGAGCGCCATCCTACTATACGCGCGACTGCACCAGACACCATTCACAGCGCCCTTTATCCGGAAACAAGTACACATTGTCACCAATGAGATTGCCAAAATCAGCTCCGACTCCCGTGTCTCCTTCTCCGTCGTCTTCCCGCTGTTCATCGCGGGCTGCGACGCCGCCGATCTGTCGGTGCGCGACATGGTCAGGGAGAGACTGCGAGAGCCCAAAGGCATCGCCTACGATCGTGGCGACCTCGTCGGTGCACTGGAGCATATTTGGGACATTCGCGATGCCGAGCCGGGTTTGCTGTGGCCCGACTGGGTGGCCAAGGTTGATCCAAAGTACCGCATCAGCTGCCTGATGTAACATTGTCAAGGGCTCGAGGCCCAACATGTGCTGGTGCCATGGACTACCTAATTGACAAACATGGCGTCGTACATCATCTCTCTCATCCTGCGCCGGGCTCCCTCGCTGCCGCGCCAGCAGACGGCCAGCCTTCATAACTTGGGTTGCTCCGACCTGCAACATGACCCGTTTGTCAGTTTCGACGCTGTATCCTTGCCGCTCGGCACGTCAATGGCCGGGTTGGCCGTGAAGAAATCGACCGGTGTGATGTGCAGTTGCAGGATCTCCACAGGCCTGCTCGGGGTCAATGGACTGTTCTCATACCAGCAGAAAGGGGGACACGTACATGACAGGCCAATCTTCCACGCGGGGATTGTGCGTCAGCCCAAAACAGCTCCAGACGACAACGTCCTCCTGCAGCAGATCCTCGTTGCGCGCCGCCATGTCGGCCACGCCGCCGACCTCGGCCTTGCTGGAGAGCGGGTAATGCCCCGCCGCGTACAGCTCGTGGTCGCGATACTTTGTCAGCCAGAGGTGGTGCTTGGCGAACAAGCCCCTCTTGGCCTGAATACTGGCTGAGTCGGCGAGGACCTTTTGCGTCGGGGGCGGGTCGATCTTGTACCCGACCGGCCGCCCGGACACGGGGTTTCTGATGTCGAGGTTCTGGATCTTGAAGACGCGGTTCGCCTCGGGACAGGCGTCGAAGCCGGCCGACGTGAGCAGCGGCGTGTCGACGACCTGGTACCGGTTGCCGTGCGGGTTCGTGCGCGCGTCCATACGCACGGGCAGCGAGTCGCTCTGCACAACCGTGTTCCTGTGCCCGTCGACGGCCGGGTCGATGCGCACGCAAAAGATGTGCTGGTGGTTCTGCGCAAGGGTACCCGGGTGAACAACGTTGCCCCAGGGCGCCGTCTTGCCCGGGTCAATGTTGACGACGGAGACGATGCCCGTGGCGCGCGTCTCGACGTTGATGCCGCCCGCAAGGTCCAGCTTGTAGTTGAAGACGTACTCGTAGTTGGCGAGCGTGATGATGAACTGCACCACGAGCTCCCGGCGGCGCGTCGACACGGCGCGGTTCGTCATCCAGTTGGTATGTTTCCAGCCGATCCCGTCGTCCTGCTCGTGGAGGCAGATGACCTGCGACGCCTTCTCGGCCCGGCCGCTCGCGTCCACGAGCACACCGTCAAAGTACTTGATCACGCCCAGGCAGTCACAGCCCAGCGCGAGGTTGTTGACGGCGTGGCCGATGCCGCCGTCGCCAAAGTCAAAGGCCTGCTTACGATGGAACGGGGCTCTGGGATCTGCGTACGGGACGGTCTGGGGAGGAGGCCGTCAGTCTTTCATTCTACAGTGGAGAAACGGTGTGAACGCACCATTTCGCTGATGGAGAGGCGATAGAGGACGCTGCGCCCGTCGTAGCAAATGTCGTGCAGGACGGCGCCCTCGCGAGGGTTGAAGCTCACGCGGAAGCGCCACTTTTGCCACTCTACAAGACTTTCGTCCTTGATGGAGAAGCTTGGACCCTGCGGCTGGACCACGCTCAGTGGCTTCAGGTCCTTGCGCGTGCCGCCCGGCAACAGCTCCGGGACGTACTCGGCCGGCGCGCAGTGGTCGAGGATGGGCCCAGTCTTGGGCGTCGTAACGGCGAGAGCATCGTCGCCGCCGCCCGTCGCGAGCTCGTCGATGCGGATGATCTCGTTCTTCTCAAAGTCCATGACGGGGATGATGGGCAGGGGATACGCGTAGTAGTTGGCGTCCGGGTGGCCGCTGCGTCGGTCCATGGCAAAGCACAGGCCCTGGAAGAAGCGGCGCACGTCGCCTGGCTGATCCATGCCGCCGTAGGGCCACGGCTCGACAATCACGTCGAAGCCGTCGGGGAGCGAGAACTGGGCTATCCTGGCCTTGAGCAGGGGGGACTCTTTGCATGTTTCCACGAGGGCGTCAAACTCCCATCTGCAATGTCAGCCGAGCTGGGGACGAAGAAAGAAACAGGGGTGGGAACGTACGTGCTCAAGCCGGCCAGGAACTCCTGGCCCACGACATCTTTCGATACCACGTTCCTCTTGTTCAGGTCGACCGTCGCCTCAATCTCGTCCGCCTTGCGCTGCGCGGACGTGCCTGCTCGCACGTAGTGCACACGTGCGAGACGCGGGGGTCTAGGCATGTCCGTCGTCAGCCTGCCCGCGTGCTCGAGGTCGAGGAAGGGGACCAGCTGGGCCTTTTCAGGCTCCTGTCGATAGATCATGCGGAACTGGATCACCTCGTCTGGCGAGGAGGCCAGGACAATGTCCCGCGCGAGGCTGGTCTCCTCCACGGAGAGGGAAGAAAGGGGGTGAGGTGCGTATTCGACCATTGTGCTGGCGTTGCACTGACTGGATCTAATTTTCGAGTCAAGAAGACGGAGAGTTATTATGTGGCCAGATACCTTGCTTTAATAAGTTCTAAGCTATACATACATGACTTCATTTCATCCGTCATAGTATGAAACCGTGGCCATCTAGTCTTGTTACGTAAGTATTCCATGGGCTCGGTCGTCCGCGGAAGCCTCGCAAGCTTCAGGCTTGGAATTCTTGCCTCTGTAATGTCCATGGCTTGACTGTTTGGCAGGCAATGGTGATAGCACCGATGTCTATTGGCACTCGGGCTGGTCGGGATGGAGGCTGCGGCAATATTTCCTATTCAGGCAAAGCGCCAAGCTGCACAACAGGAGGTATGTGACGGTCGCTTGGAAGGAATAGACCGGTCCGGCTGTACCAAATATGACAGACCGGGTCAGGCACAGATCGAATCCTAGTTTGAAGATGTTGGTCTGGTTCTCCTGATGCGCGCAAAGGAAACCCGTGATGAGCGCCCCCAGGCCTACCCTGTACACAACGCCGTCGGCGCCAAATAGGCATTCGTCGGCATCAAAATCAGCAAAGAACATAATTACTAGTACACGGGTCTATTCCGCAAATGTTTCTTGCCATTTCACTCAAAGTCTTGATGGTCAAGGTGGGCCATCTATTCGACGAGGCGACGACGAGGCCTTTTCACCAAGGGCTTCAAACAAGGCGCACATAGATAGTTCACTGCATTGAGAGTACCGAGTGATACAATCCCCATCGTTTCAACATGCCCGCCGCTGTTGGCCGACCGGCCCGGTCCCTGCTCAAGAATCATCACCCAGCACGCTCGATATATGCTACGCACACCTCATCATATCTCTGCTTAGCACTACTACAACGTCAAGCCTGTATCTCCAGACCGATGCTATCAGCCAGCCAGCTCAACTGCTCCTCACATGCGCCAGTGGGATCTTTCCTCAGTTTGGCGTAGCGTTGTCTAGCATAGCGTCGGTGGTGGAGAGAGTTGACTCGAGTTGACTCCTCACAATGAGGGCGTTGCGGCAATTTCGCCCTTTCTGGAAGTGGGACCTCACAGCATAGCATGGCTTGAGATATCGACCTCCAGTGGCCTCTCAACAACCAGCAATTGACGAGACAATGTCCTTGCATACGTATCGCCATTATCTCCCGGTCCCCACGCACCTGCATCCCGTTATCTGGAGTCTGGGGAAATCAAGGCCCCCCTCCCCCGATGGGTGCCCGGGACGCAGGAACCCACCGTGCCGGTCTCGCAATGGCAACGGTCTGGTATAAACTGTGTCTGCTATCGCGCGCCGTTCTCTTTTTCGATGGGCAACTGGCCTTGCTTCCCATCGATCTTAAGGAAATGACAACCCCTGACACTGTTTGAACATTCGTGGAGTGTTCACAGACCAAACCTCACGCCTTCTTCACCCAAGACCTTGCACGCGAAACCGCAACACACACCTCACGCCATGACCACACCCGTCGATCCCGCCGGCACGGGCCTCGCGGAAGGCAGAATGGCCCAAGACAAGACGGACGCGCGCGACCTCGCCGCCCTGGGCCACGACGAGGCCCTGACGCGCAAGTTCGACTTAGTGAGCATGCTCGCGCTCGCCTTCTGCGTGCTGGGCACCTGGGCCGTGGTCGCGCAGAACCTCGAGGCCGCGCTGACTATTGGCGGGCCCGTCAGCATCTTCTGGGGCCTGCTCCTCGTCATGGCCTGCAACCTGTGCATCGCGACGTCGCTGGGCGAACTGTGCAGCAGCATGCCCACCGCCCTCGGCCAGGCATACTGGGTCGCACGGCTGTGGGACAGCCGCCGGGGCCGCTTCGCATCCTACCTCACCGCGTGGATCAACACCTTTGGCTGGTGGGCCCTCACGGCGTCGCAAAATGCCTTTATGACGGAGCTCCTGCTCGGCGTCAAGGTCATGTTCGACCCGGACTGGCCGGGCGCCACGCAGGGCTGGACGCTGTTCGCGGTCTACGTCGGCATCACCGTACTGTTTACGGGGTTCAATCTCGTCGCCTGCCGTTCCGAGAAGACCTTGCCGTGGTTCAACAACTTTGTCGGCGCCGGCTTTGTCCTGCTGTTCGTCCTCATCGGCATGGCCCTGCTGATCGCCATAGGCGTCACGCCTGACCTGCACTACCAGCCGGCCTCCTTTGTCTTTGGCGGCTGGGTCAACCAGACGGGCTGGGGCGACGGGGTCGTGTGGTTCATTGGCCTTGTGCAGTCGGCCTACGGCCTCACCGCGTACGACGCCGTCATCCACATGGTCGAGGAGGTGCCCAACCCCAAGCGCAACGCGCCCATGGCCATGTACCTCTCCGTCGCCTTTGGTTCGCTGTCTGGCTTCGTCTTCATGATCTGCGTCGTCTTTAGCATCCAGGACATTGAGAGCGTCATTGGCTCCCCAACGGGCTTCCCCTTTGTCCAGGTCATGATCGACGCACTGGGTCTGGTGGGCGGCGTCGTCCTCACGGCCCTCTTCCTCTTCAACGGGTTCGGCCAGGGCATCAGCGTCATGACCTCCGCATCACGACTGACCTGGGGCTTTGCGCGTGATGGCGGTCTACCCTGGGGCTCGTATTTTGGGCACGTGGACCGCACCTGGCACGTGCCTGCACGCGCTCTGTGGCTGCAGTGCTTCATCATCTGCCTCATCGGGGTGTTGTACCTCTTCTCCAACACCGTCCTCGCAGCCGTCTTGTCCGTCAGCACCATTGCCCTGACAATCTCCTACGCCATACCCATTGCTGTGCTCTTGGCTTTCGGCCGCGACAGGATGCCTCCTCGCGAGTTCTCCCTTGGGAGGTTCGGCACGGCCTTCAACTGGGTCTCCATCATCTACTGCCTCGTCACGACCGTCTTCTTCTTCTTCCCCGCCGCGCCCAGCCCGGCTCCGGCCGACATGAACTGGGCCATTGGGGTGTTTGCGGTCGTGTTGGTGCTGTCTGTCCTGTTCTGGTTCGTCAGGGGTCGCGTGACATATCTTCGCACACGGGATGCGTCTGAGAGGGCCTTGCGTGCAAGACAGCTGGAGACTGTCACATACGATGGTTTGGAGGCAGACCGTGCATCCGATGCTGGTACCACCGCTGGAGCAAAGGGGAAAGTACTGTGATGTGAATGTATTACCACATGGGAAAGTAAAACTTGTTGATTCTGCTGATCGATTGCCTGAGCTGTTGGGTGCACCCAGCAGGCTCAACAACCCCACGACCCACCCACCAGCCACGGTCACAGCCACCGCAACGGCCACCAGAACAGCTCGCTCGCGGTAGAAGAAGAGAGTTAAGCCACACAAGAACCGGGGGCCCTCCAAGACCCCGTACAGTCAGTCAAGCCTCAATCGTCAAGTGTGGCTTGTCGGCGCGAAACGAAACCCCCTCAATGCCCCATCGTTTCGTGCCCAATGGCCCCCCTCGACCGAGCCACAGGCGGTGTGTGTGGCTGACACGCGATGTGGCAAGGATGCACAAGATCGGCAGTCCTGACGTTCGGTGCTGGATTCACCCGGCCGCCCAATAACATTTGTAGGAGGGGCGGGACACGGGGCGCCATTCCCGGCACCTGCCATTGGTGCATCGTCTGTGCTGCATTGATGCACAATGAACGACGACGCGTGTCGCCAGTCCTGGGGGCAACGAAAATAGGTGGTGGGCTATCAAATAACACGCAGGTTGGCAGGCAGCAGCAGATATGGACAGCGGCTATGGAGCAAGAAGGCCCGTTTGGCTCACTTTTCCCCTTCCTCTTTATTTGTCTCTGCCGTCTGTCAAAGTTCCCCGTGGATCGTGTAGCCATTCTGAAATCTATCGCTAGTATACGTAGCGCCACAACAGGAGGAAAAAAGTCCCACGGTCCAGAATCAGACCGCTTGTAATAAAGTTTCCCCCCTGTTCGCGACCCCTGCTAGCCTCTGAACACCGGCCTCCCCACCGGGCTTTCGTCGCCGCTTTTCGTCCGCATCAGTCCCACAGTTATTCCCGGCAGCCTCGGCGAGTTCCGCTGGTGGGAGGTGGGAGGTTGGAGGGGCCAGAATTGGCAGTCAGTCAACCAAGCCGCAACACGAAGATGTTGGTGTACGTAGTGATCGCCAGTGAGAGAGGCGCGGCCGTCCGTCATTATCGACTGAATGTTTGCACCGCTAGCCAGCCATCTCTGTACACGTACATCTGCTTGCGGATACGCTCAAGCGGTCACGTTGCAGTTGCACGAGCACCTGCTTCCTGCAGGGACCAAATGGCCGCTCCTTCCCAACCCACCTCCCCACGCAGCTTGGGCCACGAAGGCGCGTACAGAGACTACCATGAAGAATTTGTCGTCTAAAGCCCGTATCACAGCTCAAGTTGTCCCATACTATCCGTTCAAGTGTGCACAATGTACTCCATGTGGATTGAACCCCAGCGGCCAAGTGGCCAAAAACCGTTCCTACAGGAGGTACCGCCGCAGGGCTTGCAATTTGTCGCCACACAATAGCGTCGGACGCAATCTCGACTTTCGTGGCTCCAGTCCAGTCACTCGCCACACTTGTGCCGGGGGGGGCACTTCACATGCCAAAACGGGCAAGACACAGGGGTCCACCCCCGCCGAAGTCCGCGCGCCTCTACACGCATATGGTTTTGTCTTCTCGACGCCAAGTGTATGGCGCTTTGTGTTCCTCGATGTAAAGCGCATTGGCGACCAACTAAACTAGACAGGACTTGTGACCTTGGATAGACGCATCAGCTGAAGCACCACAGCACACTACATGCGCCGACCCGCCGCGATATGCGAGGCTGCGTAGTAATTAATTACCGTCGCTGGTGGGTTCCAATCCCCCCGCGGAGAGAGAGGAGCCTACTGATTATATCCGTACGGCGCGCGCAAGCCACTGTGGCGACCGGTCGACCTTTTTCCGCTGGCCCCTGCAACTACACCCTACTAGACACACACCCCCTCCTTCAGCCTCAATTTCTACAAACGTCTCGTCCTCTATTGTTATTATCCTTGTCAAGTAGACTGGACCGGCAACATGATGGTCCATCGACTCCATCCCGCTGAGCGACCTCGACGATGCGGAACCGAAACGACAAAACCCGAACAAAGCGCGCAATCTCGATTAGTTCTTCTTTCCGCTACCGTGGGGGAATCAGCATTCACTGAGCAGAATGCGCGACGGCGCTGCATATTGGTTTCACCAGTGACCTGGCTCGCCCCCCCCCCTCCTCGCGCAATCTTACCATGCAGTGCCTGCCTTGCGTCCTTTTTTTCGGAGATCGGTCCCCGACGGAACCCTAGTAAACAACAACAGCAAACACCTCAAATGCATCGTTGCGGTCATCTGGGTACAGTATGTTTGTGTCGCATCCTCACTGGTCACTAGGCCAGGAGCACAGATTAAGGATGCTCTCGTGCGACACGCGCTAGTAACCCAAGTGATAGACCACTTCGTCAGAAAATCATTAGAAGACATCCTAGTGATTCAGCCATCCCATGAAGCAGGGGCCACGGCTGCATGTCAAATCACAACAGTGACGAGCGGTAAGTCTGATCAAAGCTTGTTCGGATTATTGAGATTTTGAGACGCTGCAGGTCCTCGCCCTCCAGCGCCCGCCCCAGAGGGACCAGTAGATCAGACACAGTCTCTGCCACCTCATAGGTATGCAGAGCGTGTGTTCCAATACAGAAAACGAAGAATACGTAAATTGCCCCTTCCCTACCAAAGCCAAGGCTTCCCAGTGAACGCGGGGGTATATTGGAAGCAACCAGAAATGAAATGACAGCCATCAACGCCTTTGCCCTCCCAGCCTCGTTTTTTCCGGGGGGGCACCAATCCAATTGTCCTGTTATACGGCCGTTTCATATGTGTCCGTCATCGTTGATATCCTTGCTAGTACAAGGGATAAGAAATCTATCGTGCCCATTCATGTCGAAGAAGATCGCTTGTTCGGTCCGTGGTATCAAACATAGTAAGAAAAAAAAATAGATGCATCGCATCAAAATGCCACACGCAGGACAAGCTTGGGCGCCGGTGCTCGTGCTGTCGTCGTAGCCGTCGTCGTTTGGTCTCCCAGAGGTTCGTCAATGGCCATGTCCCATTCGCACTTGACAGATGCTGGTGCAGTTTCGATATCGAGGGTCATGTCTTGTCCCTCTCTCAAGTTCAGGACGACATCGTCGTCCACCGTCACCTCCAGACCACTCTGCAGGACGTGGATGGTCTGTTCGATCCTGCTGGCGTCGACGCCAAATTTGTGGGCCACCTGACGATTAAACTCTGCCAAGGTGCGCTCGTACAAGTACACTGCGTGGTGGAGCTGACCAGCCGCTGGGGAGGGCTTCCTATTCTCGCGTCGCAGCATATAAAAGCATGCGCAAGGTTTGGGTGTTTGCTCGGGGAGCGGTCGGTAGCAGGGGTCAACTCCAATTGCCTCGATCCAGCCACTCAGTTTGCCCTCTCCGTCCGTCTTTTGAATCTTGATTGGCGGCTGATCGGGACCTTTTTGCGTCGATTCGCTGGTCGAGACACCGTCCAGGTTCTGCCATTTGTGCCCCTGGGTCGCGCCGGAGCCTTGCGATGGGATGGATAGTGAGCTGGGTGCCGGTGACACCATGGATCCAGTGTTCATCTCCTGCGCGCTGCGGCCCTGCCAATTGCTTCCGTCTCGTGGCATCACCTCGGCCTTTGCTTCAGCCTCTTCGCCTGCCATGACGACGGGGTGCGCATCGGGGTCGTCGTGGTCCTCGCCGCGAAGATATAAGACACTGACTGGCCTCGGGCTCGAGAACATGTCCTGTAGTGTCCGTAACTTGATATGTAAGTCGTCCTCCATGTGACTCCTCGTGCCCTGGCCACCGTGACCGCCGTCAGTTGAGCTGGCTGAGGACATGGACCATGTCCGTTTGTGCTTCTGAGCTTTGCCCGGGCGCTGCATCTCCATTTTGGGCTTCCCAGGGAAGCCGCCGCCGCCGCCACCTCTTTTCCTCTTGCTGAAGTCCTTCATTCCGCTCTCGACTTGCGATATGGTGTGCTTGACCTTGTCGATGGACTTCTTGACGTGGGCGACATCGTTAGAGAGCTTGCGTTCGGCGCCATGGTCGCGGAAGAGCTTCACCTTGCAGTAGCAGACCTCGGCCGGGGAGCTTGTCGGACTTTGTTGCGCGGCATCCGGACCTAATACAGTAGTCTTGGAGCAGAGCCGTACTGGGATGCCCTTGACGCCCTTCGAGTGGCTGAAGTCGGTGGAGAGAAAGTTGAAACGGACGGCAATGTTAACGTCGGCTTGTCCATGGACTCCAGGCGTCCAGACCACGGAGAATCCGTCAAAAGATGCTGACTCGAGCTCCACCTTGGTCCTTTTATCGTCGCCCTCGCCCGGTTGGCCCGCTTCCACGTACTCCACCGCTTGTAATCTCCCTCCTCTTTGATGAGCTTCGTTGGCCCCGCGCCCCTCCTTCCACAAACTCCAGCAAACTCCGGGCTTCTGTCGTTGTTCATCGTCCTCGAAGGAGACACGCACAAAGGTGCGGAATTTGGTCCCAGGGGCCAGGGGAAGCGAGGCACGCGTGTCGATGATCGACAGCTGATATGCCTGCCCCTTGTTCAGGTATGTCACGGGGATTTCGTCGGCTTGTTTGATCATAGCGGTCGGTGCATTGAGGGTTGAGTGGAAGCGAAAATTCTCAGCCGACATGGGCAGGGCCACGGCGCCAAAGTGCGCGGCAGAGGGCATGTGTCCTTGCTGAAAGGCCATCATGGGAGTCTGCTCCTGGAAAGTCGAGTCGATGGACGGCATGCGCTCCTCTGAGGGATTCGTCCGTATCGGGGAGTCGTCAGCGTCCATCGTCTCGTAGCCTGTGTCCTGGTGTACAAAAGACGAAGGGGCAAAGCTCTGAGGAGGCGGCGCCGGCACGAATGGGTTGAAGTGGTGCATCTGGTGAGGCTGGAGCGGCTGGAACCCCCCAATGTCCATGACGCCCGGGACGGTGTTCATGGCACCGGCAGCCGACATGGACAGGGGTGTTTCTAGGCCGGGCGCTGTCATGCCGACTGGAGTCTGTAAGTCACCTTGCTGCGTAAAGAAGAGCGTGTTGGTACCTCCTGGAGTGGGCGTGTAGTAGCCCGGTTGAGTGTGTGCA